GCCTCAATTCCTAGCTACACGAATAAAATACTTACAAGTCTTTCTTTGTAGACTTAAACTAAATATTAAAGCTTATTTCCAGTTTGTATAATATTCATATTTCCGTTTACAATGAAACATAAGTAAAAGAAATCCTAACGCTTCTTAAAAAATATTTTTTAGGTAAGCTAGATTTTTGAATTACTTAGCTGTCTTACATATATTCAAATTTTGCTAAAAATGACAATGTTATATACCAAAATAAAATACTGATGCTTTTTCTGCTTATCATTCAAAGCAATATAAATCCAACTGTTTAATATACCCAAACATCAATAAAAGTTATAATTACATAATATAACTGAAATACTATTCAATCTAAATTATAAAGTATATTAATAATAGCTTACATTATAGATCACGCGATATGAATATAGTTTTTATATTTTTATTTATTTTTTTTATATTTTTTTATTGAGCGACCAACATCTTACGCTGCCAGTCTAATTTGATTTGAAAACAGACATTCTGAAAATGCTCTGAATAGCATATATTTAATTTTGCTTAAAAACCTTTTGCAAAATATTTTTCTTATAAACAATTTCAATAACTTATTAATTTCTATATTGATAGGGAATATTAAAAATATATGTTAAAATATTTTCTAAGAACTAAAGACGTGTTCAATACGTCAATAACTTTTTTGATGTTATACATATGAAGCAGATTGCTCTGCCTTAAAAATGAATAAACAATTCCAAATTAATTAAAGTTTCATTACAAATTTATTTGAAAATTGTCACCAAATTCCCATTGTAGTATGACCGAGTGCGTATTGTCACTTAAACGTGATTTTTTTTCTTTTTGGAATCAAGGCAACAACAGCTGGGTCACACATCGAAATCGTTTCGATTGCTACAGCCAAGGATGTTGCCAGACTTTCCACAAAAATCGAACCCCTACATTCATAAAAAGAGGAATGACAAAAGACTATAAGGGTCAAAGTAATTGAAAGTATCCTCGTATACATAACATAAGTGCATATTTCACATGTGCAATATAATTCGATTAGCTGCCCTCTGTTAATTTGACGAAAATATTTCTGCAGACATTTATGTATTGCAGTGTGAACATAAAATACTGGTCAATTGATTCTACACTGATTACAATGCTTTATTTAATAACTGTGAACAGGTAAAGTTTATTAATGTGTTAACAGTAATTCTCAAAAAATATTTTTTTCAATAAAATCTTTAACTGAAATGAAGTTTCTACTACGATGGCCATTCTTAGAGTGAAACAAACTCCATGTAATATATCCAATTAATAACACCTTTTTCTTAATAACTTGTGCTTCTTAAGGATACAAATGTAAACCAAACTCATATTCAAAGATTTTGAGGAAATTTTGAACCGTTTTCCAAAATATGACAAAAATCAAATTTGTTTAAAATGTATATAAAGTTAATACAAAATCTTGAGACTAGCTCCACACTCGTATGATATATAATTTAATAGCTAAAGTTCCATAACGTTTTTAATCATCTATTTATTTATAAACATTAAGATCCATATGATTCCTAGAATCTGCATAACAAATTGTGGATTGTCTAACATTATTATGTTTAATACTCGTGTACGGCGCATACCTGCTTAATTGAATTAAAAAATCTATGTTGTGTGATTTTCCACGCACCAGTGGATATATTTGTTAAATTAATAATAATGGTCCACCTACACAGCATAATGGAACTAGTGGAACTAGAAAATACAGGTTTTTTAGGGCAGACTAAACACCCGTGTATATTCCAAATTAGTTTTAATAATAGACAGACTGACGCATATACCCTTTTCATTTAATGAGCGAGTATAATAATTGCAGACGAGTTTGATCCAGTTCAATGGTTTCAGGGAATAATAAGAAGACTGCTTAACTAAAAATGCTTTGAACTTTGCTGTTTGAATTTCACTTACTTCACACAGTAAATGAAAATAAATACTTTTTATTATTTATTTTTAATTTTTTCAAAAATCTTTTGATGGAATTGTTTAGGTGACACCATCCAACTATGTTTCTTTGAAAGCCCAGTATTTATTAAATAACTTTACGGACATTTATACCAGGAAAACACAAATTTAAATGGGAATTAAGAAATACTATTTTTTCGACTATCTAAATGTATTTATTTTTAATCGAGTCTACATCATTCGGCCAATCAAGCTTTGTTGAGGATCTTCGAAAATGTATATTATTTAGGGCTTGAAATAACCATATCTTCCAAAGCTTTGTGTCTGACAGTGCTTAGACCGTCGATGAGTTAATGATTATGCAGTGCGATTAGCGCCCGGCTACAACATTATTTCTTATTTTAAATGTATTTGTGTGTCATAAGTATGCACGAAGACACAGAATCTCTTACATTTTGAAACTGAAATGCCCAACTCTAACAAATAGACCCCATGGATTCGCATCCGCAATTATTTGATCAAGCCTATAAATGAAAAATATATATACTTTATATGATTGTGAGTATATTCTTTATTGCGCATTTCGTGACATAACATAATATGCATCTGTACACAGACATATTGTAAAAATTTGATCTGTAACTGAAAAAATATTGTGCTTTGTAAACTGTAAACAAAAAATTTCCAAACATAATGCTCTAATATATAAATGTGTTTGTATGTATTTTAAATATTTTTATTTCGAGTCAACGCTCAGATCCCGCATTTATTTACCTTCCCATTGTTTTGGTTTCATATAGCATTTTTATTGTGTAACATGAAACAATTTCATCCGTTTGGAATTGCGTCCGACGGACAATTTTACTGCAGCGTCTGCAGCTGCAGCTACTTCTGTTGATACTGTTACTGTTGCTGTTCCTGCTGCTGCTGCTGCTGCTGCTGCCGCTGCTCCTGATGCTACTGCGTTAACACACTACCTCCTCTTTCTCCCTGGCTCCGGTGCATTAGCACAACTAATGATGACTGTGGAATTGCATGCAACGCGGTTGTAGCTTTCCACGCTGCCCCTTTGCTTTATTCTTCCACCCACAACCACTTTCTCTCTCCCTCCCTCCTCTCTCTCTCTCTCTCTCTCTCTCTCTCTTTCTCTCTCTCTGTCTTTCTCACTTTCCGTGTATCTGCATCTCTTTCCATTCTACTATATGCTTGCTCTGGACGTTGATGATAGAGCATTGCATTAGCGCGGTAGAGCGCAACATAATGTCGTTGTGCACTTTCCACAGCAATTGCTACGGCAGTCATGGCGTTAACGGCGACGGAGATAAAGGCAGGGAGTCTGCAATGGAGCTTATGGTGGAACTGTAGCTATGGCTGTAGATGTGTAGTTATGGCTAGGCCCGACCGTTTCTCGTTCTGTGATGTGGATTTTATAATTACGTGCGCTGAGTGCGATTATTATGATTGTTTCTTAATTCACAGATTTACAATATGTATATAGACACAAATGTGTGGGAAAGAGTCTGTTGCTGCGCAGACACATACACACAATCATATGTGAGTACGTGCGGTCGGTTGATTGTGAATGCGCTTCTATTGCATTCTAGCTTTATTACTTTATTCTTTCACTCGATGAATGTAAAACTCATTTTAAATCCCTCAAAGCTGCGAATTTCGCACTTCAAATTCGGTGCACATACAAATTTGTTACTGTGCGAATATTTTGCTATGTATGAAAATATAAAAACCGTTTACCAAAAATTAAAAATTTTATTAATGGCTGCTGCAATTTTAAGAATCCTACATATTATCCCTAAACTTATTATACTTTTCGTCCAGCTTCATATATCTACCAAATAATTAAGCTAAACTTGAAACATATACAGCCGTTCACAACCAAAGATTAAAATATATTGGCCATAATGCGCCATTGCGGGCGTGGAAAACCGAAAAAAACGTATATTCTTTTACAGTTTAAATCATTTGCCGACTAATTTACTTCTGACCTCTATTGATTTACCAAAAATTGTACATATACACATATGTCTCTTGGAGGTGTCGCAAATCGGAAAATCTTACGAATATATATATATATATGCAGTCTGTAACGCCTGTCTTCAAGGTTCTTACTTGTTTAATATTGAGGCAAACATCGATAAATAATTCGACATACATGCCAAATTAAAAAAAAACAATGGTTATATATCCTGATTAATATTAATAAGCCATCCAAATTTACGGAAAATCATACATATACCTTTGGACCATATATTGCAAAAACTTATCAAACCAATCCACTCCGTCAACCACTAGCTCCATCTATTCCATCAATTATTGTTTGTGGTATTCCAGCTACGATTTAAAAACAGAATCAAATTATCCATTTTTATGAATAATAAAAAAATGGTATTAGCTTTACAGAAACTATAAATTCGTACTGCGTATTCCATTAAAATTTCAAGTCTCTAGGTAATTCGACTCAGATCGTGGTTAATATGCATAAAGGCTTTGTGGGGTCTGCCACGCCTTCTTCTGCCTATTACATAAATATCCATAAAACCATTTTACCCTGAATTTCCATTTTCAATAGGTTCAGGGTATAATAAGAAACTAGACTTAACGTGCAAATAAAAATCTATCTGTCGCTTTGAACTCATCCTTGAACCATCCCCATTATTTGAAATTTTATTAGAATACATTTTTAGCTATGTGGCTCTGTTGGAATGCCCTGAAGAGAACTTCTCAATTAAAAAGGAATCCCGGTCACAATTTACATAGAACATTCTTTAAAAGAGCGCAGTATTATCCAGTATATAGACTTATGTAAATGAAAGCTCTTTGGAATATTAAGATAAATTTCCATATAAAAAATTGTATACATTTATTTCAGATAATGTCTTTAATATATATATATATATATATATATATATATATATTTTCGATAATGTCTGTAATATATATATATATATATATATATATATATATATTCTATTCAAAATTTCATTTTCGACTTGCATTCAAATATTAAAAAATTTATGTAGATAAGTGAAATTTCGAATAGACTTAAGATAACCTGCCCTATGATCTAATAGTATAGAGAAGCACAGATTTAACTGTCTTCTATTCAGAAACCCAAAATGCATACATTATTGTCATTTTTGTCAGTTATGTCATTTTTTCTTATAGCTAGACTTATGTACTTAATTTTGCTTAGCTTTTATGAATTAAATGTATTTTTCAGATATGCAGGGCATAAGTTAACCAATATTAATAAGAAAACTGGTGTCAATTTCTATTGTTTCGCATTTCGTTGATTTATAATTTCAAGTCATTAACTTTTAGACCTTTTATATACAAAGTTCTTATGATTTTTTACCGTTTACATCGTCATTCGCTTGATGCGTCAAAAGTGGAGTCATTATGCTATAACCATCTGGTGTAGTTTGTGAAACAGAAACATTACAGGGCGAACCAGAATCATTACCCTCAAATTTGGGAAATTCATTTTGGGCTACAATGTTAGATTTTTTAAAATCAGAACTGCTGCGTTGGCGTGGCAGAAGGTCGAATTTGAGTTCGTTTTTCGACGGTGAAGACTTGTAACAAGTGGGCAACATTTCTACTTCATCACATTCAGACTCTGATAGTTGAACCGCCGTTCCGGAAAACTCTATGCACGGTGTCAGCAATCGTGGGTAGTTGGAAATGTATTCTATTATTTCTAACGCAGTTGGACGTTTACTGACATCCTGACTCCAACAGGACTTTAAAAGACCCTCCAGCTGTGGCTTTACACCGTTTGGTATTCGTAGTGTATTACCGGCCTTCACAAAGTCAAGAACTTGATTATTTGTTAAGCCCTGATACGGATACGATCCAAATGATATAATTTCATAGAGTACAACTCCAAATGACCATATGTCGGAAGCAGTCGTAAATAACCCCAACGAAAGTGTTTCAGGAGGCATCCACCGAACTGGGAAAAGCTTCCGTACACCTTTCCTGTTGAAGCAATAATAATCACTTTCAATTGTAGGTCGAGCCATACCAAAGTCACCTATTTTAACCACTCGCTGGGAGTTTACCAAACAATTTCTACACGCAATATCACGATGAACATATTTTTGTTCTTCAAGATAGGCCAAGCCGCGCGCTACATCCATAGCATACATAGTCAAACGCTTTGATGATATATCTGACTCATCGGCTATTTTCTCATTGACCATGTTTCTTCTGGCCAAAAGGTACGTCTTCAAATCTCCATAAAGCATGAATTCCATTATTGTGTAAATTGGCTCCGTTTGCAAGCAAACTCCCAAAAGTTTTATAATATTTTTGTGACTAAACTTTTTCATAGCTTCTGCCTCTGCCAAAAAATCTAATCTGTCTTCTGTAGACTGCCCAGCCTTCAAAGTTTTCACAGCCACTGCAGTCCACTCGTCAGAGCCCAATCGCGCTTCACCACCAAAGACCGTGCCAAAGGCCCCTTCGCCCAATCGTCTATTGATCACAACGTTATCTTTTTGTACTTCCCATTTATCTAATGTATTTACTTTGTTTCTTGATGGTGAAATCAAGTCAATTCCAAACATTTTCATTATTTGGGCAGACTGTCTTACTTTGCGATCGTAGCGTTTTTTCCAAAAATAACAAGAAATTAGCGACATCAACACAATTATTATAAGACATTGAAAAATTATGAATATCATTGAAGCAATATCACAAGTTACATGCAAACAACGGGCTAAGGCCGAAAATCTACAGTCATATCGTCCATCTTCAGGTACCTGACCATGAAACGCTTCATTTGTCGAAAAATTTAGGTGTCCTCCATTAATATGCATTTTTGATGCACTTCCCTCAACAATAGGCTTGAATAGACCAATTCTTTCATACGTCGAATTTCTCCACTGTAAAATGTCGAGATCAATTATACGTGAACCCCCAAATTCGCCTGTACCAAATCTAACATGTCCAGACAAGCCATTAAAGTCTGTTTCTCTAATCAGCTTGGACAATTTCTTCGTAACTTCTATTGACCTTAACTCATTGAAGGCATCAGAGTTATTCTCCAGTAACTTATGTGCTGCAAGAGCATAGGTCCACACTGCATCGTAAACAAATCCTACATAACTTGAGAACGTAGAATACTTATTTTTATAAGTAGTTAACCAAGAATTTATAGACATTCCCTCTTGCATTTCTGCATTCAGCTCGCCAAATGGTGTGTGCCTTATACTTAAGTGCCCTTCGATTGCCTATTAACAATTAGAAGTTTTGTTAAGATTTAAATTTAATGTTTTAATATGAACTACTTACATTCCGAAACTGCTCAATAGAACACCTATTATCAACTTTCATGTTCCACAATTCATAATCTTTTGATAGCCAGGATGGTAAGAACCAAACATAGTTCTCTTTTTGGGTCATCTGAAAAAAAAAAGTTTATTATTAATATTGCTATTACCAATAGAAGAACGGAAGATATCTTCGGAACTCCAAGTCGGATTCATTCATTCATTCTTAAGTTGTTTAAATAAATCGTAAACAACTAATGTATTGAAGCACTTATATAATAAAGCGGGTAATAAGTCAATGAAAAAAAATTTTAAATATGTTTAAAACGTTTTCACTTTTTGGTGATTTAAATATGAGTGATTTAAAATATTAATAATAATACTAACACCCAGTTTTATAGCTTCACAGATGGTAATGGCCGCACTCCCGCTTTGCAGTTCAGCAATAATGATTCTTGAATGGGCTTCTTTTAATTTGACCAAATGCTAAAATAAAATAATATTTTTCGATAAGTTATTGTTTCACAATATGATAATTGAAACAAACCTCTCTCATATCCGGAGCTGTAACATCACTCGGAACCTTTCGACTAAAAGCTAAGGTAAAGTTAAAAAGCCTCAGTTTGCTCTCCATACGAGACAAATAGCCTGTATATTGTTGGGAGTCTTCTGTCAATGTGGAGACACGACACCAACCGAGTTGTTGCATAATTTTGATGTACGCATCCACGTACTCACTGTTTGACCCTATCGTTCTAAAGAAGTATGGGTATGCTTCGCGGTCAACAAAGGAATTGCCCTCAGCAGAATATGATATGATCATCATATTTAAATGTTTCGAAATACCAGCAATGGGCTCCACTGTTTCGCTGCAGGCAGGTCCCAGAACACCCAACATATTTGGCTTATTGAAATAATGTATAAATGATTTCAAAACCATATCCGACTTGCATTGTCCATCTTTTATTAATATCTCTAAATTATAGTTTGGTAGAACTGTTTTATTTTCATTGATTACATCGACAGCTCTTTGCGATGCTTCAATAATATTTTCATGTCCCCAATCAGTTATATAGATTGGGAATATACCACCAATCGACAGTGTTTTCACCGTCCTTGGTAATACCCAGCGGCTGTAAGTCTCAAAATTCTGGAGCAGCCAGTTACACGCAACATTATTAAACAATTCTTCAGAATCTTTTGTATGCGCTCTCTGGATACTAAGTTCTTTTTGAATATTTTTCAAGTCCATATCATTGATATAAAAATTTCGAAGAGCGTACATCATTCGCTTGTCATATATTAAACTTCCTGGATAATATTTAAGAATCGGAGTTAGCTCGTATCGGCAATTCGACCTTTTGAGAAATTCATAATCTTCACATCTAGGCAATGCTATTTGAGCAAATTTAATATCAGCATCAATTATCTCTGAAGGAACCCAATGTAGAACGACAAATCTTTTTTGTCCTCGAGTGTAACTTGAACTATACATAGTATGCAGTTCTTTTATAGTATCTCTAAATTGATCTCCCAACCAAACTACATTTAGATAGCTCTCATTTAGTTCCTCTGTAATGAAATACGAATCATTTCGCCACTCTGCTATTAGAGTGGCACAGTTAATTTTCCCACAGTTTGGATTTGCATATTCTTCAACACTATGAAAAGAATAAAATCGTTTACTCTTTACCAATCAATTAGAAAGCATTGCTGTGTAATTCACCTTCTGTCTCTTAATATTTTTATAACATTATCATCCATTATGTATAGGGAATAATATGCATTATTAATATCTTTAAAGACTTCATAATGCAGACTGCAGTCTTTATTATCAATCGAAATTTGTGATCTAGGCACAAACCAACTGAATCGACCGGGAGCTATAGACGCACCGGCACTATATATATTTGGTTGTGGCTCCTTATGTATGGTGTAGGGCGCCCAAACCTCCAAATTGATCATTGAAATCTGATGCAATTCCTTATAGTATCTGTAACATAAGAAATATTATAAGAATTCTTTACTGAAAATTGGGAATTATTTTAACATTTCATCTTGCTTACTTAACATATTTTAAGGTTCGCAACAAATTTTCAGGATCTGAAGAGTTTTCAAATACTAATGGAATTATTTGCACATCCTTATAATTTAGTACTTCCTTTAAAAAAATTGAAAATATTCGTGTCATCACCTGATGCGTCGCTCTACTTGTAACTTGAAGACCAATACCAAATCCATTATTTGGAGGACGAAATGAAAAAAAATCTTAAAAAAATTTTTTTATAATTATTTTATTTTTGTATATTAAATATTAAATTAATATAAAATTAAAGATATACACAGACAGAAATACATATAACAAAACATAAAATAGATAACATACTCAGATTTTCGCATAAATAAATTAATTTGAAAATTTACTTAAAACCAAGTAATAAAGCTCTAGTCGGGGTGCCCGACTAAGAGAAACCCTGATCCCAGTCCTCCCATCTGCATTTTTTAATATTTTTCGTAGTGTGTATCGAGTATTCAAAAAAAATATAAAAATAAAAATCGACATTACACAGCAAAATTTGAGCTCTCAACACCGCCACTTCATAATTAAGAGAAAAAAGCAATAAAAAATATTTCATTTCACCGGTCTCGAACCCTGGAACTAGCTGCATACGAGCGCCGCCTTTACCAACGCAGCACTGCCTACTCGAGCAGTTGCAAATTTGAAGTTAAGTAGCAGCTAATAATTCAGCACAATTCAATCGCAATTTCGATTCTTGGAATAGTATTCTTATCTATTTGAATGTATGTGTGCACACGCATAGGAAAAATAAGTGCGCGTGGCGCTGCTGACATGTGCTTTTGCAAATTGGTTAAACGTTTTGTTTACTAACTTCTGTTTTGCTTAATGGATTTTAATGAAATTTTCAGCATACGATATATGTACATATCCTATTGGCTTGGTTGAGATGCAAACGCCATCACATAATGGCCCTAGTTCCAACTGAACTTAAATTTTAAGAATTTGGGGGGATTTGGAGTCGGTATCCAAAATCCAACAAAAATCAAAATTGCATAAAATATACATAAAACTAAATACAAAATTTGGAGGCTCGTTCGAGATATAATTTATTTACTGCATTTCAATCATGTATAAAATATTTATTCGATAACAATTAAATGCGAATAGTTATCGAATATTTGAAACAAACTTGACCTGCGCGTGCTATACACGGACCTACAAAAAAAATTTCAAATCTCTAGCTCTGATAGATGCTGAGATCCACGCGTTCACACAGACGGACAGGGCTCAATCGACTCGGCTTGTCGTCCTGATCAAGAATATATATACTTTATGGGGTCTGCCACGCCTCCTTCTGCCTGTTACATACATTTGCACAAAAACCATTATACCCTGATTTCCCATTTTCAATGGGATCAGGGTATAAAAAGTAAATAAAACCATAAAAAACGTCTCACCGCCTCTACCAACGAAGCCACTGCACCACTTGCAAGAAGAGTTGCAAATTTGAAGTTGATTAGCAGCTGATTATTCAAGCAGTATTCAATCGCAATTTCGATTCTTTGAATAGAAAAGAATATATGAATTTAAATGTATGTGTGCACACGTATAGAAAACATTTGTGCGCGTGGCGGTGCTTGCCTCGTGCTTTTGCAAATTGGCCAAACGTTTTGCTTAATAACTTCTGTTTTACCTAATGAATTTTGATTACATTTTTAGAGTTATGATCTACATATTCTATTGGGTTGGTAAAAATGCAAACTCCTTTAAATCTTAGTATTTAAATCTTTAAAAAAATGTTTATAAAATATTAAATTAATTAATTAATTATGTGTTTAATTGATAACAATAAAACTTGATGTGCGCGTGCTATACACGGATCTACAAAAACAAACTAAAGTCTCTAGATAGATGCTGTGAGCAACGTGTCCACACATACGGGCAGACCGGCAGATAAACAAACGGACAGGGCTCAATCGACTCGCCTTGTCGTCCTGAGTACTGAGTAATAAGTACTTTATGGGGTCTGTGACGCATCCATCTGCCGGTTACATACATTTGCATATTATACCCTGATTTTCCATTTTCAATGGGATCAGGGTATAAATAGTAGCTCAATTATTTTTTATATATTAAAAGTCGTATTGTACAATAGCAGGAAATAGCTCAATTTATGCTTATGCGATTTATAGCGGCACTGATTTGTAGAAACATTGAGCTCAGATGCAACCTTCGTATGAGTTATGCTGTCAAAAATTGTGTGTATATATATATATATATATATATATATATGTGTGTTTTTTTCGGATTATCCATTATTCTAATTTTGAGCACACGCTGATCTAGGTCTAAATTGACTTCTAAAATTGTGGAATAACGTCGGCAATGTGCGTACTTAATACTAGTCTATACGAATGGAAAATAAAAGTTTCTTTCAAATGAGAGCGATGTCAAAAAACCCATTGTATTATCCGTGAAAATGGATAAGTCAAAGCAATTTGTTATCCTATTGGTTTAAAGGTAAGATAATTAAGTAAGTAAGCTACAATATTAAGGAAATTACATAATATATATAATATTACACGAATTTATTTGTACTTACTGTTTGTATTAAGACACTTATAAGATGATTCGACATATACAGGAAGGCATACAAAGGCAACAAGAAAGGCCACGAAGAGCACGCGTTTTTGTTTAATTTGCATTTTTGGACGATTTCTCAACACACTGAATAACCGGTTTTCACACTGAAACAAAGCATGTTGAATAATTACAAATAATATAAAATCAATATACAACTACCTTTCCTGGCAGATGAATATTAAATAACGTTCAAAACAATATGACAACAAATTTTTTATTACAAAAGTTTTATATTCATTCACATTAAAAAAAAAATATATAATATATAATATATATATATATATATATATATATATATATATATATATATATATAGTCAAATTTAGTTTGAATACAATTTGTGATAATTACCATAAGGAAGAACGATATTTGGATTGATCTTTTGCTTAACGCAGTCACACTGAAGAAAATTGAATCTTAAGTTGATTGTGTATGTAATAAAGATTCTTTGGTTCCAAATTTCTAAGAATGTGTATACGCTCATTAGTATACTAGTGAAGCTCATATTTGATCCTGTCAAGATTACAAATCCGGTATTCAATACATTTTTGCTGTCTGACGCCACCTTTAAAAATCTCGTTACTTATCCCAAAACAGTTAAATTGTTTTCTCAAGAGGGAGCCTGCAGTAGCTAAGGGATGAAATCTTAGAACTTTAACCAAAAATATAGTTTTTTACAATTTTAATAAATAGAGAAAGACGACAATAATATAATTATGGAATTTTTAAGTATTAAAAGATATATATTTATCGATTTTTTCCACTCCAACACGTGTAGATCTATCTACTATTTATTTTTTGTCTTGGTTTGTCTATACGAATAAATGTATATTCAAAATTTCTAGTTGGTAACCCCTTCAATAATAACGTTGCAGATATACTAGTTACAATATTATAAAACAAACTTCAATGAATATACGCAAAATTCAAATCTCTAGTTTCAATATCAAAAAAATGGTATACGTTCATATGGACAGACGGACGAATATTACACGAAACCAATGCATTCATCAGTTTAGTCGGGACTGCTCAACTAGGAGATACGCTTCTTTTATATGCAGCAAACAACACATCACACACACATACGCATAAGCACGCGTTCTACTTACTGCGTTGTTTACTCAGCGGCAGCGCTTGGACTTCAGTGTAGCGTTAACGATGGAAAATGAATTGCTGAATAACTTTTATACTAAATGTACCATCTTAATGAAAATTTCCGAGAGTAATGATGATATTCAGATGTGTGTATGTCCTAAAATACGCATCTTTAGTATTTGAAATCTTTAGTAATTTGCAAGTTGAGGAACAATGTTGAAGATATCTGAAGTCCGCAAAATTTCTGTTTTCATCACAGGGATGTACACAATAAATCTGAAGCCTCCAGTTTTTATTATATTCAAGCTAAGAGTAAAAACGAAATAAAATTCCGGGGTTTTTTTTTATAATAAGAAAATAGAATGAGTTATAGAATAAAATAATATAGTATACCCGAGTATTCATGTCAAATCGGGTTTTGAGGCTTTTGAGATCGAGATTCTTTTAGCCATGTTTATACATACGAATGTTAAACACACGAATACACTCGCAGGCCCTTATTTTCCGAGCTTTCAAATATTAATTACAAGTCTAAGCCATGACAAATGTGGAATGAGAAAGATATTAAATACCTAAATATATATTTCACTATTCTTCTACCAACCATGTTTATAAAGTATTACAAGTAAAAAATAAAATAACAGAAACTTAGATTGATTTAAACAAAAATTAGTTGACGTCAATGTTTGTTTTGAATTATTATGGAAAAAAAATTGAACTACTCATTATATACGCGTGCTTTATTACCTGAAGCATACAAATTTGCATTTGTACTGGAGTCTCAAACTCAACAAGGTATTACGCAGTCGGTTAAGCCTGCTCAAATATTTATTATTTTCTAGCCACAGTTATTGTTGACTATAACTCAGAACAATCTGTTCCACACTTAAGTACACAATATAATTTTGTTATATCGAAATATACATACATACATATATATACATATATATATATATATATATATATATATATATTTTATATATATATTTATTTATATATATCTAAATATATGTACAGAGAAATAATTTTATGCATTTGATTAAGTGTGACCCAAACGAAATCATTTTTTCCGTGTTAATATTTTGATACGTCAAAAAAATTGTGTTGCTTTCAAATTTATTGTAGGTCTTGTAAGTATATATATATATTTATTTATTTAATATTATTTTTATTATTATTTTTTTTGATGGATTGATTTGTTTCTTAAGGAATATTATTAATAATGTATTTTAAACACTATTATATATATTATTTATTGCACCAAAGTATTTAATGTGCTTTAAACATTATTATATACATTATTTAGTGCACCAAAGTTTTTTTAGAATGAACTCGATCAGCCAACACTTAATAACTGCACAACAAATTCATATTTTGGTTCAGTTCTGCTAATAAACGCCTACAGATAAGTTCTTAAAATAAAGCAGGACGGAATACTAATAGTGAAACATTTTGTCTTATTTTATTTATATATATTTTACACATAAACATAGATATATAATATAAGTAGGAACTACGTAAAAAATGCTTACGTTTTATTTATTTATTTCTGAATCGGTTTTTTAAATAGAATTTATTAAGAGCAATTTATTTGACAAAATTTCCCACGTATTAATTTTAAGTCATATAAAAAACACATAAATATACACCTATGTGCTTTTAGATACTCACTAACTAAGATTTTTTGTAGAACAATATCATATATTCTCACTTAATTCATTTTAAAAAAAATATTCTTGCTTAACTTCATTATTGAAGAATTTCCGTTAATAGGAACACTGGGTTGCAGATATATGCTGTCTAAATACAGTTATTTTAATTAAAAATCAACTTCATTATATACAAAAATAATATACTTTATTACATATCCGTCGTCTATAAAAGCACATATATACCAATCATTCGAACACAACTGAGCCGATTTGGATTGTTGCCCGATTAAAGCTTGATAATATACTGAAACAGAAAATGTTCAAAACAAAAAATAATGAACGCTCTATGCGAAACAAATTCAAGTTTCATATTCGACTGTCTGTCAACAGTCCAACGTCATAAAAAACAAGTAAGAACACTTCATCGGGAGTGCCTGACTAACAAATACCTTGCATCTGGCTTTTTGTTTTTTTTTTAAGACAGTGAGACAGGTCTTTGTAATGTGGAAAGCTTAGTATCTCTATACTTTAATACTTATTAGTAATAAACAAAAATTTCTAGATATAAAAAGTTTTCAGATCGGTGCAAACATATATGCGGAATGGCAGATAAATAGTTCTAAATCTATTCACTGGTTATCAAAAAGAAATAAATACACATATACTTTATGCATTCGCCTTTTCTTACATATTATGCATACGTGAAAACAAAAACTAATGTCTCCTTTTTACCCATTTTCTATATGTTGAGGGTATAAAAATACGAAAAAAAACAGATATACACTTTTTATGGACATTTACAGCGAAAAAATAAAACGGAGAGCAAATACTGAAGAACTGAAAGTATCAAATGCATTTTTATATTGGTATGAAAATGTAAAAAATTGAATTCATCAACACTTTTATATTTAACAATAACATTTTTATATATTTATCCATTCATTAATATATAATGGTAATATCCGTAAATTTTTATTAAATGGCATATCTATTATTCTTTAGAATATACAATATATACAAAATTAACAGGCACAAAAGTTTTCACCATTATTTATATGAAACTTAATAATAAAAAAATACATAATATAAGGTAATAAACGTTCTTATCGACAGTTAATTAATTTACGAACCGTATTATTTCCTTTTTATACAATTATTCGTTTGCATATGTGCCCATTTAACCGCCATACAAAATATGTAAAAATTATTATATGTCTATTTGCAACTTGTACTTACAGAAAAACGATTACATTTCCTTAAGTTTATTCATACTTCAAAACGTTTACGACTCCAAGAAACATATAAAATAATTTTGCTCGCTTTTGCAATTGGAAACTTTTGGAAACATTTACGTAAACTGATAACAGAAATAAAAAGAATATTTTTAAAAATAAAACCTCATCAGTTTTTGATTTATATATACATATATATATATATAAATATATATATATATATATATATATATATATATATATATATATATATATATAAATAACAGATTATAATAAATTCCTTTAGGACTTATTTTTCTAATTTAAATAATATTTGATAAATAATATATAAAATTTAACAAAAAAATTTATATATTTATAATTATATAATTATATAAATAAAAAATGCAACGAAAAGTTATTTATAGAATAGCGGTTTTATGCACAATAATAGTAATTTATAAATGTGTTCAACACATAGGAAACTTGACCACTTGTCAATTTTATTTAATAGGAAATACTGAAATAATTGAAAATGTATCGATTATTGGCTTTCAAATAATAATAATAACTTGAAGATAATTTTTTAGTTGAGTTCATGTACTAAAAAACTTATATGATTCATGTAAACAAACTCGACAATAGCAAAACTTGTATCCCCAATTCGTGTTTAAGAAATAAATGTAACGTAACAGTGCCAAATGAGTATTTCGTAAGAATTTGGCGTTATCTGGTTATGTGGCAGTCCTACATCAATATATATATACATTTACGGATATTGCTACAACAGAATTGAAGGAAATTTTTAATTTTCCAAATATGATACACGTTCGCAAGATACGGCTATGGAAATATTCCATCTTTCGTGTGTGTTTTTCAAATTCTAATAACTCGATTACGATTGTATTCAGTGTTCAATAACGCGGTATTTCTGCTTAACAGAAGACAACAATTCTCTTATCGCTCTTATTTGCGTCACTGCCTCATTCTGCGCTTGGATATCATTTCGAATATAACAAAATAATTCTTTGCTTATGAAAAGAATAAGATCTGATTTATTTATTTTCTACAAGTAACATAATACACAATGGACCACACTTTACCAGAAGACGCGTGGAAAGATTCTTTTGACAGATTGTTAGATCCCATACCGTATGTTGAACTATATTTTAATAATACATTATTACTACTAATGAACAAATACAATATTTATTCAGAAAACTACGAGAACTGAACGTAATTAAGAAGAAAGTTCGATTATCATTTAATATGGACTCTAGTGTTGAAAACTCCAATCCAAACGTGTTGAACATCAACGACTGTTCCTTGCCAAACGTAAGAAATAATCTTACGGCTGCTGGTGATAAACTAAACATAAAAAACTCTATCTCAACTCCTTGTGCGAAAAATCTATCTGTAAATATCTTTCATTGTGCGTTGTCACCGATAATTGGTATGAAACTAGATGGATTACTACCTACCGAAGATCATAGAGCGGATATCATTGGTAAAACTACAAAGATTAACTTATCATAGTAATGCTCTTAAATATCTTTGCGTATGTAGATCGAGAAAAACTGGACCAACCCAGGGGGGGAAAGCAAGTTTGTTTTAATGTGAATACAATCGATTCTGAAACGTCAATGGAGTCTTCTTCAATATTGCAATCTGTACACGCATTAAAAGCACGGCGAGCATCTAACAAACAGGCTCGATCTTCACTTGTTCTGCTGCCGGGGAAATGGCGCAAGTCTTTACATACCTGGCAACGCACAACGCAAAATATATCTGGTCGCAAAAGTTCAAATCTATGCGTTGAACCGAGAGATATAACTTTGAAAAATTTGAGAGCTGTTCCGAGAAACTCACGAAAATCGCTGCATACAAATCGTAATTCGGAACATGATCTTGAAATAAACTTCGAAGCAGAAGTGCTTAAGTATTGTGGTCAATCGAGTCCACTTAAATTTAGTACAGCTTATACTGCTACGAAAATGTTGGACGCTTGCAAGATTGGCGAGGGAGTTTACGGAGAAGTATTTAAGTATACGCCAAAAAATAAAACGAAAATGAACTTAGTTTTAAAAGTACTTCCGATCGAGGGTACAGCTTTGGTTAATGAGGAAGTACAAAAGACTTATGAACAAATATTGCCTGAAATTATAATTTCTAGAGAAATGAGCGCACTACGAATAAATGAAACTAACTCAACTAGCGGATTTGTAGATATATACAACGTAATTTTTTTATTGCCACAATAGTAATGTACACAAATTAAATTATTTATATATATTTATATTTACACAGGTCAGCTTGGTCAAAGGAAAATACCCAAAGCATTTAATAGGTCTCTGGGAAGATTATGATGAGGAAAAAGAGTCTGAAAATGATAATCCTACGATGTTTACTGATAGCCAACTCTTTATTGTTTTGGAGCTGAAGTTTGCTGGCACAGACATGTCAAAGTTTGTTTTCTTAAACGCCGAACAGGCTTATTTTGCACTGCAGCAGGTAAGATTATATTATACATTATAAAAGCTGTAAGCATGAAATGATAATTTACTCTTTCAAAAAGTGTAATAATCATCTTTCTATCCGTATGTCTATTAAACGTCAGTTTACTGCTATTAATCTAGAATGTAAATTTTCGAATGCTTATTCGTAGGTAGAACAATTTAATTAAAATATTCGCTGGGAGTGTACACCTTTAAAGGTGTAAATTTAATAAAAAAATCTAATAATCTCAGATATAGACCTTGGGTGGTAAATAAATCTATAAATTACAAAATTGGTTTTACATTTTGATTCCATTCGACTACAGCCTTCTTACTTAATATTTCTATTTATTGTATATGTGAATATAAGGTTGTATTAACCCTAGCAGTTGGAGAAGAGGCCTTTCAATTCGAGCATAGAGACTTACATTGGGGCAACATACTCATTGAGAAAACAAAAAAAAAGTTTATTGATTTTAAACTTCGCGGAAAACAGTTATCGGTGGAAACAAAAGGGATTCAAATAACCATTATTGATTACACATTATCACGAATAACTGTTTCCGAATGCTGCCACTATAATGACCTCTCCCAAGATGACGATTTGTTTGTGGCCACAGGAGATTACCAGTATGAGGTATACCGCATGATGCGAGAGGAACTAAAGTGCGTATAAAATAATCTGGATATTTATCTATATAATCTAAATACTTTTATTTTACTTAAAGAAACAATTGGTCCTCGTACTCGCCAAAAACCAATGTACAATGGTTATCGTATATTAACTCTAAACTAATAAATGGCGTTAACTATAAAAGTATTACTACAAAGGCACATAAAAACTATTTCGAAAAACTTAAAGACTTCAACAAAATTATCCTCAATTTTGCCAGTGCAGTAGAATGCGGACAATACCTACACAGCATAAATTAGGCATAAAAATGCTTGTTTCAGGCTCATTGTATTTTGGAAATTGTATTTTAATTTTTTATTTGTAATTTTATATTTTGTAAGAATTTTTTATTTGTAATTTTATATTTTGTAAGAATTTTATTTTTTATTTCTATGCTTGTAAAGTAAACAACTGAACATAAAAGCTTTTCAGCTGCTAAGTTCTGCTAAACAGTACTGGGCTTCAAAGTTTATTTTCAAGCTTTCACTCCCTTTCTGTAAAGCTTCTTTCCGATGGAATTCAGTTCCTGTTCATGGAACGAATTTACAACTATAGTGCAAAGTGCAGGAGTTCCCACAAGCTGATTCGTTCTCTGGTGTAAATAGAAAACACAAATACAATTAAATTATAATACACTAAAGTACGTAGACTATTGTTGTCTTCAGATAGAGAAATTAATAAAGGCACGACGAAACTAAAGTCAACCCGAACAAATCAAATAAAAACAAAGGAAAAACTAAAAAATCGATATTGAATCATAATTTAAAATTCATCATAATTATGAGCAATAAGATAATTTTACTATACTTATACATATATCTATAGATGTACATTCATATATATAGATATATATGTGTATGTTTGTCTGAATTCTCCAACATAAATTTACTAACTTCATCCATATGCATACCTGTATACATTGATGTACTCAATGCATACATATGTATATATGCTTTTTAAAAATAGGACAGGACCTAAAATGAACTAATTAATATGGATAATTGTTTAATAACTTTAACTAAGAACTAAACTAGTGAGTTAGTACTAAAATACAAACAAAGGTGAGTGATATTTTCTTTTGAAAACATAAATATACGTATGTACATCATATGAACATCAAAAAAATATTCTAGCAAATTTACTTAATGTGCAATGTGGATGATTCAACGTACATTTACATTGTTTTCAGTCCAAGTATTTACTTATATATATGTCACCCCTATTACATGTATATGTTTATATATTTTAGGGGTTGTTTAAAGTTATTCACTTCATCGAAAAATTGTCATATTTATGTTATACTTTCACGTATGCATATATATAAATTTTATATATATATATATATATATATATATATATATATATATATATATATATATATATATATATATATATATATATCGATATATATATATAAATATATACATTATACATTGTGAATATATATATATATATATATATATATATATATATATATATATATATATACATTGTATATACACATTGCAAAAAGCCCTTCATAGAAGTATATTTTGAACTTAAACCTGTTGAAAGGTTGGCATAGAGATATGAATAAGTTTGTATGGACACACACATATACATATGTCTACATATATGTATATGGTGCTTGATTGAGAGACGCGATACTTGCATTTTAGGCACAATGAGTAAATTTAATGATACAAATAACTATCAAGACTTAGCTTATGTTGACAATGATATTCATTTTCTAATTAACATAGGATCTGCATATAACTCAGCCTCCAAGAATTGAAAAGATTGTGATATATAAAATATAAATTTATTTATAGTATAGATATGCACTAGATCAGCTCAGTACGTTATTCAAAGTGTCTTAAACGGGACCAACACAATGTCAATTTGTTAAACTTTACCGTTATATATTTCGTATGACGTTTTAAAGATAAAACTTAATCACAATACCCTCAAAGTAAGCAAGTCCTTACTAAACTGCTCTTTTAAAAATCCATTTAAGAATTGGCGACAATGTAATCTCTAAATACTTAATTATTAATACAACGTTCTTACATGTGTCTATTAATCGTGGATCACAATAAAATATTGATATATTTAGTTTATTTTTATACTAGATCTTAGCTATGATAAATACCAATTTAATTGAAATTAAAACTGAAATTAACTTTAATTAATTTAAATTTAACTAACACTATAATCTTGATGTATACAGTTGGCAGTATCTTAGAAGTTTCAGAGAATGCCATTAATAATGACTAAATTCTTGTTCCGAATCGTATTCTGATTTTTAGAGAGACTCCAGTCATTATTTCAGTCTACAAATCGTAGGCATCAATTAGTAGTCGTCGAGAACTTTGGTGCAGGTATTTACAATTTATTAGTATAAAGGCGTAGCTGGACTTTTGTTGACTAAGATCATCTGCGCCCCATGTGGAACTTATACGTTTTTATAAGGCATAACTATATAAAGATCAAATGTATATTTGCTCAATAGTTAGCCAATATTATTTTTCACTAGTTTACCAAAATGTTATTCATTTATATATAATGCTTTTCAACCTGAAAAGTTAAAAATGCATTCTGTGGGCATACACTCCGCCATGGCGATCAAGCGGCAACGAAAGCGTCGCGATGAGCAGAAAAGAGCCAGAGAGAGGCGATATAGCACTCAAAGTTCAGAAAGTGGTGAAACATTCCATTCGCCGAGCGGATCTGTCAGACGTAAATATCATCATCCTCATCATGCAGTCAAACCTGGACCAGGAATGTTGGATAGCCAGGTAAATCCTTTTTAGTCTCTATGTAATGAGGTAACTTCAAATAAGTTTTCTTTTAGGTCGTAACCAGCATCGGAATGCTGCACATTGGCATTGTTTTTATTGTCTTTGGAGTATTTCTTTGTGGGGCAGGAATTATACCAGATGAAGCTATGTCCTGGAACGTGTTTAGTAAGGTTAAGGCGAAAAGTCTTATATCCAAAATGCTCATATATATGTACACATTAATAGGTTCTAGCTCTGCTTGGTGGAATGAGGTCACATGCACTGGCCTGTTTTCCTTTGGACTAGGACTATTTTTATTAATTCTAAACTGCCTAATAAGTCGCAAAGAAGAGGAGGACCTTGAAGACTATGTGCAACGGCAGCTTACGAGATCTCGTTCTGGTAATAAATATGAATCTGCTATTGATAATATATTGAAGGGTAGCGACTCTGTCTCACCATGCAATTATATACCATATGATACAGAGAACTTGGAAATGCTTACACTAGCATTGGCTCTATTTTCAAAACTTGGGGCAGATAATTCATAAATGGTCCGATCTAAAATCTCAATAACTAATCATTTTAACCGATGACTGGACTATATAATTGTATAAGACGTGTTCTTGTAATACTCTCTCTAATATACTATTTTTTTATCCAAACCCAACTAACGTAGCAATCCAAACTAGATATTTTATATGAGTTAATCTTTGCTATTTCCGTGTTTTAGTCTCTAACGTTCATAGCACAATATATAATACCGTTGATATTGAATTAAAAACAAAGTTATTTCCATGTTGGCACAGCCCAATAAGAAATTTGTTAAAATGTTATCAGGAAAGTGTACAAACATATTGAATTTTAAAAACATTTGCTTCGATAGTGGTAAAATGTTTTGCATACACACAGATACCAAAAAAAGTCAAAACCAAAATACTTAAGGAATGAGTATAATGAATGGTAAATGAACGGCGTTGGCACATTAGTACATAGCACACCTAAGGTTTCTTTAAATCTAAATGGAGACGAGCTTTTTCTTTTGAACTGTTTATTAATTGTTGATTTTCTAATACTAAAAAGCTCTTTGAAATTGACAGGTCATCGGCTTGAACGAGATGTCGAAACTGGCGTATTAACCACGCGTCACGCCCGCAAAGCTGTTGCATTGCAGAAGAATGGTCGGAATGGCTTACCCTCGCCAACAGATGTAGCTGTTGTTCATTGTAGCTCTACGGAGAATATTTCTAATGGTCAAATTGTCGGGCGTAATGGTAACGTAAATTTGCAAGAATTTTGCCATTGAAAAACTTTAGATTGATATACTAATTGTAATGATCAATTAGGTCTAAATAATTCTGGGGATATATTACTTGAGAAAATTGTGGAGGAGGACACACCGTATTTGAATGATCATAGTACTGCTATATCGCCAATAGAAATCGAAAATGATACAAAACAACTTCTAAGAAGGGAATCAATAACAGATGCAATCAATATAACGCGCATATAAAAAATTTAGACACGTATAAAAGCTATTTTTTTCAAATTATTAACGTTAACGTTTAAACAATCTATAAAAATATTTCCAATGGCTCTAAGTATATATATATATATATATATATATTATGTAATATATATATTATGTAACCTTTTTTAACTATTTTTTAACATAAAGAACTACATTTAAATATTGTATTTAAAATATATACATAAAATGTATCTATTGAAAATTAAAATTAAATCCAAATTAAAAACAAAATTACAAAAAAGGTAGACAAACTTACAATCTTAATTCATGTATATAAAAATGTGTAATCATTCGACATACTGCTTTTATACTTATGTGTGTCAGAGTATCTAGTTTAAGCTATCAGTAATGACTTTCTTACTTTCTTAAAATTAATATATATACAAAAAGATATTACTCTAAACAAAATTATATATAAGTAACTTCAGTATTTATTTTTTCATTTATAAGCTTAACGCAATCCTAAATTTCTAAGCTGGGCCCATAATAAAACTTAGATAGATATGATAATTTGATAACCATATGTTGGCATTTAATAATTATTTTTATTATTAATATTATGGGATTTAATAATTTAGTATTTGGCATTTATATTTATAAATAAAATACCAAAATATTCAAACATTTGAATAATCCAAATGTTTCCAAAACTAATATAATTAACTCTTCACAAATACATATGTATGTATGAATATAATTTAATATTTCAATCTAGGGCTGTTACTATTCTTTTAATTATACTATCCCAAATTTTTATATTAACCAATAATTGGATATTTTCTATAAAAAAAAAAAAAAAAACAAAAACAAAAAGAATAATCAGTAATTTTATTTTTGAAATTCTGAACCAGCAAAGTGCACAACAAAAGAAACAAGACTATTTAAAGTAAACACTCTTTATCTGTATATACATATGTATTTTTTTAGGTTTAGATATACCGAACAAATTTACATCTAAGCCTGATTTTTATTGATTTAAAACGAGAATAAAATATAAATAAAAAAATAATAGTAAACAAAAAATAATCAATTTCTTTGCACAAATGGAAACTTTTAATAAGGGCAATATTAATTATATATCCCTGTGCTGTATTAACTACGGTTCATTTAATCCCTAAATACTCTTGATGGATGTCAAGTGTCCTGTATTTACCTGTCTCATTTTGTGTACCTCTAATTTCTGCAGCAAACGTAGAATTATTGATGTTGTATCTGCTTTTATTTCACGCGTTTTGGATCCTAAGAGCTATATGGCGCAAAGCTTCAAACCGTTCACACAACTCACCACTTTTATACCCTGAACCTATTAAAAATGGGAAATCGGTGTGTAATAGTTTAATTAAAATGTAAAGTATATATTCTCTTGATCACGGTGACGGCCTATGTCGATTTAGCTCTGTACATTCATACATCTATCAATATAAGAGCTTTTTTGAAAATCTGAGAATACCATTGAAATCCACAGAAGTTATTAAACAAAACGTTTAGCCAATTTGTAAAACCACGCAGCACCTAAATGCGAATGCATTTTTTATATATATTCTGTGGGCATCAGAAATGTCTGTTGCCAATAAGTTCAAGAAATTTGAAATTTTTTTAGAAATATGAAAAGGTATCACTGATGATGCGTATGTGTTGGAGAGATGTTTCTTCGACTCATGGTGCCCTTACATCGATTTTTATTCTTTTTTTGACAAACATTCTATTTGTTTATACAAATACGATATTCCCAAGCTGGGCGCCTCCGATTAAAGCTTTCTACACGTTAAATCCTGAAATCATTTAAAATGGAAAACTAAAGTATAATGTTATAATGGTTTTTTTTAATGTATGTAATTGGCAGAAAAAGGCATGGCAGACTCCATATATTGTATATATTCTTAATCAGGACGATGAGCTGTTTGTCTTTCCGTCCGTATGTGTTACGCGTCGACGTTGGAAACTGTCAGTTCTAGAGATTTTTTGAAGACCCGCACATCAAGTTGGATTAAAAAATTATATTCACTTTTCAATGTAATTAATAATAGAATTTTCCAGTTTTGCATTTAAATTAATGCATCTTTTACAGGAGTTTGACTATTCTTGTATTTTGGATAACCATATCCAATTTCCAAAATTCCTGAAATTTTATAAGAATAATATTTTACATAAATTTTTTATAAAATTATTTGTTAAACTCAATGTTTATAAGTAAATTATACAAGTGCGTTAAATTAGTCAGTATCCCACATATATAATTATTTAGTCCTTAATCTTCAAAAATCTTAACCAAAAAGCTTAAAATCGAATTTAAATTTATGTCTACGTGTCATTGTTTTTGTATTTTTTAATTTATTGAACAAATAGATAACACTTTTTGATGTGTCAAGCATATATCGAGTATTATAAAGCTACTGCAAATGCACAGAGTGCGAACAGTTCAAAAACAAAAAATTCGAATATTCGATTTTGCTATCGTTATTTACCTTTCGATAACAATAAATTTTCATGTCTAAAACCTGAATATAAACCGATAAGATGAGTGTTCATAAATAAGTTGATATTGGTTTATAATCTTTGAATATTAATGTCAGATATAATTATTTAACTTTGCTTCGATTACAATACGATAAAAAATCTTTTATCAATTATGAGCAATGTTGACGAAATCAAAATCGATCTGCCCCCTCTCAGCTTTGAAAAATGTACGTCACACAAACCAAAGTCAATTGACAAAATGGGGTTTATTTATGTCTATATATATATTTACATATTATAGGTCCAGAGACCGATGGTGAACGGACTAAGCGACTGACAATTGAAAAACTACTTGCCGATAACCCTGACAGCTGCATTCCACTAAAAGTACTGCAGGAGCTAGCCCTCAGCAATTTCGGATTAGTCAACGATGACCTAAGACGAGTTCTGTGGCCGCAACTGGCAGGTGTGGATGTCGCAAATTTGGATCGTGTGCCAACTCTTGATGAGTTGCAAAGCCATCCGGAATACCATCAAGTTGTGCTAGATGTGAATCGTTCATTGAAACGATTTCCTCCAGGCATTCCCTACGAACAGCGTATTGCTCTGCAGGACCAGCTAACAGTGCTCATTCTGCGAGTAATCAAAAAATATCCAAATTTAAGCTATTATCAGGGATATCACGATGTCGCCGTAACATTTCTGTTAGTCGCTGGCGAGGAAGTGGCATTCGCAATCATGGAACAGCTCTCTACTACGCACTTCTCAGAATGCATGCAGGAAACAATGGAGGCGACACAGAGACGTCTTATGTTCATCTGGCCTATTGTCCTCTTTGAACAGCCTGAACTTTTCCACTTCCTACAACGGTCTACAGTAGGCACCTTGTTCGCCTTGCCATGGTATCTGACCTGGTTCGGACACAGCTTAAATTCTTACAAGGCCGTTGTACGATTATACGATTATTTTCTTGCATCACCAATGTATACCCCCATTTTTGTTACCGCCGCAATTCTATTGCATAGAGCAAATGTTATACTTCAAGAGGACTGTGATATGGCATCAGTGCACTGTCTTTTGTCAAAGGTAATAATTAATATAATTCTGTATTCGTTCACATCGTCCTTAAAGTAGTCTGGCAGTAGGCTTTACCATCTCAGTTTTTTCATCGCCATGCTCCACTACCTTTATACTCGTTCATAAAGTGAATATAGTAAATTGGTTTTATTAAATGTCTGCCTGTCCGTGTCTCCGTCTGTTGCTTTTACATTTTCCTTCTGGGCATAGCAAATTGAAAATGAGCCGTGTTTGGACAGTGAAAGTGTGTTATGCAGTCGCTAAAATTCGACTGAAATGTTTTTATTTGTTTTTACTTTTTTACTAAACAAAATCAACTTGCAGCTACCAGATGATTTGCCGTTTGAGGATCTTTTAGTCATATCCAGTAAATTATATGATAAATATAGTTTGACTGTAATTGAAAAGAAAGTAGAAGAACTTATTCAAAATGAGTAAGTATATTTTGTTTATATTGCAGATAATAGTTTAATAACTTCTTCACGTTTCATACCATACAGAAAAGAACAACGCAAACTTGAGGAGGAACGTCGGATTAATTATCGACGATCAGTGTCTTCGAAATCTAATTACAATATAAGTAAATGGTTCTTGAGCGTCTTAACGCCGAAATCAGTTATGATGACAACCGCCGTGTCGATTGTTGTTGGAATTTGCGCCTATTACTACAAAAATCAGTATTTGGCAGCGGGTATAAGCTGAGTTTCTCAGTACTTCAGCCCAACGATATTTTACGTAATACGTTCGGCAACTTTCCAGCCCAAGTGTGGCTGCATGGTTACAATTTGCCTTTATTAATTAGCTAAGCTGAACATGCTTGTAAAAATGTACATACCCAAAAAGTAAGTACAATGTTAAAAAATAAATACATTTAAAAACATTGTAAACAATTTGAAATAATCCATCAAGATTCAAATGTTTATTATTGTATATAATTTCACTATTTTAAAATGAATTTATAAAGCTAGCAAAATTAAATGTAATCATACCTTATAATAAATATATAAATAAATTTCATGTAAAGATACAATTATTAAAATAAAACATGCAGAATATGTTTTTATGTACTAATTCAAATTGTCAAACCTATGTTTGATTAAGAATATCTCATAATTTGTAAGTTTAGGAAAATCTGATAGATTGGTTGGAGCTAATTTTATTCAGTATTTGACTATTTACAAATAACCTAATTCAAGTGGTAAGAATTTTTTTAAGTTTATAAGACCTATGCCATTTGTATTTTCATTTAGCAATTTTGAAAAGCTAACTCAAAAATCCGACCGTCACTTGGAGTCCGATCTAGAGAGTACAATAGAATGGGAAGCAATTCGAAATGCTATTGAAAGATAAACCATGCCTCACTTTTAAAATTGGGGTTTAATCTGTATTTAGCATAAGTATCGTATATCTATTTGCGGCAGGTACATATTTACAAATGCATAAACATAAAAAGGCTTTTGATTATTGTTTAAGCGGTTTGTCCCTTTTGACACACTTTTCTAATACCTCTATCATAGCGCAAAGACTCTCTAAATCCATTTCAAAATAGATATTTTCACGTTTTAAACTTGATTGGCAAAGCAAATTTATGGTAGCCACTTGTCGAATGTTACTTCTGAAACTGCTGTCTCCTAATATCAAACGTGTGTCCCAGGAAAATGACATGACACACTTGACTTCCTTCTTCAAGTATTCACTTCTTCCAAGAGCCTGCTCGACTGCATCCAATCTTGCTGCGAGCACCAGCGGTACAAGCGGTTTCAATTCGGGACTTAAGTGCGGCAGCTTTTCAGAAATATCATTGTCGCCACTATCTGTACAACATTGCTTGTAGTATTTTGAGATCGTCCTTGTAGCAAGTAAAAAGTCGTCAGGATTTTGAAATCCATATTTATGAGAAAATCGTAGAGCCTGTTGCTCGTTAATGTTTCCAATTAGGAATTCAATAGACAAATGGAGAACCTAGTCGAAAGCGAAATGTAAATTATTATATTTAGATGATGTTGATTTAATTTGTACCTCCATAAAAATCTCTTTATTATTAATACTCATTAATAATTCCATTTTAATTAATGCTTAGTTCATAATTTAATAAATACAATCAAATTGTCAAACAATAGCAAAGGTATCGATGCTTTTTGCATTCGGTAAAGTATTAATTGTTCAAGTAGCTATAGCAAAGTAACGAGTGTGTTTCCACTTTTACTTATTTACTGTGTTATCGATACAAATGATGCAGGTTAGAACCATTATACATTATGATCTTTCAAATAACAATTTTTGTATTGTATAAATTTATTAATTATTAGAACTAACAAAAGCAGGAAAATTGTCTCATAGATTAATATAAATATGTAAGTGTATAATAGTTATGGTATAAGGTTATGTTTATAAGGCGAATATTAACCATTAATATGTTAATTATAAACATGATTTGAAAATTATTGTTACCTGCTTAGCACAAGAGTATAGTTGTCTTATTGATATATCATTTTGTTTGTGCAGAAGTTGTTAAATATCAAACAAAGTCACTGATCACTAAAATGAGGCACAACAGATAATTCTTCTATTATCTGACGCATCGGATATGACATCAGGTTTAATAGTTGAATCATTTCTGTAGGCCGTCAGAAACGTTAAACTACCTGTATGTTAACTATGTAGAATTATTAAAAATCATCTAAGGCGAAGTCATGCGGTATGATAAATTTGTTTGAGGATTAACAGAATGTTAAAGCCTTTTGACAATGAGGACCTGCATATACAAAAGGAGGAGCTGAGAATGCATGTTAGAGTGTCCTTGTCGAGACTGCCCAACAAGAACAACATATAGGCTTTACATTGGAAGTTAATTTTTAAAAAATTTGTTTTGTAAATGCTTTTTACAATGTGTATACGATTTTTTCAAATTTAGGGAGAAAGTAGGAGGTATCAAAAATGTGCAAAATCTCTGTTGTTATCACAGGGGCTTACACAGTAAATCTTAAGTCTGAGCATATATATATACTTAAAAAAAAATTAAATTGTCAAGAATAAAGAAATGAGATGAGTTACCGAAATCCGTAATGTGTATGATTTTATGTATGACATTTAAAATTTCAGTTTTGCATTCACATGGACGGACAGCTCAGCATTTTTAAGTCGATCAGGGTATTAGAAGGCAAGGGAAGAATATAGAGAAGAACAGAAGTTTAGCCTAGGAAATAGAAGAGGTTAAAAATGTATCGAAGAAGCTACGTATAGTTCCGATCAATCATTTATCGCTACTAAGGAAAAGGACATTTTTTAGCATTCTCCATATTGGACCAGCCTTTTATTAATAAGCTTAGAAAAAACAGTATTGTTTCCAATATATCAACGACCAATTTATTAAAATTTATGTAAACAGGTATTTACATTTTCTGAACATCTAAATTAAACTATATGTGTAGAACTAATGGTAATTTTTTTATCTCTAATGTCATGGTCAGCAAAAGGTACTATGGATACGCAGCCTTCGGGATCATCACGGCTAAATAATTTATTGCTTGTATCATTGAGATTGATAGATGAAAATAGATCGAGCACAGGTGCAATCGGTAAGCTGTGGTACTGTTCATCACCTGTACCAAAATACAGCCTCAACTGATGCTGTATGTTCTCCTTCTCATTAGCTCGATTCCGTTGAAAGTCTTCCTCTACTCTAATATAAATAATAAATAAAGTCAATTATTAGAAGATATATAAAAAAATGTATTCACATTTTTGTGGACTTACTTTTTTAGCGCTTCAAGTTGGCCATCGAGTGACATTTTCAGTTTTGAGGATTTTACAGATTTGTCTACATGTAACTTTTTCTCTAATAAACGAACGGGATTATTGAACGAGAAACGCTGGTGAAATGGTTTATCATCTTCCAATTTCAAACCCTCATTCATAGGCTGTAGTTTAAAATTGAAAATTTTCAATTACATATAAAAAAGGAAAAAGTAAATTTTGTACCTGTGTTGGGAAAATTGGAGTTTTGTCTTGTAAACTTTGCGGTACATGTCGCTGTCGGTTTTTGAAGTAGCTATTTGATTTAGGTTCTTGCAGACGGACTTGGGGCTCAGCCTGATAAGCTTTCAATGAATTTGTTTGGTCATTGCTACCTGGCAGATACATCACATGTTTCCCTCCAGTTAAGAATTTAATCGATTGTGGCTCCAATGGAACAAGTCTCTGCCTTTTACTTCCATGCTCCAAGCTTTTCGTGTAAGGCTCCGTACCACTCACGTTTTTATGAAGCATCCAATTATTGGAGCATTCTAAATTGGTCATAGAAATATTTTCTTGCTGTGCATGCAAAGTTGAGTTTCTTTGGAAATTGGAGGATTGACCGGTTACAGTATTTAAATAATTTTCTGTCTTCGACTTCTGAAGGCTCTTGAAGTTACACACCTTTTAATATAGACAAGTGAAAAAGTAACCAAGTACAATTTTATTTATTTATTATCTTTATAATGATGAAACTTATACAAATAATTTGAGGCCTGTATAAGAATTACATGATTTCTACTGATCTGCATGTTCCTTTAATCTTCACATATTGACAGATAAGCTTCGCTTCGCTTGACTAGGCTAAGTATACTCATTTTTGCTGAATACTCTAACTGGCAAAGAAAAATGCTGAATTCCTGCATATAACTAAATGGATATAGTATACTTGATGTGATATTGTCCATATATATCATTATATAGATTGCTGAATTTTTTAATCATAAGGTACGAAAAAAGCGATATATGACAAATACTAAGATATAAAGGACTCATCATATAGCTAATACCGCTAACCTTACAACATAGATAAGACATCTAGCAAAAATTCATTATTCCTCATGTTCATGCTAAGTTCAGCTGAAGGAGTTTCCAGTAATTAAGTGTCGCGTGATCAATCAAAAATAAATGATAGTCCCAAGATGTCCCATCAATGTTGTATGGTTAGTTTTATACTCTACTTTGATTAAAGAGATATATTCGATATGGAATGAAAGAAGAGACATCTAAATACTTTATAAAAGTGATATATATATAATCGATGAAAAAAATATAAAAGTTGATTCAAAGTTAATAAAAAGTTTTTAATACATACGTTGCCTGCGTTCCCACTGTGACGAGTATGTTGTGTATGACTATCTCTAGGAAGCGAGAGACTAAATGTGTGGATAGAACTTTCTACATTATTCGTCTTGCCACCATAAAATAGCAAACTGTCTCCTTCACACTTGGACCGATATTCATCCGAGCTTGAATCGTCTCCCGTAATGAGGCCTTTGATTTTATCATCATTCTCGTCGACAAGATCTTGTTCAGGAGTCCAATTTGTAAGTAAGTAGTTCGGCTTCGCGATCTGTTTCATTTGAGCAGTTTGATTAAGCTGTATGGGCGACTCACTGGTTGTAGGCTTCCAACTATTTAGAGTATTTATTATTTTTGATTTATCTATGTGCTCTTGTTGTTCCACCAGGGATCGCCAAGCTAGCGTTGGACTAAACGTGGGTGTATCCGCCTGTCGACGCGGTAAAGTAGGTCGAATACGGACAAATAGTCCATTATCATTTAAATTCTCTTCCAGACAGGAGTTGTCCCTATAATCAGTGTCATAGTTGGAAACTCTGTCACTTGTCAGTTTTTCCTCAGCTAAAAACAATTTTTTACTGAAATCAAAAGTCGTTTTATTATTATAAGTCAATAAACTTACCAACATTAATAGGGTGAATATCAACTGCATCAGTTTCCATGCCAAAATAAAATGTACGTTGGCATTTATTTTCCTGACCTGAAATAATTCCTTTATCCAAATTTTCTTTTTGAGCTACAATCTTATGTGATAATTTACTATTTAAAATCTGATTGTTATCCGTTTGATAATCATTTGCATTGCTGATCAGTGGAGTCTTGATTTCAGGTTGACTCGGTCTTTGACTTCTTAACATAATAGCATCCGAGCTCTTTTCCCGCCGAAAGGTGAATTTGGAACATTCAGGCGAATTGCGTTGACAGTTCTTTTCATTAACACTTTTACGAATCACATGGTCCCTTTTTAAAGATTCAGTTTGTGTCGGCATTAAGCTCGTTTGTTGTTTACTAAGCCTACGATCTGCGTTTTTTGTGTAATGTGTGGATTTTGAACTATTCGCATTTCGTACGATCTCCATATCGTTTTTTACAAATGGTATACCTGCTGTAGCTGCTTGTGGTGCTTCGGGAGCTCTCCTCTTTTTCGAATACTTGTTCCGATTATTCGGCCTTAATGGCAACTCAGGCATGTTTGTTGTGACTGTGGATTGTTGATTAAGACTATTTATGAGTTCAGGCTCCGAATATGTGTGCCTCTGCATTCGGGATAGATTTGAATTATTGATGTTTGAGCTAGAATCGTTTTGTTTAGTTTTTACATGAAGTAATGTTTGAGATCGTGTGAATTCCGGCTTTGTATCTATTTTTCTACTTGAGCCTGGGTGCCGATCGTGGACGGTTTCGAGAATTAATGGCTCGGATTGTTGACTGAGTAGGTTGGATATATTTTGGGCTTGTGTTTCATTCTGCTTTCTGCCACTTATCGTTCCTCCGGAATTCAATATTGCGCCATTCGTTGTAGCTCGAAGATGCAGCCGCTTATCCACATCCGGTAACACCTTTAATGCGGTTTCTATTGGGGCGTTTGATTCTTTTTTTAAAATTGCAGATGGGTACGATCTTCTCCATTCTGTGGTTAAGCTACGTTGAGGGCTACTTGGAATAGATCTCAACACAGATCTACTCCATTCAAACTGACGGCGTGAGTTCTGGCTTTGATGTTGAAATCGTGTTTGAAAATGCTCATTTCGATCTATACCTGATCTTTCATTATTAATGTGATTAGCACTACCAGAGTTTCCCATTTTTTATAGATCTGTTAATGATTACCATTAAGTTCATTTACATCTGGCATAATAAAGTACTAATATATTGTACTTACCAAATTTACATCATATGGACTCAAGTCCGGTATAATGTTAACTTTGTTGATTACTGATGTGCAAGTTACATGAAAGACAAATAAAACAATTCATTTCTAATAACATTTAATATTATTAAATTCGTTAAGTGGAAAAGGGCTAGCAGGGTCAGAGAAAGTTAAGCAGAAGAAAAAGTCGAAGAGAATATATACAAAAATGAGATTAACAAAGAGGAGAGAAGAAAAATGCACAAAGTATCAGTTTAAGAAAGACGAAACGATATCTATCCAAAGAATTGACATATTCTCAGCGTTTGCACATTCTACGAAAATACAAGCATAGCTAGTATTATTTCTGTTGTACGCTAAAAAGGCTAAAACGGCCTAGTCAATATAATCCTGGCCGCCAATTGGCTTGTCTTATGAACGAGCTGACTACAAAGTCGATATCAAACTTACGTTATATTATATTATTATTATTATATTAAAAAGTGGGATGAGTTATCAAAAAAACGTATACAGAAATATTTCTTGAACTTTTTATCACTTTAGCTGTTTCGCTGCATTCGCAACTTGTGCTCTGATCAAAAATATATTTACGTTATGAAGTCTGCCACGCATTCTACTGAAAGTCTAGTACACTCTTTTTTCCAATTTTTAATCGGCTTAAAGTATACAACTAAAACGATTCTTGTCATCACTTACAGATTCACCTGAATCTTCATCAAATTTGCAATACTTCTTTAACTCACTCTTATCGTATATACCTTTATGGGTACGCATTTCGCTTTACGTTAATATTTTTGAGATGATATAATTAGAAAAATTCGTTAGTGTATAAATTGAAGCCACTGTATTAAATTTAATTAATTTGTATGCCATAAATGCATTGAAAATAAAAATGTAGGGTCAGAAAGTAGGCTTGACCGATCATGCAAAATATATATATAATTGATCAGGAATAAGTCATTTGGACTTAGCTCTGTCCATATGTTTATACTCATCGAACTCTGAACCCATGGCAAGCCCTCAGGTTTTTTAAAATTATCGACATTTTTTTCAGTTTCTATTAAAAATTCGATTAAAAATTCTACCGAGCTTTGCTTGTTAAATCATATTTCGCCCCTATTTGAAGCTAGTAAATAGTTTATTTAACTTAATGTAGATCTTATATTATTTCTCCCCTATTTGAAGCTTGAGTTATTAATTAGTTTATTTTATGTACATCCTATACAAATTTCATGTATTGTATATTGTTTCATATTATTCAAATTTAAATTGTAAATAATACCAATATCTAAACGTTTTTTACGATAAGCACATAGTCAACGGAAAATTGTATTATAAAATGAAGTTATTAAAGCAAAAGTCTGGGCAATGGGCAAATCCATATGGCAATTAGCGCAATTTTTCGATGTATGTGCACACGTGTATGCATTTTTGACCTCTATTAATAGAACCACAATAACAAAAGACATTTTTTGAATTGTCAGCTACTGTTTTAGTTGCGTACTTGCCACCTTGCGACAACTTTTCGTCGGCCGGCACCCTGGGTATATCTTACTTGGCGACTCCCAACTAGAGTAATCTTGCTTATTTATTAATTCATTTGTCATATTTATAAGAATGACACTTCAATTATTCTTAAGAAAAGAATCATATTTTGTGCTTTTTCTCCGAAATTTTTGAGATGCGCTTTGTATGAATACTTTGATTATATTATAAATCAATGCACATATTTTATGTTCTCTCTAAAATTTTTTATAAAATATCAATCGATAGATGAACACTAATATTCGTTAACGAGAAGTAAGAACACCCTTCTCAGTAGTAGTAAATTTATATACTTCTTTCATTTTACGCTCTTTCAAACATTTTGAAGTCAATGTAAATAAATACTTTTGTATAGAGTTTTGTGTGTGTTTGTGCACGTTTTTTGTGACACTCGATTTGTGTCAATGGAAAGAGCGTATGATCGTATATGTATGTACAAGCAAGCATGTTTTGTGTATACATATGCATATGTGTGTGTGTGTGTGTGTGCAGAAAAATGTAAAAGCAGTATTTCGTCGAGAAAACGTCGGCTTATGTCTGCATACCAGCTTATTTTAAAAGTTTAAGCACCAGTATTGCAACTTTTGTACAAACTTTGTTAACTGCATAAAAATTGTCTTACTTATGTATTAATATAGTAAACTTTCTTTTCACAGAAAAGTTAACATTTCTCCGTTATTCGCAAGGGCCATTCGAATTGCTTTTGCTATTTATGTACAGATACACAAATACGTGTGTTTGTGTAAACAAATAAATTTGTTTTGAATCTCAATTCAGACACTTCTTAATTATTTGTGACAATGTATTTATATTTTTGTATTTAGATTTTTGATTCTTCAAGTGCTCGCTGTTTTCTTTTTTCGCAGACTACGTAGACATGAAAAAAACACCGCAATGCACGCAGACGCTTTCACAACATTGATCTGAGCAGCTTGAAACTTTACTGCCATTGTCATTGTAAGAGTAGAGAGTCAAAAGCTTCTTTTTCGTGCTACCAGCAAAGTCGAGTCGCATATTTACTTTTGTTGTTGTTTGTTATGCGCGTTTTTATGTACATGTATATTTATATGTGTAGATGTGTTTAACCGGATCTATTTCGCTCATATTGATCAATGTACTCAGCTGGCTTATAACAATAACAATGCACAAGTACAAATTTGCATATATTTTAAAGCTTCACGAATAGATATATTAAAAAGATTACAATTATAATATACTATAAAATTTATAATTATATAATATGTATTATAAGAATTATAAAGATAGAAAGTTTTTTAAAATACTACCAAACCTCAAGTAAAAATATTAAAAATTCGTTTTTTTTTTTGTTAAATAAAGTTATTTACTAAATAAGTTCTATATAGAGGTACACTTATGCACAGGTACATACTGGTTGCCCAAAAAAAAAAAAAAAACAACTAATAAAATGAAACTTTTTATTATTTATTCGTTTCTGGAATAGCACAAGTGAAAAGATATCGTATGCTCTTGAAATTGGCCTGAGCGTAAATCAGTTTCACTCTTTTCATTGACTCTTCATTCATTTAGGCGCTTCTTAGGCGTCACTTTATTTACACTGCTTGGAATAATATATTATTGCAGCATTGTATTGGGGAAGATTGTGTATTTGTCCATTGTGTACTTGTTCGTAGCTCATATAAAGCCTCTACTCCTAGCCTTCAATCTGTGGCGGTCTACTTTAATTTTAAATATAAGTTGCGCCAAGTTTAGGTTAAAAATCTTTATTTTTAGTTTCTAAGACTAAATTTTTTGAGTGGTGGAACTTTTAATGCATCACTTAATAGTGCAGGTTTAACCGTTAATATAGAAGTCTTATGTGTTGAAAGTGTCCTATATATTAGCCACTTGTTTTATGAAAAAATGCTTAATGTAAGCACATAATCATATCTGTAACAAAAGTTGTGAGCTTCAAATTTATAAAGCTTGCATAATATATAAGCTTTGTTCTCTTGTTGTTGTAGATGATGCAAACATTATAAATGTTCTGTGAGGCCATACATAGATGATAATACCAGTACATATATTTATGTAAATTTGTTGAATGTTTCTTTGATTTTTATTAAAAATAAAAAAATATAACGTTACAATTTCAACATTAAAAAAATTCTACAATTGATTTTACTAATTATGAATTGATAAAATCTTAAACCATTTTAAACTTAAGTAATTTCGTTCAAAAACTCATATTCATTTTTTGTGTAATTTTCATCATCAAAGGAACCGATTAAGACTGAGGATTGCAATTGACTTTGACAGTGTCAGTCGGAATCATTTATAACTTTTTTTCTTTTCTTCGCTGCCTGTGTAATTTTATGTTTTGACCAATCTTCCTGAAATATTCAAATATAAGTATAAATCGTTGAGAAATAGCTCAAATAGGTTTCTATCATTACCTCACTAGATGACTCATCAGAGGAATATATTGCTTTCACGACATCCGCATTTTTTTTACTCCCCGCACTATGGTTATTTGAGTCTTTTTTACCAACTGGCTGCTTACGACCTCGTCCACTGCCACCACGTCGGCCAACGGCAGTTGTTTCATCTTCCGCTGCCAACGCGAAAAGATCACTGAACTGTTTCTACTCACAAAGATAAAAATATATTAGATCATGTTGTTTTTACATATCATGATTCTATTTCACCTTTGTGCTTTCATTGCTATGTGTGTACGCTGATTGTAATGCCCGCTGCATCATGTCGTGAACATATAATCCTGTGCCAGTGCCATGCCTACAACTTCTTCTGTAATGCTCTAAGTGGTTTAATACCTAAGCGTAAAATGTAGAAAACACGTCAGGAAATGTATTAAATTATATCAATTATAAACTTACATGGTCAGCAGATGGGGTACTGCTTGCAGCGGAACTACCTTTAGATGGCCGCTTTCGCTTGTTCGGCGATGAACTAGGGTATTTTGAGGTGAGGAGGGAGGCAATAATTTCGGAAAGTTTTTCTTCGCAACGCTGACACCAAAATCTGATCCAAAGAAACTATTTTAATAAAATATTTAAGAAATCAACTGAAATCTTACCTAAGGGCAGATGTGACAAAGGGATCTCCTCTGGACTTTGCTTCCCTACTAAGCAAAAGTCTGATTATTTCATTTGTTGGCTCTTCGTTCTTTAACAGCAGCAGCAAGTGGCTTAACGCTTCTGGATGATTTGCAGCTTCTAGCTCCGGAAGTATGTCCTGTTAAACAAAATAATTAGATATTTATATTTTGCGGTTTAGGCGCTGCAGGCCACTTGATTTTGCTAATTGACAAAAGGTTTGTTTAATTACTTCTGTGTTACGTAACAGATTTTAATTACATTTTCAGCGTATGATCTATGAATTAAGTAAATATATATTCTTTCACATATTGCATAAATTTGCAACTATATTTCCATTTTAAAGAATTTTTATAAAATTGGGGACAGTATTTTAAATAGGTTCTGATATCAACGAACAGAAGGACAGATAGACGGACTGGGCTAAATCCCTAGTCGTCCTCATCAAAAAAATATGGGGACTGTCACGCCAGTTTACCTTGATTTCACATTTTCAATGGGTTCAGAATAAAAAAATTTGTTCTTTAAAACTATTTAATTGTTTATACTTTAAGAAAAAAAGATCTTACCTGTATGCATTTTAATGGTACATCATGTGCCTGTATAAGCTGCCATAGGCAAAACTGTTCGTACGTTTCATATTCTAGGCTTTCGCGAATACAGTCGATCAGACCATCTTGCTTGAATATTGTCAGCTTACCCTGGGCGATAGAATACATTATATCACGCACATTTTTAGCGTCAACGCAGCGAAGAGTGATACGCAAAAGGTCAGTATTATTAATGGCTATAGTTTTAAACTCTCTGTAAATATCGGGTAGTAGCCACAAATATATTGTGGTGTTTTCCTTTTCAAGAAGATCGAGGTCTCGAACCAGACAAATGGCAATTTTTTCGTCCATAGCCTCACATATCTGTCGATAAACTGTCGTCTTAAACTGATACGATTGTTGTGCATTTTTTCGTGTCTGCAACTTGCAATGAATCTTCATAAAATATAGAAGAAGATATCCTGTTTCATTCAACCGCTCACATATCTCAGATAAAAGGGTCTGAAATGGTTTTTTGCTCTTATCTTCATTCTCATACAGAAATCGAAACAAGCCGTATAGCGGATAGCTTATGCTCTTAGCCAAACACTTCTCTTCAGTTTTACTCTCCGAAAATACATTTTGTTGTGGTAATGTTTCACGGAGAATCAGAACCGTATTTGAGATCACATAATTGAGTTGTGTTTCGTCTAAAGTCGAGGCAGGTAACGTACGAAAATCTTTCAAAAATGCTTCCCATGTGAAAGAGTTGCGTTTTGCAACAAATATATCAAACGACTCGGATATCGCGTCAGGCAACTCTACTTTTTCGGGCACTGGTTTCTCTTTAAGACGAACCTTAAATAATATAATGCAATGTTTTTAATAATTATGAAACAGCGATGATGATCAACAAAACTCACTTTTGACAATGGTAAGTCATCGTCGTCGTCGGTATTCTCTTCATTTTTCGTACATCTGCCAAGGTTTTCACTATCTTCATCACTAAATACAGCTTCAGTTTCACGCTCTAAACTTTCTATTGGCGTAATAGCAATTTTGTTATCGTCTTCTACTAGCGAAATGGTACCACTATTTGCAGCAAATGCTCCCGCACCAACATCAATGTTCTCTGTAAATACAGTAGACGAAACATATCAATAATATTAATATTTTATTTACTTAGATAAGCGTTTACCACTTTGCATCATTCGCTGATCCGCTTCTTTTTTAAAGATGGGCGCCTGAATAGAATGTGTAGCTGGATACATAGACTGCGGCATATTTGCAACGGGGGAAACAAATTCTCTGAAATTCTCACGGATTAGATTACGCAATTCTCTGTCAAGTTTCGGCGATTCAAATAGCGGATGCAGGTTTGGAATGACCTATAATCGGAATTAGACAAGAATCTTCAGTATTTGTTTACTGATAATAAGAAATCATTACTTACCTGTTTATCTAGTATCAACTTTAATGAATTATATACCCCCAATCTTATTTTATCCTCGTTCTTTATATAAAAGTTCTTTGTAATGCGGCACAAGAAATCCAGCAATGTGCTGCTTACAAATGGATGATTTCGAATGGAGTGATACATCACCAAAATGCCGGGCTCGATATTCATGATATTATCTTTGGCCGGATCAAAAAACAGCCAATCGTAGAACAGTGACAATTTGGCATTGGCCGACGCAATTGGATTTGTACACGATGAGATAAGCCAGCCAATTATGGCCCAACGCGGGATAATATCGGAACATAACATATCATTTGTGGGATGAATTACGTTTATGATGAAGCGAATCAAGTCCGACCGCAAACTGTGCGATTCGGGTGTTGCAAAATATTTGTCCTGAAACCAATCCTGGTAGCGTTTTTGATTTCCAAATTTTACAGACGATGCTAAAAAATGGAGTTTTCGCTCCATTTCTGGAAGCAAACGACATTGTAAAAACCTCCGACTGGTACGTATTTGTAATAAATGCCAAATTCCATTAAATGTCGGATGTAAGGTTTTTGGATTGTATAATATATCTCGCCATAATAGTTCGAATTCCGGAATGCGTGCAACATTTTGTAATAACCTGCGCAAAAGTAAAATTAAAATTTAATTTTCTTTAGTTACTGTAATAATAAAATGTACTTTCTACAGCCATTGAAAAGCATTTTTTTCTGCAATTTTTATATAGTTCTTTTAAAAATAGATTATTTATAGCGGGCTACTTAAACTTACCGTACAAAATCTCTTCCCAAAGGTATAATATCATGAAAACGATCACGAATCAATGAAATTGTAAACTTAACTTCCTTTTGACGTAATGATATCAAGGCAGGATTGGCATGGTCCTCTATAAGGCGTACAAAACTGTAAACCGATGACTGTACAAGGAAAGGATTCGTTTCCAGCCACGCCCTGTACTCTATAAATATGTCCAAAAGGCTTTCAACGAGGAAGAGATTTTTATGGGAAACATCTCCACCGCCCGCTTGACGCAAACAATTCCAAATCACATTCTCGACGCTAAGAACCTGGTGCTTGACAAATTCACGTAATACCCAAATCAATTGTCTTCTGGCGGTCTCCGTTAATTTTGAGTACTTTTCGGCAACTAAAAGTGTTAGATTTGCCACAATTACGTTCATTCCATCCCTAGACACAAGTGTGATGTCCCGATATGTTTTCGGAGCCATTGCCGGATCAGTTAATATAATGTATAGAAAGCCAATGGAAATCTCCTCATGCTGTTTCTCTTTACAGACAAACTGTGTGAGCATGTCATGCATTTCCTTATCACTGAGCCCAGCAATTTGTTGCTGCAGGCTAGCATAAGATCGTTCGAATTTCTATATGCGCACAAAAGAAAAATATATTTGTAAGTTGCACATTCATATTTAATAGACAATACGAATTTACCTCTTCGATTTCATCTTTACAGTCAACAGCCGTGCAGACAAACAACTTAGAGACGTGAACTACGCTTTTTTGTTGCTGTTGCTCCATTTGCAAGTGTGGTGTGGATAACTTGTTTGAGTATTGCTCTTATCAGCTGATATGATTTCAGTTCTCATTTAATTTCATAATTACACAAAAATAGAAACTGAAATATTGGAAATATAAATTCACAAAACCGCATTTATTAAACTATTACTATGTATGTAGGTATTTCTGTTTTGGTTTGTAGACAGAAAAAATATGGTTGCCTAAAACAGGGCTGCCATCTACCAAAGTTGCCAGATATAATCAAGCATAGTGCTAACAGATCTACACAATTTTAAATGAATTGGTAGTTATAATTAAGAAGTATTTGACTATTAAAATTAACCGATTTGCTTTATTTTAATATACATATAATCTACCCAATATCAATTTAAAATATCAGACAAACATTGTAAATGTTATATTAGTAATGCTACGATTTTATATATTAAATAATAGATTATAGTTTTTTATTTTTAGTTGTATATACAAATTTTTTTAAAGTCATGAAATGATAAATAGGTAAACGTAAAGTTTCAGTGAAACTATCTATCCTAATCTTATCAAAATAAATATTCTCCTTCTAAATGTATTGGTCGCAGTTATTCAAAGTGTTACTAGATATCGGTTATCGTTAAATTGTACGTCACTAAATCCATCTTTTTCTTATGTGCATTCGCAAATACAAATATATCATATTGTGAAATACACAGACAATGGAAGAATTGTTAAACGAAGTAGTGCCCCAGGAAGATTTGGAGGTAGGCAAATATGCATACACAGTCTTTTAAAATTTTAAAAATCCATTTCTTACAGAGATTTGAAAGAAAGTATCACCATGAGCTGGAACTCGATGGAGAGGTCTCAACAGAAACAAAGTTTGAGTACGTAGCTGAAAATTGTTTTTCTTAAAAAATCCAATTTATAAATATTAATTTTTCTTAACTTGGTAGATACGCTTTCTGTTTGGTTCGGAGTCGGTATACCAATGACATTCGAAAGGTGAGTCTGTAATTAAATGCACAATTGAATTGTAGTATATTTGTCTTCATGTATGTATGTATGATGTGTCTGTATATCTATATTAACATTTCAATATTGTACAATGTGAATAAGGGTATTATGATTTTGGAGGATCTGTGTCGCTTACATCCGGATGGACGACGTGACTATATTTATTATCTTGCCTTCGGAAACGCACGAATTAAAAACTATACAGAAGGGCTTAAATACTGTAGAGCTTTTCTTGATATCGAATCCAATGATCAAGTTCGGTCATTAGAGGTAAGCGTGTTATCAAAATAGTCGGTCTTACAAATGTATTTTTGTGATATCTTGTACATTTTGTCTGTTATAGGAATATATTAAAAAGCAGAGCGATAAGGAGGTTGCGAAGGGCATTGCTGTTGCTGGAGGAGCTGCGCTTGTGCTTGGTGGAATCTTAGGCCTAGGAATTGCGATGGCTAGAAAGTAAAATATAATTTTGAACATCGATTATTCCATATCCTATTTGTTTTGAAAGCCCTTACCTTACACATAACTATCATAATTTATATACAGTTTTAGTTGTAAATATTATATATATAAAATTAAATGTATTAACTGTCGTTAAAATATTTCTTTTATACTTTTCTTGTAGTAAACAAAAACGCGATAAATAGTGAAAAATGTGATAGAGCTCTTTACGGAATACGATTCCCTCCCAAAATGTATACACCAACATAGTCATTGTGAGGACGTGGTTTAAGCACATAGCACCAATTATTAAACTTCATTCTATTTCTCTTAAAAGCTCTGTTTAATAATAATTAACATTTTTATTGTCAGTAACACTTTTATCTAAGAAGTCACTGTTATTAGCAATTTATTATATATTAAACTAAATACGATCTGTTCATTACCAAAGATGTTAGTGAAATAAATCAGCAAACTGGTATTTTGATTGCTGCCAAACATTCCATTACAGCAAAGGATTTCTGGTGTGCAGGTAATTAATCTTTGCGGATCTCTTGCTTAAACTAAAATAAGACAAATCGGTTATGGGTTATTTCGATAATACAATATTCAGTATTTTACAGAATTATAAATCTTGATTGGTATTTAAGTCGCTTATTTATTCAAGATAGATTAAGAATTTATTTATATAAGGACTATTTTTTTAGAGATAACTAAAAATTCTCACAGTTATATATATGACCGAACACATTTGGGTGTTTTTTATATTTTTTGTATACACATATTTTTAAAAAACCTTAATGCAATTCTTTGTTGAAGAAATTAGGATAGGGTAACAACCATAACGTACACAAGCACAGCCTACAGACCCGTTAAACTGCACAGAACATAATAATTTGAATACTTAAGTCAAAACAATACAAAAAGAATAACCATATTACAAAAGTAGTAAGAAGTAAGAACTATGGGTAGCGAAAGTTGCTTTTGTTATTAGCATATATGCAATATCATGGTTGAGTCCGTTTGGCCCACCTTCCATTCCAATTTACACCTGTACAACAAACTACATTTTCAGAATGTTAATTACTAGCCACTTCTCTTCGTCCACTGACAATCATAACAACCCTGTCCGACTGGCCTCAACAGCCGTCTCACTCTCACTTGGCGAGTGACAATTTGAGGATAAAAGCCAGAACTGAGAATCACTCGGATAATTCCTCTACAACTTTTTACAATTCTCAGCCATTGTTTGTTATTGTTGATTAGTAGTAATAAACAAATTAACAAGGCTCGACACACAAATTGTAAAAAAACTGTAAGTATAGCTCTTTCAAGGCCCTTCCGGTACTATCTACAACTAAAATATATGTTTGTATAGAATTACATGCGTTTTGATTCTATAAATGTATTTATTATTATTTATTCAGCCTTGCGCCATTAACACTAACATATAGCGTTTCAGTTACCCAATATAAGGAGTCTGTATAATGAAGCAACGACATAGTTGTAAATAAATGCATCCGTTTCCAGTAAATAGTTTTAAAATAATTTCTAATTAATAGTTGACGATTTCCTTAAGAGCGGCTAAGCAGCGGTGCTTATCGGGTAAATAAAACGGTTCAAACACATGGGGGAATGGTGTGTCCCAGCCAGTAACCCTTTTGATGGGTGCTTCAAGACGTAAAAAGCATTTTTCTTGTATATAAGCTGCTAATTCAGAGCCAAATCCTTGAGTAAAAGGCGCTTCATGGGCAATCAAAACACGTCCAGTTTTATTAGCGGACTGAAAGAGCACAAAAATTATAAAACATCATGTAAAACGCATTCAAATATAATTAAATAAAACTTACATTGCAAATTGTCTTGGTGTCCCATGGCAGGACCGAAACCAAATCTATAACTTCACAATCTATATCCAATTGCTTTTTTGCTAGATCTGCGACCTATAAGAAAATAATTCAGTTGTTTATGTACAGAATTCAGTGTCAAAGCTTACCTCCAACAGGACATGAACCTGTGTACCCCATCCAATGAGGGTCACATCTGTACCTTCGCGTAAAATATCGCATTTTCCTAATTCTTCTGTATAAGATTCCGTTGGCACTTCCTCAACAGCAGCGCGATATAAAGTTTTAGGCTCGAACATAATACACGGGTTCGGATCTTTTATGCATGCCAATAAAAGCCCCTTTGCCTTAATTGGACCACGTGGAATCTGTAATACATTTTAATTTATAATTAAATTTACTTATATATATATTATATATATATATATATATATATATATATATATATATATATATATATATATATATATATATATATATATATATATATATTATATATATATATGAAAGACAAAGAAAGTAATATATCTAATAATTTCCCATCGAACATGTGGATAAATTAACTCTTAACATTCTCAAGGAAAAATTCTCACCACGACACGTAGACCGGGAGTATGAGCGAAGTATGCCTCGGGACTCTGTGAGTGATATAACGCGCCATGTCCAACAGCGCCACAAGGAACGCGGAACGTCAACGAACCGCAATCGAATAATCCACCGCTTCGATAACGATATTTGGCAGCCTCATTCACGATTTGATCGAAACTTGGAAATATATAATCAGCAAATTGAATTTCGGCTATGGCAGTAGCGCCAGTGTTGGCTACACCAATTGCAAATCTATAACGAGAGTAAAGATAAAAAAATAGTTTTAAAAAAGTTTAAAAAGTCAATAGCTTTTGTGGCGAGATCGGTGCGTGCCTGAGTGCATACGGATACAATAAGATAAGTAGGTATAATTCATCTGGACGACAGAGTCGATTTAGCGATGTCCGTCGGTCTGTCCGTCCGCCCGTCCGTATTTTTTATTTTGTCGATCTCGGAACCTATAAGAAGTAAAGACTTGATAGGTCCCTATATTGTAACTATATATTAAGTTTGTTTCAAATAATCGATAACTAGTAAAGTTTTAACGGTATCGATTAAAAACATGATAAAAACTCAGTTACTAAATTATATCTACCCAACAAGTCAGAGAGCTGCAGATTGTCCCATTAGTTTGCTGGTGATATTCTCTCGAGCACTGCAATCGTATAACGCATGCAATTATTGATGCATTTGAATGCAAAAAATTTTGCACATAAAACATTGCACAATAAACAAGCGTTTGATAAAGTCTGGCATGCCGATCTTCTTTACAAAGTTAAGAAGTGGCTGCCAACACCATACTTTACTCTTATAAAATCGTACCTGGCAAACCGATCCTTTTATGTACAAGAACATGACGAAGCATCCAATATATACACTTCTGAAGCTGGTGTTCCGCAAGGGAGTGTTTCGGGCTCTACAACAAACGCTGTTGAGATAGCATATGCTGATGATACCGCAATCATTGCTAAGAACACTGACCCACACGTTGCATCCAACTTACTCCAAAAAGAACTCGGTCTGATTAAAGTATGGCTTCAAAAGTGGAGAATAATAGTGAACAAGCAAAAATCAGTGCAAGTTACATTTTCTCTGAGACCGGGAACTTGTCCTACAGTCACACCAAATGGTCATGCTATACCTGTTAGTGAATCGGTAAAATATCTAGGTGTTCAGCTTGATCGGCGACTAACTTGGAAGCAGCACATCAAATCGAAACGAGAGCAGCTTAAGATGAAAACCAGGCTGTTAGGACCACGTTCTGAACTTAGGCTTGAAAACAAATTAAGGCTATATAAGGCCGTACTGAAGCCAGTATGGACGTACGCATTGCAGTTATGGGGTACTGCTAATATCGAAATTATACAGCGATACCAGGACTCGGAATTGATTACATGTGCACCCTGGTATGTGACTAATTATAATATCCACAAAGATGTTAAGCTGCCCATTGTTAAAGAAAAAATACAAACAGATACATTAATAAACTACATAACCACGACAATGCTCTAGCACTAAGACTACTGGATGACTCAACCTGCCTAACAGAAATAGATAAATATGTAAAGTAGTTAAATATATGGATTGATCTCATTGGAGCCCAAGCCATCCGGTTACGTAATATTATTGTTAACAAATTTGTTTATTGTCTAGTATAAGGCAGATTGCAAATAAAAACAAAAATTACAAAAATAAAAACAAAAATTACAAAAATAAAAAACAAAATTATATCTAATACGACTTTGGAGCTAGTGTCACCAAATATTGCATATACATTTATATATTTTTTATAAAAGCTCGTTTTTTGTTAAATTTTGAATATCGACTGCAAATATGACTAAATTCGTTAAATTTAAGCTCGATTGCAAATATAGCAAATATGTAAGAGTTTCAAAGTATAATTTGTAGATCATATACTCAAAGTTTCGGTGATTCGCGAAAGTTTCAATCCGTTACAAATAAATAAATAAAATGTTTGGCCAATTTGTAGAGTGGCGTGGCAAGCAGTGCATGTATTTATGTTTGCTCAAAGATTCGCACAGGCGATTGAATTGTGTTTGAATTGTGAGCATCTTTAGTTTACATTTGCCACTACTCGATCAAGCAGTGGGTAGAGGCGGTGCTCGCCGCCGAGAATTTGCGAGTTCAATCCTTGACCACGAAGTTTTTGTTTAAGTTTATGTATAGATACAAGATATGCAGTATATTTAACCAAGCAGGCTCTACGGGGTTCATGGTGTCTCATGTCGGGCATCTCCAACTTGAGCTTTCTTAATCGATAATATATCATATGAATTTAGTTCGTATTCTTATCTATATAGCTCGAATCGATTTTTTAAAATTTTCGATCAGCTTTTGCAAAGTGTCAAACAATAGTTCATTGGGATATTGAATTGTTCAGTCTAATAATTAAGGGTAATAGATTCTTCGGTCTTAAAGCTTACTTAAAATAGCTTAAATACATACCCAGCAATACCTTGTTCGCACAAAGGCGTATTAAAAACACGATCTTTTCCGTACTTATCCCTCAAGTTCATAGAACAGCTAATGAAATAAAGAAATTAGCATAAGCATGGCAAATATAATATAATTATATGTTATTGAATTAATACCGAAAAACTCCGCCAAAACCAACGTCTTCACCAAATAATAGTGCTGACGAATCTTGCTCAAGACCCAAGTCCATCGCATTGTTTATAGCTTGGAACATATTCATTTTCTGGACATCGCGCACGCCCTGGGCTAATTTGGTGGGATAATACGTGAAATGCGAACGAGTAGAACATATCGCATTTGATTTTATTGCACTTAGCAATCCTCGGGTCAGAGTAGATACTTTCATGATCGCTTTTCAAGTTAACGGAAAGGATAAGGAACTAGAAAATCAAGGTTTAGAACACGATTGCGCAACAAAGTATGCTGAATCGGCTGTGGTTGTACGTATGTAAATATATAAATATGTTTATATGGCAATGCATATAATATATGCGTTATCACATTGATCAGGTGGCATGGTGCTACCAGATCGGCACTTGTTCAAAATCACAACAAAAAGGGTACTCCCAAAGAATTGTTCATTGTAAATATCGCTTAATTTTATTTGAATTTAAATTAAAAAATTATCTTAAGCGTCATACACGTTCCAAGGAAAATAACTCATATTCTTCTTCAAACTAATTCCATATGTGTACATCACCTAAATTTTTGTCTATTAATATATCGATATGCTAGTGAAAATAATAATTAGCTATCAGAATTTTATCATCGCAATAACATCGAATTGAGAATATCGATGTGAAGCTAAGAATTGTTGCAGTAAAGCTGTAAACAATATAAGTTCACATTACCCTCTGTATCAACCATCTTTATTTTATTTTTAATAAAATACAGTTGATAATGTCAAAAATAATTGAAATACCAGTGCATGCACAAAAGTTGTTGACTATATTTAGGACGATTATACCTAAACTTAGTAACGAAAAATATAAAGGTCAATATGGTCGAATTGGTGTCATTGGTGGCTCTTTGGAATATACGGGAGCACCCTACTTTGCAGCAATTACTGCTATGAAAGTGGGAGCGGACTTATCACACGTTTTCTGTCATACTAAAGCAGCTGCAGTTATTAAAGCGTATAGCCCCGACTTAATTGTGCATCCAGTCCTGGACCAAGAAGATGCTGTTGAAAAAATTAAGTTGTGGATGGATCGATTGCATGTTATAGTATATTTATATATATTGAAACAAAGCTCTTACCTCAATTACTAATTGTTCAGTGCTTTACAGGTAATTGGACCCGGCTTAGGGCGGGATTCTAGTATTCTGAAAACCGCAGCAGATGTAATTAAGCTTTGCCTGGAGATGGGAAAACCAGTTGTCATAGACGCAGATGGGCTGTTCATACTAAACGATAATATCGAGCTAGTATGTGGACAACGTGATGTTATATTGACTCCAAATGCAATTGAATTTGAAAGATTATTTGGAAAAGAAACCACTACAGCTCGCGAAAAGATGTCACTACTTGGCGATGGGGTAATTGTGCTTGAAAAAGGCGCACATGATAAGATTCACATTCCCCACACTAATGAAGTGTACACGATGCCAATCGGTGGGTCAGGACGTCGTTGTGGTGGGCAGGGAGACTTACTTAGTGGATCTCTGGCAACGTTTTTTTATTGGTCCTTGCAATCCAACCAACCCAATCCGGCTTATTTGGCTGCTTGTGCCTCAAGTTATTTCGTTAAGAAAATAAATTATGCAGCATTTCAGAAACTAGGCCGTAGCTTGGTTGCCAGTGACATGATTAATGAGATATCGTCCGTTTTCAAAACTGAGTTTGAAAATTCGAGCTCTGAATAGTATATATAATAATAACAGTTGATGGGTTCTGGCTTAAATACCCCTTAGTATATAATAGCTGGTTCCAGAGAAAAGATAATGCTGACATTTTGTTACTATATTTATATATTAAATAGCCACAATTGCCAGTGACTGATATTAATGTTGATAGAATTATAACCACAAAGTTTAAGAGAGATTAATAAACCGTTAAAAATCTTTTTTCTCTTTAAATGTTAAATAAAACTATTTTAAGATTTGTATCGAAATTGTGTCAAATACACTACCTTAGCTGAAAATAATTAAAATTTTCTTTGTATTGTTTTAAATCATGTTTATATATATATATATATATATATATATATACATATATATATATATATATATATATATATATATATATATATATATATATATATATATATATACATATATATATATATATATATATATATATATATAAATTGAACAAAACTTGAGAAAAATCTCGAAATTTTGAAGCAAGCTTGATATATATTATAACTTCCTACTGACTTAAATAATAAAAGTAATATAACACAACTAAGAAAGCTCTAGTCGGGCTGCACGACTAAAAGATACCCTGATCCCAGTCCTATTTACGGTCATTAATAGTTTGTATCGAGCATAAAAAAAAAAACAAATTATCACCTAAAGTCAAAGAACTGAGATTCGAACCAAGGTTACGCAAGCAACACCGCCACTTCAGAATTTAAAAAACAAAACAATGGAACCAACCGTTCACCGCATGGGATATCGAACTCAAAAATTGTCGGCAACGAGCGCCACCTCTACCACCTCACAGCACTGCTCGTGCAAAATCTTACAAAATAATAGCTGACACGTGACTTTGCAATTTGGCAAATTGGCAAATTTTGTTTAATAACTTCTGTTTTACTTAATGTATTTTAAAGAAATTTTCAGCATATGATCTACATATTCGCTTGTCACTAATTGTCAGCTTAGTAAAATAAACACTCCTTCACATATGGGCTCTTTTTCCAACCGGACTTAATTTAAAAATTCAAAAACTCATAATTAAAAAATATACCGTAATCGATCTTAAGTCATTTTTGGTAAATAATTAATTAGGAAATCACCCATAAAAAAGTTAAATTAATAATAAATTTTTTGGTATATAAAGTTAACAAAGATTTAGAAAATATTAATCATTTTTTGAGCTTATTAACCTATATTAAAATTGGTTTTCATTTGACTTGTTTAATGTTTTAAAAATAAAGTTAATGGTATTCCGGCTGTGGTATTTTTTAAAGAATATTTTTGGTGTATTTTAGTACTTTTTCCCATGCATTGGAGTTTCGGACAATACGTGTTTATCACTTATAATGTTTCTGGTTTTTTCATTCTCCTTAGTACATCTATACATATGAGTTGGTGTAATTTATAATTGCATATACTGCACAAATTATTTGTTGCTTAATTAATAAATGATACCAACACGGAAACGAATTTTTATATTATTATTCTTAATTGCGACACTAGGGCTTTTGCTACGAATTCTATTCTATCCCCGTGAACAGTTGTTGTTAAAGGTAAATATTTGCTATTAATGAATAAGTTTATTGATAATGAAATTAATGCAATGTCATATTTACATATAAGCTTTATCTGTACAACTATTATCAGGCTAAAAACATGTCAATGCTTGAAGCAAATAAAAAAACTAGTTCTTATTTTGCAGGAGGAACCACACTATCAAAGAGCTCCAGGAGCTCCACTGCCCGTATTGGTAACAGTATTTTATGAAGCCCTCTGCCCGGACTCCAAATATTTTATCACTAAGCAATTATTACCCACGTACAAAGCTGCTGCCCATATTATGGAAGTGCAACTCGTGCCTTATGGCAAGGTAAAATGAAATATATTTATTGTGTTTATATTCTTTAATCAAAAAATTGATTTAAAGGCACATACCACAACCGACGCTGAAGGCAAATTTATATTTGATTGCCAGCATGGTCCGACGGAATGTCAAGCAAATATGTATCATGCATGCGCTGCTGAAGTCATAGATGACGTACTCACTCGACTAGAAGTTGTGACCTGCATGATTCGAGACAATCGAAATCCCAAAGATGCTATGCAAAAGGTTCTGTTGTTTAATACATTAACTAAGCTCAATATCTAAATATATATATATATATCTTTTTTAGTGTACCAAACAGTATAACGTGGAAAATGTAGATCTCATCCAAAAGTGTTTTGACAGCACCCATGGAGCCGAGCTAATGAAATTGAACGGAGATGCGACCCAAGCACTTAGACCACCAGTAACATTCATTCCAACAATAACCATAGATGGTTCACAAGGTAGTCAGGCTTCCATTTTAAAAGATTTGCTTACTGAGGTTTGCAAATTTGCTGGAAGCAGCGCGCAGGCGGAGAGAATTTGCAAAAACCGATAGTTTAATGTTGATTAAATTAAAAAAGCGCAACTTTTATTGTATATTTTTTAAAAAATGTTTGTTTTTGCAATATTTTTATACACAACAATATAAATATTAATTCAAATTTAAGGGGTTAGTTTAACGAGACCAAAATACTTTATATAAAACATTGTTTTCTTTTAATATAGATGGGCGAGAGCTCTGTGTTCAAGGATTTTAATTAATTCTGTTGGCAATTGAAATCATCTGCTTCTGTTTGCATCTGATTTAATAAGAATCCTATACATTAATAGAAACTAATATTAGATTGATTTATGTGTATTCCAATATCCACGTCTAGTGCATTATCTCTACTGATTGCAGGTTGTAACGGCGAGTCCTCTACGGGACGTTCACTTACAATGTAGACCATAAATTTTTTCATAAGGCAGCTTTTGGTATCACAAAGGCTTAATGAAAACTCAATCGCTAAATCGCTTTGACCAATGGCTTCAGTCCTAATATTTTCTAAAGAATTCTTAACTTGTAGGCTACATTTTCCGTCAGTTAATAGGCCATTTGATTGTTTTATTTCCAAGCCCGGACTTATGATTTTTATCGCCCACTTCTGTGGCGCTTCCAATGTATATTTAAGCTCTGACGAGAGTTTCATGACGAAATTAATGTTGCACGATCTATGCTGAAGCAAAGAAATCTTTTTTACCAACTGTAAAGCACTGTCTTTTGATAAAGCACGCGGAGCATCAGTTTCGCTGGTGCTAGAAATTTGCTTAAAGTCAAGGATAAAAGGTTCAGCTGTATATGTCGTCAAATCTATTATATGAATTCTGTGGTTATTTGTATCAGCAACTAATAACCTTTTTCTATCAGCATCAACGCAAAGGCCTGACGGCTCTCTAAGAACCAGCGTACTACCATCTTTGTTTTTTATACTTAGGGTAGAAATTATATTCGTTTCAGTATCAACTACCTTGATTTTGTGATTATACGTATCGGCCACATAAAGCTTGCGATCGATATTATTATACGCCACGCCCAGTGGGTGCTGAAGTTTCGCATTGTACAGTTTTCCGTCTTCATCTCCAAACGCAAATAGGTTCTAGAAAATTATATAAAATTAACTTAAATAAATTCACATAATTTAAATATCATATATCATATATACCAACGGATTCCGATCTCCACCAACAAGAGGCATCACTTTACCATCGACCATTGAAGCTTTGCGTATGCTAGAGCTTTCGCTGTCGGCTATATAAAGATAATCACTGGACATGGCCAAGCCTGAAGGCTGTGCAAATGCTGCGTTTTGTGGATAGGAGTTGTTTCGATTTTCCTCAAGCCCATTGCCAATTAGCGAAACGCAGCAACGTGGCTCAAACTTTCGAAATTTCCACCAAATTATGCCTTCGGGAAAGTAGCCCCAAATCTGATGAGTGCCAGCCATGGCTATCAGCACTATCGTTTTCTCGGGAACATTAAGCTCGTCCAGATGGAATGACATATCCATATCACGTGTGCGAAACACCGACACATCCCACGGTGATGATAGTGGCTGCAATGGCCCCAATTTTCCACCGGTCCGTTCATTGCCTTGAGTGCCTGTTCCGGCTAACGTTTCAACAACTCCTTTGTCCAGGGAAATTTGCCGAAGTGCATGATTATCGGTATCAGCCACAATAAGTGTATTTTTATTAAGAAAGGCAACACCCTGTGGATTATTGAATCGCGCAGTATTTAAAGTGCCGTCCACAAACCCAGCCTCGAATCCGCCGATCTTATACTTTACAACCCCACAATTAGTCACGACAATCACCCGATTGTTTCCAGCATCAGCTATAGCGTACTGATCGTATAGCATAGCAATTTTTGCTGGGAAACGTAAATTCGAAGCCGGTAAAAGATCTGTTGACAGTTGTAGCGGTAAGCTGGAGAAGTTGATTTTTTGCTGACTATCAAAATAGGGTAGCGCCGCTCCAACAAAATCGCGAAGAAACTCACCATGGCCTTCACCCATTAACAATAACATGGGCAAGCCGCTCGGACTTAAAACTAAAAGCGAAGGCCAACATCGAATGCTCAGTGCTCGCCATAGAGCGGATTTCGAGTCGTTAACAATGGGATGTTTAATGCCGTATCGCAGCGCTGCCGACAGAATGTTTGCTGCTGTTCGTTCATTTTCGAATTTCGGACTATGCACGCCAACTACAACAAGTCCACTTTCCACTGGAAATCTCTCTTCCAGAGCCCGAAGCTCTGGCAATACGTGCATACAGTTAATGCAGCAGTATGTAAAGAAATCCAACACAACAATTTTTCCGTGTAAGCCAGCAAGTGTCAATGGCCTACTGACATTGAACCAATCCAAATCTGTATGGAGGCACACATAGATATATATTTATATATATATATATATACCTATATAATAGAGAAATCTTGCAACATACCAGCGTCGAACTCAAAATTGAGAGACTTCACCTTTGCAATGGTATTGTCGTTTGCCTCCCATCGCCCCAGAAATTCCTCAAAGACTTTTGCTTTATTGTCACGATTACTAAGGTAATTTTGCTGCAGCTCTTCAGTTACAAATGTAACTATGTCAATTGCAGACAATTCGTCGTTGTCCATATTTAAAACAATATGATGTTTATATGGTTTGATATGCTAGATATTAAAAAGATGAGTTCATTACGCACAGTTCGTGCGTTCAGATCACAGCAGGTTCAATTGAACAGAACGTTAAAATGAACGACTGAGCTTGTTCAGGCTAGCTCTATAAAACGAAAATGTACCAGGAGCAATTAACAGAAACAGTAACAGTATCTAAACTTCATACATTAATAAAAATTTGTATTTACTAGTTAATGATGCATTGCGACTGGCCAACCTTAATTCTGCCTGAATAATTAAATGACAAAAAAATCTTCAAAAGATCTCTTTTAAAATAAATGTATGTTGGAGAATTTCCATTCCATATTCATTTAATTGTATAGGTTTTTCGTGGGATCAACAAAGTTATTTGTCGTAACAACTGAGGAATTACATTTTATGACGTATCTGCATGCTAACTGATCTATTATTAGTTTAGCAAATCTGGGAATTTATAGTATACTTTAAAATTATAGCTAAAGCTTGACTAAATATTATTCAACTTTTAAAGAGTTTCGTTGAGTCTTTATACAATCAAAATGAATTGGTAATGATGTAGCCCTAAACTATTTTATTTGATTGTGTTTTAGTATTTTAGATAATTAGTTAAGTATAATTATCTATGGCACTACGGTCACACTGCTAGAAGTTACATACATACGTATATAGCGCATTGCACAGGCAGGCATATTGCTTTTAGGGGCTCTACTTGTGCCAACGAAGTATCGCTCGGACGGATTTAGTCATATTATTGTAATATAATTGTTAAATACAACACGAAAAAATCACAACAAATACGTATTATGGAAAAGAGTGAAAAGTGTTTGAAACAATGTCATAAACGGACTAAAGTGTCAAACTCAAAAATAATTACCAACACCTCAGTTTTGCGAATGCCGCGTGTGAGAGATGGAAAATCAATTACATGTCCAAAATTATGTGTTACATTGGAGGGTCTACGAGACATAAAAAGCATTTATCTTGCTTTCCTAATTACAATTTTAGCGTTTGCAAATTGTATTAAATTGGCCCACGCCTCTTATGCAAATGTCGATTTTGATGGCGTTGCTCCGTTAACAGTGTTAAAACCATTGAACTTAATGACAAATCTGCTGGCAGAAGAAAACATAAATAATTCTAACACAGAAACACAGATATTGAAGGAGCTGCAGTTGCCAGAAACACAAACAAGGCAAGTTAGAATACAATATGCATGTATCTAAATAACAATTCTATGGTTAGGAAATAATATTTACCTGGACGACCTTTACTTTTTTAAATGTTAATTCATTTTATGCTTTTACATAGGCTGAGCATTTGCAATTTATTGGTATTTGTGGGACTGAGTGTATGAAAGTCGGAAATAATAGCAAACAAATTATACATTTTAATTTTTCTAGGCAATAAACTTGTTTATTTTCTTAAATACATGATACGATTTCCAAGTCTAGATCATATTGTTATTTTTTTTATATTTAATGTGCAATGTTACATATTTAATAAGCATGTTTTGTTTACATTTGTGTTCCATTGTTGCCACCTAGTTAGAAGTGAAACATATGTTGTAAATGTGAAAGGAAATGCGTTATTTGATTTATTAACCTAAAACGTTCGAATCAATTCTCTTCCATTTAACATTTTATTAGATCGTGTTAATCTTTTAAAAACACTTGAACTTATTTGAACATTTTTAATTTCAATTTTGAAACAACATAGCGATTGGCTTGTGCACAGTTGAAAAAACTGAAGTTTACAAAAGCCAAAACAAAACAAAAATATACAGTGTTTTTGGTTGTTTTCTTTATCAACACTTTATTTTTTTTACAAATTTTAAAAATATACAATATTTTTGTTTGTTTTTATTTTTTCATTATTTAATTTATTTTAAAAATTTCAATGCACTCAAATTAAATACGAAATACGAACTAAAAGAAAATTGAGTTCATTTCGTGTCGCTGTTATATTTGCATTAAAACTCTAATTTTGGAGCACTATCAAATTGCGAATAATATATATGCGATTGCCCCGACTACAAAGATCTTAATATGTACTAAACACAGCAGTTCGCAGCGTGCCTGATAAACATGAAGCCGGATACAGGGTCAGCTATTTTCATTTAGAGCTGATTCTTTAATAAAAAAAATGGAAGTATTCATGATGCGTATGTTCATATACGTATTTATATGTATATATAAAGGCATTGGCAAATTGGTAATTACAAGTAGACTAATCGAAACCCTGTGTGTGACAACAGATATTTATTAAACTTGGGAAAAAGGAAGGATATGAATATTGATTCAATGTTCAACTGTATGAAAACATTCTTCAAACTATTAAAAGCAAATATAATAGGTTAGGTTCAAACACTATATACACATGATTTATACACTCAGTTCACATTTTGACCTTATAATTGGTGGTAAGTCTTTCACAAATTATCTAACGTAATAACGCCAAAGACTTTTTTTAATAATATTTTATAATAAAGGTGTATACAAGTTTTTGCATCAATTTTATATTTTCATATTTATTTTCAATGCTCTAAGCACACAGGCGTTGATTAACACATTGTCGCTTACTAAGTTATTAGCAGCTTTTGATACACTGATACACAGATAGAAACGAGTATATTAGTTCTGAGGTCTTAATGTTAGACGCACTAATTCTATAAATAGCTAAGAGATTTTTAGAGATGTCAACTATGTCTCAGTCGATTAATTTTCAACTTTTGCAAGAGCAAACTGGAATCATTTGCACACATACGCATGTATGTATCCTGTGATCACCTAATCGAATGAGATTCTGCTCACATATACATATACTTGTGCATATGTGTCCAAAATACTAGTAAGAAATATTAATTCCCCGGCCTACTAGCAACATACAAAACAATCTCAGTTCTCAGTTCCATTTTCATGCAATAACGATAACCATATTTATTTTATTGTTCTGTGAAGGCTGGCTGACTCAATTTCTTGGTCTTATCATTCATTGTTTATCAACGCACAATACATGCTCATGCACATACATAGATGTATGTACTTAAGCACTCTCCACATACATATGTGTATGCATACTAGGTTACGCTCAAGCGAGAATATCTGTTTGTTTGTTTTTAGATTTTCGCCTAAATTAGTTGACTTGCAGCCGTAATAAAACTGAAAAATCTGAATTTGCTGAAGTAAAAGTATTAAGGTCACAAATGCATTCCTAATTGTGTGTGTCTATATGGAGGCATGGCTATGTGTGCATTCGAATATATGGAGACATCCACTGACATTTTAAATTGAAAATGGGAAATAGTTTTGTTAAAATGTATGTAACGGCAGAAGAAGGCGTATTCTTGATCAGGACCACAAGGCCTGTCCGTCAGTCTGTTAGTATGTGTGAACGCTCCGATCTCAGCATCTATAATAGCTATATAGCACGTGCATATCAAGTTTGTTTCAAATAATCGATAACTCTTCTCGTTTTATTGTTATCGATTAAAAATATTATAGAAATGCGGTTATTGAATTATATCTCGTACAGCTTTATTTGTATCTTATACAATTTTGATTTTCGCTACATTTATGATACCGGCTCCAAATTTTCCCGAATTCTTTAAATTTAAGTTTCTTTGAAATTAGGACCAATATGCGAATTTACTAAGCTGACAATTACTCCAATCGAATATGTTATAATCAACATGCTGAAAGTTTCATTAAAATCCGAAAAAAAAAATTCATTAATGCCAAGAAATTATGGGTTCAATGCCAGGTGGCGAAGGGAAGTTTTTTTATTTAACTATGAAGTGCTGGTTTTGGTAAAATTATGTTGATTTTTATTTGTTTTTTTTTTTTAATGCTCGATAAAAACTATGGAATATTTTAGGACTGGGCCTATATTTGTTCAGGTATCTCCTTGTCGGGCGTCCCGACTAGAGCTTTCTTGTTTATTTTGGATTTTTTATGTATGTCCACGATCATTCAAATCACATAAGTACATAGCCAATATATATATATATATATATATATATATATATATATATATATATATATATAGAATTATGTCGGGTTTGTCTACGTAAGAATGCTTGAATGGATGTATATGTGCAACGTCTGTGTCTTGGCTGCCAAATCTATTTATAAAAAATTTTAAGTATGCAAAAGTATTGCCATTTCTTGAGCATATTTTTTATTATTTTTATGTGTGTATCCATGTGTATACGTACAAAAATGTATGTAGATATAATCGGTAAAAAGCTAGACATGAGAAACATTAATTAATTTCTCGGGTGTTATTTTCAGTAAAATAAAAACGCTGTTCTGACGTTGCGAAAGCATGTTATATATATATTTAAAAGACATTTGTTGGCATTAACGACCCCATCACTATGTCTAACACATCCATGTCGATTTAGCCTTGTAATTTGGCCCAATTTCTCAACCAGCTCAATTTTAGACTGAGAACTAGTGTGGTGATCATTTCAGTATAAATCTCCCTGGAACCGATATGTAAAAATAAATAAATAAATCTAAAACTCAATTTACTCATGATTGATAATCACTTATGCCATCGGTAATCAGTCATCGGCCATAATTGTTAATGCATAGCTTACCAATAAAAAAAGTGAAAATAAACGTTTTAACTTGTTTAGCAATTAGAACCAGAATTTTCAACACTGACGCGATTCAACCAAATTTTAAGTAATACTAGGCAAAGGTCTTATTAATTGTATACTTCACAAAAAATATTAAAGGGCCTATTATTTTCAGTCGATCTGAGGCAATCCTCTGAAAAGTGAATTACCGCAAACATTTGTACTAATGAATCATTCTCGTGCTCATTCTTAGCCATTGGCGTTGCTCTTTTCGTCGCAGTGAGGCACGTTTCAACGCGAGCTGGCAACTCAGCTGCACACACAGACACATATATGCACACATAATACAGGTGTATATACACGCAGCACAAACACAAGTGCAACATTGCGCACAAATACAGACGCAGATATGTATGTGTGTAGATATGCGTGTGTTTTTTGGCGAAGCCGCACTAAAATCAATACACACAAGCATACACACATAGATACACACTCTTACAAAATTTTGAAAGCCACCAAACACACCAATATTGCGGGTAGTTCTTATTTTTGTTTCACCGTACAGTCCAAACAAATCTGGATTGCGTCGGTTTAAGCAAGTATTTTATTTTTATTTTTTTCTGATGTTTGTTTTTGCGTTTCGATCTCCGTACTTATACCAGTGTAATGAGTGACGACTTCTTTGTACATATGCATACGTACGTATGTATTAGTAGACACACATACAAACGTATGTAAATCGTCATTTCACATTTTTTTATATATATTAATAGCTGTACATACATACACTGTTGTAATATCTAATTATGTTTTGAAGTTTAGCTCCGTAATATAATTGCAAAAAAAGTTTATTTTGGCCAAATAAATACAGATATACCGTTAAATAATCTTAAATGTGTACACCGTTTATGTAAAATTTCGTATACAGGCAGAATAACGGATCTACGGTATCTAACTAAACTTACATATACATATGAATGTACATATATGTAAAGCTGGAAATTCTAGTGGAGTTTTATGAATAAGTTCAGATTCTAATCGATTATTTTATATAACTATTTTATTTACTAATTGAGTTAGTAAGCAGCCTTTCAATTGATAATTTTTACTAAAGTTTATACATACGTGAAAAGATAAATCCTGCAATATAGGACAAAGAGCTGTGTTTAATTATTATTTCTATTTTCTTTTTTTGTGTTATGTTTGTTTGTTTACTTCTTTTTATCGTTGGTCGGATTATACGTTTTCACTAATAATCTATAAACATTGGTGGGGCATTCACGTTTACCTCTCAGTCTCTCGTCAAAAACCTTATAAATAATAACAATGACTGATTAGAAATAATTATTTCGTTTGCAGACTGTATACCATGTAAAAACGATTTTTGTATTTGTATGATAGACTGAATTGTATTCACTTTTCCAGGCAGAAGTTGTGTGACTGGATTGTAGGATTGTATAGGATATTTTCTACCAAGGAGCAACTAAATGGACTCATATTTTATGATAATTTAAAGAGCGCATGTACATGGATGACACACTTTTCATCAGTGTCGTTTGATCTAATCGCTCGAGCTCTGTCAAATGTGTACCCATAGAAATTCTTATGCATGTATACATTTCTGTATGTACATATGTGATGTACTTTTAGAGTCTGCCGACAGCCGTCAACTGAATATATATGTGCTAATATGTGTGTATGTTAGCTCCAATCGGGTGCTTACGCATATTCACACATGTTTATTCATATACAAATATCATTGTTTGTTCACATAAGTATGTCTATGTGTTTCAACAAGTTTCACATTCTTTTAGGAGAGGCCGCACATAGTCAACAATTCATTATTAAATTAGTAGAAAATATAACAATTCGCTAAATAAATACTATTAAGATAATTATAAATCGAATCGTTTTCCTCTGTTCCCTCAAGCAAAATATAGTCAAATGAAGAAAACATACTATTGATCAATATCAAATCCAAATGTTTTATCCATGTGTATGTTCTATCGCAGTTTACTCATAATATTAAAAACAACTCGCTCGAAATTGCATCCTTATTGTGTCTAGTACACACCATTTCAACGCACCACTCAAGTTGGTATTTGCTCGGGTCCCTTACAATGTTGCCAACTATGGGTTTGGCTAAAAAAAAGCAAGAAAAAACACATTTTTAAAGCTCTAGGAAAAAAACTGTTATAATGTTGAGATCATTTTTTGTATTATTAATTAATTAATGTAATGAAAATGTGCAGCTTGTATGTTTAGTCACTTAATATGGATACATTCTTGTTAGGATTAACGTCAGCCATTCTATGAAGCTATAAAGCCATATTTCAGTACCCATTTTATAGACAAAGTGTCAAAGAGAAATACATAAAGTTTTGTTCTTTGACAGAGCAGTTAAATAAAAAAGTGTTTGAGATGCCATGTATAAAGCATCTTTTTTCTACAATTTATTTAGGCATTGTTATTATACTTAGATCATCAGGCATTTATTTCAGAGATATTTCGTATTTGACAACTTATTTTGCCTTAGTAAGCAAAGAGTAGGCTCTATACATTTATACATAATTCTAACGTATCAATCAACATAAAGGATTATATTCCAATTAACATGAGATGAATTAAACATATCAATCATAATTAAATTGAGTTATGAGACTAAGTCAACTTAACATTTGACTTACAACCTTACAACCCTAACAACCTCTCAGTGTGATGTTAATATAATAATTAATATAGAAAAAATATACATGAATATATTTCTCAAATTTAAAGTTCATGTGGATAACAGGGAGATGATTCCCGCCACGTCTCCTTCAACTTGTTACATACATTTTCTCAAGTCATTATACTCTAGACATATATTTATATTTCTTTAAATTCTTTTATTTTATTTATTTATATTACATATCTTATAGATCTATACTATAGAAGAACCACTGTAGTATATTTAAAAATTGAAGATATCATAATAATAATAATCAAAATGCTTGAGTCCGTATGAACAAGAATTTTAGCTAATTCGTCTATTTCTACTACCTAGATGTATTCAATACTATAATATTATATATTTTACTTATTTTCGAAAGATATGAAACTTAACTTTTTAAACGTGTTAGTCTTTATCAGAAACGCTTTTTAGAACACGTTCATATATAATTAAACACACATGAAAGTCCGTGATGTGTACTTGATCGAATGAGATAAATGATTTACGATAGCGTTATTTTGATAATAAAGCTATATGCGATAAGAGCATGTTGGTTATGACGCAAGCTAAAATCTTGCGACAGTTTGGAATAAGATTATCTTTCTGGATGTAGTTTAAGTCAGTATATTCCGGTAAAATCATGAAATTAGTATATTGGAACTATTTAGTAAAACATCTCAATTGGTTTGATGGCCAAAATGCTTACGTAGGGGCAGACCTTATCTAAAACAGAAGAAGCCCTTATACAATAGTCAAGTGGCTATTGACTTCGTCATATATTTGTTGATCAGCATGAACCACCTGGTAACTATTATTTGTGTTCTCAACGATGATTTTATTTATATAGGTGGTCTATAATTTATATATTATTGCTTTTATAATCTTTGTCTGGCATCGGTCTATGCATAACAGATATAAACTAGTATTAGCTGGCTAATTGATCTGATTGTTTACTATACTTACAAGCCAATACATATGTCCGTCTAGGAGAACCACTATAGTATATTTAAAAATCGGCCATGATATCTTAAATATTTGAGTCCGTGTGAACAAGAACTTTTTCTACTTCGTCTATTTTTACTACCTAGATATATTCAATACAATATTTAGGAATTTTCTTTTTTAAAATATCTTGTTTAAATCTGCATTCATATATAAAGCAGTAACATCTTTGATATTGTTTCGAACCTACATCACAGAAATTTTTAGCAAAATGTGAAATTTAAAATTTTAATTATGGGTTAGCCTCTCAGTTCTGGTATGTATGATAGAATCGGTTGGATTGAATTAATATAGCTTAGCTATTGTATGTCATATATTTTTTGGAATATATTTAAATATATGCTATATAGTATGGCTATTCAAAATATGGGTTATCAAAAAATTAAAAAAAATATATAATTTTGAGCTTCATTGTTTTTTACTAATTTAGATATAATATGTGTACATATAAATTCTCTATATATTAAGAAATTTCAAGTAACGAATGTACAAATGAAATCTATACATATATATAGCTGAGCGAAATGAATTTTAAATGAAAATTATTTTATAGTCCAGATTTTATCTATATTTAAAATATAGATTTTAGGCAGAGGAATTTTCAATCTGAAGACAACAGGATATTATAAAGTTCGTTCAATGTAGCAAAAGTTTATAAATAATTTATAATGCTTTGGTAAGCATGTTTATTAGCGTCTGCGTATTTTGTGACCTTTTCTGGCGCAAAAGGCAAAAAATTAAAGCCAATCAGAATTTGTTAAGTCCATCCAAGTGTTTTTTGCCTCCGATCACTCTGGCAAGGGAATGGTCCTATAATATGCCGTGCCTTCAGCGATCCACGGCACAAGAAATATAATCTCATATCATTATATCCTGATTAAAATAATTCAACTTAAATAAATTATTTATTTTTTTTTTTCTTTTGTCTAGAGATCGGAAACCGCGACAGGTTACGGGGAATAGCAGTTTTCGTATTATAGGATTGCGTTTGGAGGATGATAGCTCTGAGTCCAATGATGGCGTTCCGAGTGTATTGAGCAATAAGGAACAGACAATTCGCATTTTTGGTGTTGATTTACAAAAGAACACAGTTATCGCGTTTACAAGTGAAGAGAACGATTATAAAGGAGCCTGTCTGAAACCAATAACAGAAATCTTTAAGCCCGACGCTGTTTCCGATGGCGGACTTACTGCAACATATACGGTCAAATTTCCGTACTCGAAGAGCGCATTGTATATTTGTGCGAAAACTGACGATAACGGAGTAACTGTGAGTTTTGAATGCCGCAGTGAATGCTAATTTCATATTAACTTTATGTATGATTAATGAATTTTCTTAACAGCATCACAGCGCCGCTGATACCACACCCCTTGTACATCAAGGCAATGACAAATGGATGAAAATCGAAACGCATGAACCACTTCTGCCTCTCTGGGTAGCTATTGTTGTCATCGTAACATGTTTATGTTTCTCTGCCTTGTTCTCCGGTCTTAATTTGGGTCTAATGGCCATGGACCGTACTGAATTAAAAGTATGTAGCTGAAGCAAAAACGATTTATCGGTTTAAAAATGAATTATATATCTTAGATATTACGAAATACCGGCACGGAAAAAGAAAGAAAGTATGCCGCGAAAATTGCACCTGTCAGAGATCAAGGTAATTATCTGTTGTGCAGTATTCTCTTGGGTAATGTGTTGGTTAACTCCACCTTTACCATTCTACTGGATGGTTTGACTTCTGGACTTTTTGCTGTCATATTTTCCACCTTGGCTATTGTACTTTTTGGTGAAATAACACCTCAGGTAGGCATTTAACTAAACTATATGATTGGACTCTGTAAAAGTAACACGCTGAATTAAATTGATCTAGTTCATTTTTCTTATCATTCTCTAAAATGCTTACACAAAACCTATTAAAAATGTTTAATGCAAATAATGACATATACGAATTGTTTAATGCAAAAATATGTAAAAAGTCTTTATATATCAATTTGTTCGTATTTGAAATGATGACATTCAAGCAGAATCACTTTTAAGAATCACTGAATCAATATAAATTCTAAAGGTGCTTAATTAGGTAATTAGCAAATAAAGTATATTTTTGGATACACTATCCCAAGACTTTAAACAGCAGGGTCTTGACCTGACACACAGTTGGATACTTTTTTCGGTTGCCCAGCTAAAGTTGGTGACTCATTATTATGGTTTAATATTAAGCATGAAATCCCAGCCAAATTTTAAATGTAGGTCAATCTAACGCCATATGACGAAACTCACACTTTTATTACTAGAGTAATGAAGAGCTTAGATTGAAAATTATTTTTAAAACTGTTTGACCTAAATTGCCGACTGAATCGATATAGCCCAGTGCGTCTGTCTGCCCGTCTATCCGTATTAATCTCAGTACAAATGCTTCCTAATTTTTTGTAGGTCCTTTGGATTTTGACTATTCCCTTTTTAATGTTATTGATTATCGAAATTCAGTTAATAAGCAATAGCAAAACGCATTGTACATTTGCCCTTACACACAAATACATATGGCTTCATACCAATACTTCCATTATCTTGTATTTCTAAGCAATCTAATTTTTCTGTTTTGACCCATAATAATAAAAAGAAATAGACTCGACTAATACCACAACAATTCATCTAATTTATGTTGTACTCAATTACGTTTAATAGATATGCTTTGTACACATCAATTTTATTCTTAAATAAGGCGAACGGGATTTTAATAACTTTTAACTTATTTGATTATGCTTTTTGATGAATGTACTATGCATATTAATAAAAACAAACACGACGCAAATACATGGGACTGTGAAAACTTAGTTATGTGCAACTAATTTGTATGGTATCTGGCATACACATTTATTATTTAATTGAGTATATATATTTGCGTTTTATGTTAGATGAAGATTATATGGATTAATTTGAAATTCATTCATAACAGCGTAACTCTTACATTGATCTATAATTTTAACCTTATAATATATATAGCCAATTTTCATAAATCTTTCTTTACATATAAAAAATAATAATTTAGGCTGTGTGTTCAAGACACGGTTTAGCTATTGGTGCCAAAACTATATTGATTACCAAAACGGTAATGGCCATAACCGCTCCGTTATCGTACCCAATATCTCGTATCCTAGATGCACTGTTGGGTGAAGAGATTGGTAATGTATTTAATCGTGAACGTCTGAAGGAACTTGTGCGTGTAAGTACAGAAAACCCTTGTAAAAATTTAGATTTCCATTATGTTAAAGAGATTCTATTGCGCAGGTTACAAACGACGTAAATGATTTGGATAAAAATGAAGTGAATATAATATCGGGCGCGTTGGAGTTACGCAAGAAAACTGTCGCCGATATTATGACTCACATTAATGACGCCTACATGCTCTCATTGGAGGCCGTGCTGGACTTTGAGACTGTATCTGATATTATGAACTCTGGTTATTCTCGTATTCCAGTATACGACGGAGATAGGAAAAACATTGTGACTTTGCTCTATATTAAAGATTTGGCATTCGTAGATACTGATGATAACACTCCGTTGAAGACATTATGCGAATTTTATCAAAATCCCGTTCATTTTGTGTTTGAGGATTACACTTTAGATATTATGTTTAATCAATTCAAGGAAGGCACGATCGGTCACATCGCATTCGTTCATCGTGTTAACAACGAAGGCGACGGCGATCCGTTTTATGAAACCGTTGGCCTTGTTACATTGGAAGATGTAATTGAGGAGCTTATTCAAGCAGAAATTGTTGATGAAACCGATGTGTTTGTTGATAATCGTACAAAAACTCGTCGCAGTCGTTATAAAAAAGCCGATTTTTCTGCGTTTGCCGAACGTCGCGAGGCGCAAACAGTTCGTATTTCTCCTCAATTAACGTTGGCAACATTCCAATATTTAAGTACAGGTAACAAATAAACACAAAAAAATACCCATAATATATAACAATAGTATAATATTACCATTTCTTTCTATCTACAGCTGTCGATGCGTTTAAAAAGGATGTCATTTCAGAACCAATCTTGCGGCGATTACTTAATCAAGATGTTTTCCATAATATTAAATCAAAGGGAAAACCGAAAGATGATCCCAGTTTGTTCATATTTACACAGGGGAAAGCTGTTGACTTTTTTGTACTTATATTAGAGGGTCGTGTGGAAGTAACGATTGGCAGAGAAGGACTTCTTTTTGATAGTGGTCCATTTACTTATTTTGGTACGCAAGCATTGGTGCAGAATGTTGTTGTTGGTAAGTACATAAAATTACAAGAAATAAAATTTAATTTAATCGAATGTGCTTCTGCAACTCATTGTAGACTCTCCGACTCAGATGGGATCGATGCAGTCGTTGAATATGGATTCGAAAATTCGGCAAACTTTCGTTCCTGATTACTCTGTTCGCGCTGCTACAGATGTGATATATATTGCAATTAAACGTAGCTTGTACCTAACTGCAAAAAAGGCAACTTTATTAGAAAAGAGTCGAAAATCGGGCACGTTCTCAAGTGAGACAATCGATGACGAAGTTGAACGGTTGCTCCATTCAGCAACTGAAGATGAAAAGCCTCGATTTCTGTCAACGAGACGCTTATCCAAGCCTAATCGAAGTGTAACATCGTCACCAACTAACAATACTATATCTCACGATGATCGAAGTAATAGTGCTAGTGGTCACATCCATGCTGGACATAAAATTGGTCCTGAAAGAACAGAAGATGGTTCATTCAGTAGTTTAGTTACCTCGGATGTTGCAGGTGATCTTCACAATGGAGAAAACGATGACAAAGATGGAACAACGGCGTTAGCACCGCTCTTGCCAAAACCGGAGGATATCAACGAATCCAGGCAAAACAAGCCACAATAACCAGACTATTCTTTACTGGGAATCTAGTTGCGCATATTAAATTTCCCATTCAAACACATTTGCTCTAGCGTATAACCGACTTACGATTGTTTTTCCTTAAATATTTTTCCTTAATTATTGTTTTATTTTCACTATAACTTGCAACTTGAATAGAATATTGTTTCTATAATTTTGTAAACTCTATTAGAGATATATACTTTTGGATACAGCAAATTAATGTAACAATCAATAATATTTTTGTTATATCGCATTTTTTTTAAATAACTATGAACAGATATGAGAATTTTCGAGTGCTAAAAATTACACACAATTACACATAAAAAATACCTCATAAATTATGTACTTAAGGAGAGAAATGAAGCACCGCTGCTTGGAATCCACCCTATATTTCTACTTCCATTTAAATGACAGAATTAAAATTATGTTTATAATCGCGGCATTAATAGGAATTTGTTAAATTTGTTTATTGTTCAGTATAGGTCCTTAACCGATTAGTTTTTCATTTTACAAATCAGTCTAAAGATGTTATTTAAGTAGCAATTTTCCTATACTATACCAATGTGCACAAGTTTTTGTTTTTACTGTTGTTTAATGTTTGCGTTATTTAATAATATGCGTATTTCTACATTAAATATCCTGCTTCATGTAGAATATCTATATATTTTGGTGAGAAATTACAAATTTCTCATTTGTTGTTCATATAATTAAATGTGTTAATTAGCAGTCTATTATGTCTATAAATTAAATGCATATACACGCCTATGTTAACTTAGAATAAAGGCATACCTAAACAAATACAATGTGTACGTATTTCTATGTACATGCAGAGGAAATTGGCTTTACATGTCCATCGCATTTGTTAGTGAAGCCAGATGAATGTTGGCAATAGGTAATATATTTTGAATGATTCTTGCAAAGAACCTTCATTAAATGAAACATGTGCTTGCAATAAATTATACATTTTATAGAATTCATATATTTACTATAAAAATAAAACATTAATGTCAATAGAGATACTTTGTTACTTCCTTATATTTACAATATATATTCGTATATAAAGCTAAATCACAAATCTTATATTTTTTGGGTTACTTGGGCGAGAGTTATTTGAGAATATGAAAAACAATTAAGTATATTAGTATACAAAAATTAATTATAGTTTGATTTGACTTTAATTAAAAAAGCCTTCAGTTACAAATCGAATTCCTTTTACATTTTCACACAAATATATAAGACAACTTTTGATGAATTAAGAAAATTCAAAAAGTTTTAAATAAAGATTTGAGCTATATTTTCCAAAATGTATTGTAGTTGTAGAAAACGTAAGAGACTAAGGGTCCAAAACTATGAATAATACAGCTTTTTTCAATTTACCATGCTTCTAAAGGGGCACAATACATATATATATGAATATATATATAAATCAAAAGAGGAGGTAATCTTATAAAATTTGTAAGTTTCAAATTTAAGATCTAGATATACTCCGCGTATATTTGGTTTTTTCGAGGGTTTTGTAAAAATATAAATTTTATGTTTGAATTTGAATTTGACATTAGGACATCAGAACACGATCCAACATCTCCTGCGCAACATCCACAATCTAAAATATAAACTAAAATAACAGTTCACATCTCAAACACAATTCAATCACAATTGCGATTCTTCGAATAGAATAGAATTCACGAATTTTAATTTGTTGCCACATTTTTGAGTGGCACATGCTTATTGTCCAAACGGACTTAAATGATGTTTTAAGCTTATAATCTCCATAATATATTGGAATATTTGTCAGACGACAGGCGGACGGACAGACAGATAGACTGTCAGACGGATAGGGATAAACCGGTCAGCAAATTTGAATCGTCTAGTATATAGTTAGTCCCGATTTGCCCTGTGCCTACTAACCGTAAATATATATATAAATATATAAATTTCAAATATCTAGTATTTTATATAATGGCGTTTGTATTGTACCAGATATAGATATATAGATTTCTGAATATGCGAAACGCATTTCAAAAACTATCTCCATATTTTAATTATTTTTGTGGGTTTGCTTTAACCAAATTGTAATCGATGTATTGAATGAAGATCAAGTGATACTAGTACTATTTGGTATTTGTATCTCCAACAAAATATGGTTTTATAAGTACTTCAGTAAGTATATTATAAGTACTTTTCCGATCGTTGTAATGGCATACAAAATTTCCGTTGTTTCATCAAAGCATGAAAAAGTAATATTTCTATATATACCGTTTTAGTGGATTGTTATTAAGCTATCAAGTTATAATACTCACCTCTAACTCTTATCGACATTGTGTTCGATTTGTTTTATTTTTCTTTCGGAAATTTAATCCTATACAAAACTACATAAATGTTGTCAAAAGTCTGACTAAATTTGTAACGTACTATAAAATTACCAAATTATAAATTTTTACATAATGCGTGAAACTTAACATTAATATGTTACATTAACATTAACATATATAGGGACTACCACTATGTGTGTAAATCATCAGGGCTTCAAAAAATATCAAAAATATCAATTCGAATCGAATAAATTAATTCTGGTGTGCTTAAGCGTTTATTTCTAATAAAATGCATAGAGGAAATAAGTCGCAAGCCCGTTCGGGAAAAAGTTCCCGCCCGCCAGGACTGAGTGGCAGGGAGATTGGCATGTACTACAAAAATCTTGCCCGACAACGTAAAAACTCAGACACCAAAAATGAGCCGAAAATTAAGTTGAGCTGCGATGTTACTGTGCCTCCTGGTGTTATTATGCGAGTCAATGAATACATGGATCAGTTTAAGCTGGCAAGAGAAGCTGGACAGAAGCATTTTGATGAGAATTTCCAACAGCAGTTTCGCCATATGTTAAATGTAAACTTTGAGGCGTTCATAGAAGAGACCAAAAAGCAAAATAAAGATTTGAATCTGCAAAACCGAAGCCTAGATGCCCATCTTCAGGATAAACAAAAGGAACGTCTTCAAAATGCAGACTTTCGAGCGCGCTTCGAAGACCGTCTGAAATTACCCACAATGCGTCATGCAACAGATGTTATCGACGCTGTGGACAAAAATCAAGTTGTATTAATTGTTGGTAGCACCGGCTGTGGTAAGACTACGCAGGTGCCGCAACTACTGTTAGACGATTGCATAGAAAAAGGAATAGGAACCACCTGCCGCATCGTGTGCACACAGCCTCGTCGAATCTCGGCCATAACAGTGGCCGAGCGCGTTAGCTATGAGCGTGCTGAACCATTAGGGCATTCTGTGGGCTATCAGATTCGTCTGGAAAGTCGAAAGCCTCGTGAGCGTGCCTCAATAACGTACTGCACCACAGGAGTTCTCTTGCAGCAGCTACAATCAGACCCGTTGCTGCACAACGTGAGCGTTCTTCTGCTGGACGAGATACACGAGCGCAGCATTGAGACAGATATGCTAATGGCATTGCTCAAGATTATACTGCCACATCGGCCCTCCTTAAAAGTCATATTAATGAGTGCGACGGTGCGGGAAGAGGATTTCTGTAACTATTTTAACAGATGCCCAATGTTACGCATAGAAGGTGTGATGCATCCTGTCGAAGTTCTCTATCTGGAGGATGTGCTCGCCATGACAGGCTATCAGTTTGACTGTGGGAACAATAAACGGTCCCAACCCCGGCTGGATCAGTCGGAACACAGAAACATGATTGAGCCATACATACGGCAGGTGCGCAGCAGGTACGATAACAATGTCCTTGAGCAGCTTCGAGTACCCCATTCCGAGGGCTGCGAGGATATCGATTTTATTGCGAATCTCATATATTATATATGTAACAAAAAATCAGATGGTGCCATATTGGTCTTCATGCCTGGATTGAATAAGATATCACAATTGCATAGCACACTGAAAAACCCCCGTTCACCCTTGGGCCAACGCTGGCGCGACCATTTACTCATCTTTCCTCTGCATTCCATGCTTCCCTCGGCGGAGCAACAGTCTGTTTTCAAACGCGCCCCTAATGGAAAACGAAAAGTAATCATATCCACTATTATCGCCGAGACTTCAGTAACCATCGACGATGTTGTCTACGTCATCAACACTGGGCGGACCAAAGTAACTGACTATGATATTGAGACAAACATACAATCTCTAGAGGAGTGCTGGGTGACGCACGCAAACACGCAACAGCGCAAGGGACGCGCCGGCCGAGTGCAGCCAGGCGTATGTTATAATCTGTTTAGTCGGGCACGAGAGGCTCTGATGTCGGAAGTGCCAACTCCAGAGATATTGCGCTGCAAACTGGAAACGATCATACTTAGTCTCAAAGTGCTGCACATAGACGATACTTACGCAATGTTTCAAACAATGATCGATGCCCCTGCCCAGAGGACTGTGAGCACAGCTATTAACTTACTTAAGCGGTAAGTAGTGCTGCTCTCTTAATTGCGATTACGAGATTGTATCGGTTCTAATCAGGATAGAAGCGCTTGACATTAATGGCAACTTGACGCCGTTGGGCATGCATCTAGCCAAACTCCCAATTGATCCGCAAGTGGGTAAAATGATTCTGATATCGGCACTTTTTCGTTGTTTGGATCCCATTACATCCGTCGCAGCTGCTCTCTCCTACAAAAATCCGTTCTATACGCCCTTAGGTCAGGAGCGGCGGGTCGACGAGGCCAAACGCAGGATGGCCCAAAAGATGTACAGTGATCATCTAATGATACATAACACTATTTGCAACTACCGCGAAAGCGTAGGGGAGCATCGGGATCGCGACTTTTGCTATAACAACTTTCTCAGTCACACGACACTTCAGCAGCTAGAACGTATGAAGTCCCAATTCGCTGAGTTCCTCTGTAACTACAAGTAAGTACCATTACAATATAATAATACAAGAAGCAGTAAAGTAGGCAAACAAAGTATGTTATAAATCCATTTAACTTTACTTATAGGTTCCTAACTTCGTCGAATTGTTTAGACCAATCGTCTAACATTAATTCAGATAAAATTCCCCTGATTCGCGCTATTATTGGGGGCGGTCTCTATCCCAATATGGCACATTTACGGTAAACTTTAGGCTTTAGAAACTTGATATTATAATAATTATATGTATTGTATTTTTTTTTAATAGAAAAGCACGTCAAGTGAAGAACCGCGTTCGCGCCATTCACAATATGACGACCGACGATGGGCGTCGCGTAAATTTTCACCCCTCCTCCGTGAATAGCGGAGAAACAGGATTTGACTCAAACTACTTTGTTTACTATCAGCGGCAGAAGTCAACCGATCTTTATCTGCTCGACGCTACTATGGTGTTCCCGATGGCACTTATTATTTTTGGCGATGGCGTCGACTCTGGTGTTATAGATAATAGACATTATCTGTCTGTAGCCAAGACCTACTAGTAAGCCACTGATATATTATAAATTCTTTTATAACGATTTTTCCGGTTTTATATTTTCTAGTTTTAAGTGCAGCCCAGAAACGGTTTCTGTAGTGCTGAATTTGCGATCAAATTTGGGACTCTTGTTGCTTGAAAAGGCTTTGCATCCAGCGCCCATCGAGGAGAACAGCGATGCTAGTAAACTAATCAAGTATGTGTTGCTTTAAAATAAGAAAATTGTCGGATAAAGTACTGGGCAATTACAAATATCGAAAGTCTTATATAATTTCTGAGTATGAAAGAGACCAGATAAGATTTTAAATAATGATATGTTGTCTTTACCAAACTATTTATATTTATAAATTTGTAATTATTCTATAAATGTTTAATTTTTATAGGGCCATTGAGCTGCTCCTTTCAATTGACGATAAAATGGGAGACGACTACGAAATCATGTCAGATGAGATTGACAACATTTAAATTGCCGAACAAAGTCATTCTAATGTGATCAAATTAATGTGAAATATACTAATAGTTTCATTTTATGTATGATACCAAAATATATTTGTTTCTATATCAAAAATGATATAAATTAAAGTTATCAGGCTTTACCTATTGCTTAAGCTTAATTATCTTCAAGCAGGCGAAATGCGTTTCGTGAACGCAGTATCTGATCATCGCATTCATCATCATCTGCATTGGTTTCATCGTTAGAGCTGTCTTCGTCACAACTATCTCCACCTGCAATTAAACTATGGGTTAAATAATTCACAGCGTATATTGTGCCTAACTCACTGTCCGAGCAGATGGAAGATGTGTCTTCATTAGTCTCGCTATCCGGCTCATAATTGTAAACTTGCTGATATTTCTTAACCTCGGCCACATCGGAGTGTTGACTCCAGCTATTGCGGCTGTCATCATAGCCAGGGGGATAAAACTGAAATATTAGCTGTTGTTGTCCGGACAGACACATGCGCAAAATGTGGTTAGCGGCACGATAACGATCAGGGCGAGCAGCCTTGGCTGTTAGAAATCCTCGTTTATACGCCCAGGCATCCGCAACTGCCACAGCTGACCACTCGTCATACTCCTCTGGCAGATGTAAGCGAAGAAGCTGTGGCAGACTCACATGCTCAGCCAGCAACTTGAGCGAACGATAAGGCACTTGTAACTGTGAGATGGGGAAACTGCCAAGCAGCACTTGCAAGCTCTTTGGCGTGCTAGACGGAAAGACCAGACCCGGACAGTCGCAAACGCGTACATTCTGTACCAGAAATATGGTTTGGAAATGTTTGGTGTGGCCTGGTGTACGACTAACGCTGACAACCTTACGTCCTTTTAAGGCATTGATGAGCGATGATTTGCCCACATTTGGAAAGCCCAGGCATCCAATGGTCAAAACGCCGTTGTTGTATTTCACATGCTGATGAGGTGTGGTCTCGGTGGCATTAATAATTTTCAACTCTCCTTCAGCTTGGCTCTTTGTAATTGCGTCTTCAACGTCAAACTGGTCAGTGCTCATATCATCACGAATCTTTTGCTGCCATGCCGAGAGATCTACATCGCTTTGAACAATGTTTTGACACTCCCGATAAATATTATGCACTCCATCCATACTTTGCCGATGAGCACGCTGATACCGACTACGTTGAACGCCTTTTTGGCTGCGCACTAAATACGATGCAAACAGGACAACTGGAAGCTCCGGGTAATGTTCCTTGAAATAGTGTCGCCAGGCAACGACAGCCTCTGCAGCGACTAAATCCACTTTATTAAAGATCACAATTGCATGTTTCTTTAACGTGTGAATAATATAATCATATAGAGATGGTGGGAACATCAGTGATGCATATCGAACGTCTACAACGATAAGCAAAATATCCGAGAACTCTAGCACACGCCAAAGCTGACGCCAGGTTTCCAAATTTAACTCGAAAATGGAATGTTCTTTGAGATTGCTACGCTGCTTTTGCAGCAGATCATCGACATACTCCTGCAAAATTACCTCAGTTTAATAATATTTTTGTTTAACTTATTAACATACCTTGAAATATCTATGTTCATTACGATCCAATTGCTCTTTGCTTTGATCAAATGTCCAAGGTGGACGCACTGGAAAATCATAATTCTCAAAATATCGTGCATCGATCTCCCTTTGAGTGGGTGTTATGATTTCGAGTAGGCTGAAGCCCTCTTGTTTCATTTCTTCTATATCCTTTTTGCTTTCATGTATGAATTGAAGATTGTAACGGTTTAAGTTCTTGTTGCGACCACCGCGTGTTACAGGCTGCTCCATGAGCTTGTGATCAACTCTTTTCTCTGGAGCATCGCTATCTTCGTTCGATTCTTGATTGCTGCGCAAGTATTTGGAGTGCCCTATTTGTAATATTTTTATATATATAATACTAACGAAAATATACAATGATTTACCTTTTGCACAGCGTTTTTGTAGTATTTGATCCTTCTTCTTTTTACCGCTAAAAGCAAGTTTGCGTCTCTGTTGCGGCATCTTTAAATTTTCCTGAATTAATTTGTTAATTTCATTAATTTTTCAATTTTGTCAATTTTCTGTCGCAGTTGACGCAGAAACAACACTAGTTAACGCAAAAAAGATCCGCCTGACGCAAAAATGTACTCGCTTATAAGCTGTTCATAGGATAACATTTTTAATTTGAAAATTATTTCATAATTTCATAATGACAAAAATGCTTATCTGTTGTTTCTCTGATTACCTTCTATTTATGGGAATTTGTTTTCATACTATGTTAATGCTGACATTAGCAGTTGTAGCTAAACACCTGCAAGTCCGTTAGGTGATTAACTGACAACAATCATGACTGCGAAATATAGCCAATTAACAGTGGACAACAGCTGACTTCTGATATTTCTAAAAAAGCCGGAATAGATTGTTGACATACAAAACTTTAAGTTATTATAAATAATTAACCTGACTACATAATATGCATTAAATCAATTTTAGCCAATTATGTTATTATTTAACGTTATTTTTAAAAAAAGAAACTCTAAAAAGAAGAACTATATTCTTTTCAATTTTTATATTTGTATGGAAAACCTGGTCTACTCATTTTTAAGCTGCATTAACATTGCAACATTTATTTTGTTTCTTTGTTAATAAGTTTTTCTTTATTTCAATGATGGTATTTTAATACTACATGTTATCGTTCGACTGTTAAAGAACATCGCTATATGTGCTTTTAACTGTTCAAAGGGCATTGTATAGTGATTTTGAGTGAGATTTTTCAGATGCCATTACGAGGTGTTAAGGTTTTAGAGTTTGTGGGATTAGCTCCTGGGCCATTATGTGGCAAAATACTTACAGATTTCGGTGCTAGCGTAACCCGCATAGACAAGGTACGAATGCATTGAAATAAACTGTCCAAACCGTCAGTAAAGGCTTAAAATATTGTCTAGGTACTAAATAATTCCTTCGATGTTCTGCATCATGGTAAGAACACTGTGGTGATTGATATAAAAAAGACGGCAGGTCAGCGGATTGTACAGCGGCTTGCTCGAAAATACGATGTCATAATTGAACCATTCCGCCCCGGTGTCATGGAAAAGCTTAATTTGGGACCTGATCTATTGTGCTCTACCAATCCGCGCTTAATTTATGCGCGTCTGACAGGATTTGGACAACAAGGCCGACTTGCAAATCGTGCCGGACATGATCTAAATTATGCAGCCATATCTGGGGTACTATCGATGCTGGGTCGTGAGCACGAGAAACCAACGGCACCCATCAATATTTTAGCAGATTTTGCAGGTGGAAGTGTTATGTGTGCATTGGGTATATGCTTGGCATTGTTAGAACGCTATAAATCTGGAAAAGGTCAGGTTGTGGATGCAGCGATGGTTGAGGGCGCTGCATACGTTGCCAGCTGGTTATTTATGTCCAGGAATCTCGACATTTGGAGTCAGCGAGAACAGCGTGGAACGAATTTGCTTGATGGTGGCGCTTACTTCTACGACACCTACAAAACAAAAGATGGCCTTTTTATGTCGGTGGCTGCATTGGAACCGAAATTTTTTGCTTTAATTAAGGATCGCTTGAATTTACCTGAAGAACTGTCGCAATATGGAGAACAAGATCAAGCCCAAGGTAGACAGCTATTAACGGATATATTTCTGACAAAAACGCAAGCCGAATGGTCAGAAATATTTGAAGATATAGATGCTTGTGTCTATCCCGTTTTGGATTGGCAGCAAGCCCATAAGCATGACCACAATGCCGAGCGTCATTCTTTTGAGCGAGTTGACGATAATTGGGCGCCTCGTCCGGCACCTCGTTTAAGTCGGACGCCTGGTAAGCTACGCACAACTACAGAAACTGATGTAAAGAACTTCCTTGATGAGCTGGACGTAAAACCGGAGAAACTACGGCAATTGCAAGAAGAGGGAGTATTAATATTGCCGATTAGGCAAAAACTGTAGCTAACTGTAAATAAAAGTCGTCTTCAAAAAGTTTTTAGCATTCAAAATACTTTTATTATTTTCCTTGCACACAAACACAATTACAATTCTTATTCATCACGTACAAACTATCAGTCATCCATTGCTTAAGATCATTTAAGCCGCATTTTAAACATACTTTTCATTTAACAAAATAATTCTCATTTTTGCATTATAGAAATCATTATGGTTTTATTCCATTTGATTCAAGAACAACTTGACCAGACGAGAAATTTCTATTCAGATTCACACTCTTCACGCATGCTAAACTATTCGCACACACGCTTTGTGGTAAATGACAATAGAGAAGATACACCATACTCACTTAATTGTTAATCAATTGTTTTTAATTCAATTATTTTTGAAGCACCGCGCGTCAGCGTAACCTTTTCATAATAATTTCATTAATGTGAATGTATGTTTACGTATTAGGTATGTTTACATACACATATGCACGTGTAAATGTATGTATATGAACGCGCAATATGCATACAAAAATTGTTTTTATTATTCTTTTTATGTACGTTGTGTTGTGTAAATTTTACTATTTTTCTGTTAGTTTGTATCGTACGTCCCGCGTAAAGTAATTAATGATAGTCCTTATGTAGTTGTAAGTATTTATGTATGTATTGTATAAGTAGAAAGTCTCAGTTCTCAGTATAAAATCAGTACCATATGTTTCGTGTTCGATTTGTTTTTGTTTTTGTTTTTGATCTCTTTCAATGTCATATTTTTGTTTTCTTCTAATTTTTTATTTTTTTTTTTACAATAAGTTCTTGATTTGCATTCCTACAAAACAGAACATTATTTTTCTTGCTCTGCTGCGCGTGGTGCTTTTTACACTTATATTCACACATCAATCACATACATGCTCACTTGTCCACATGCACCCCGACCTAAATGCATTGAACACAATTACATTTTTAAGGTGTTCCTTCTGCTCACTCTTATATTAACCGATCACACTTATACATTGCAACTAATTTAAGTTATGTATATTTAATAACAAAAGCAGACAGACGATTGAAATGTATGTCATTCGCTTTTAAAATTCATTTGTGAACCTGGAATGACGTTAACCCACAATCATACACCTACATCAGTCATAGTCTCGCACACCCAAGCACATATATTACAATGTAGCTGACTTTGTTTTACAATATTTATATCTGTATATACAATATATATGCAGGATCAGCCCTATTGGGATTTGAAATGTCAGCATTACTCTCAGATACGCTTACAATTAAAATACATCAGTTTTCATCATAATTCATTGTTATCATCATCACTCATGCGCACAAGTTCATCAATCATCCAAAATGTGTCACCTGAGAAATAAAAACATTAAAATTCTTATATTTATATATTTACGAAAGATTAAAAAACTTACGTTCGCTAATGTATCCGATAAATTTTTAATTTTCATTCGGCGTGTTGTCCCCAAACATAGTTTTCATACACGACGTAATCCTGAATTGAAGCCGCCAGGACATATTAGCAAATTCCGTCATCAGTATTTTAGAAATTTAAAGTATTACTAATCTAATTATTTTGGCAATTCAAATTGAGTTCAGATGGATGAAATATGTCACTTATAACGACTATAAATATAGATTGAAATATACATTTTTAGAGAAAAAAACTGCACTGAACGCTTTTAATCTTGGACGGCAGTGTGATAAAACGTTAAAATCATTCAAAACAATAAGATATTACAAACTTCATTTGGTTTACTTATGTATACAAATTATAAATTGCTTTAGTTTAAACAACGCAGAAATTATACTTAATTTGGCTTAATTGAATGATTTACGCAAATAATTGCAAGATACAATTGGATTTAAAAACAAAAAAGTTAATAAATTTACTTTCAATCTATATTTAATCTATACAAATGTTGTTTTATCTTAACAAGATAATGGAGTTAAAGATTTTAAACGGGAATTTTTTCAAATTGATTTTTTGTTGACTTTCTTTTAGTAATATTTATTTTGCTTGGGTGTTGAATAAATATTGCCATTTTATTATTACTCATGTGTGTGACGAAAGATAAAACTGAGTTTAGTCATTAATATGTTCGCGTCGTGTCGTTACGTCCTAGACAGTCATATACTCGTATCGTATGTTTTCTGTATACTTCTATATATAATTAATATATATATGTGTATGTATGTATGTATGTATGTAAAATGAAGTACTGTAGTGTTACCCTGGTCCGTTTTCGTTAGTTTAGTAGTGATTTGTTTCTTTGTTTAACTATATATACAATACAATATGACGCTGCAGGTAGTTGTTTGGTTGTTACTCTATTCGTTTTGCGTTTCACATTTTATTCATATGGATTTCGTATTTAAAATGAATCGAAAATTAGCGCTTTTTTTTTAATATTGACTGAATAATATGAGTTTTATTTTCTTTATAAAAATGTAACCACTTTAAAAAGCATAAGACGCTTTTGTTTTGTAATTTTCGTTTCATTTTTTTGTATGTGGGTTCCCGTTATTGTTTTTTTCTGATTGGGATCAATAAAGTTATTGAGGTTTTATTTCAAATTGGCGTCCGTTTAAAATCTTTTTTTGCTTGTTTTTATCAATTAGTGTTTAGTATATCGTCCACTGAAATTTTCATGTAGCTACAGTCATTCGTATTATTTATTGGAAATTTGCTTAATGATATCTAGAAAAAACTTACATTTAGTAATATCACACATCACGCCACACTCGCGCGCATTTAAAGTGTTTTTTATAAGGAGTGCTTCTCGCTCATAACACTTCAATCACAAACCATATAGTTTTAGTTCAGACATCCACATACCTCAGATTCATACTGTAACTAGATATGGAGATTAGTAGCAATTAATAATCATTCATTTACATTCATGTTCACACGCATTTCATATAATGATCCATTCATAAGATGTCATATAATCACAGTCACTCACAAACATTCTTCTACTCACACACCTATTCATACACAGTCATACACTTACATTCACATTTGCTCACACATTGGAAGTGAAACTCCTAGCTGCTTGTTGGAGTACATCATTTTATATACGCCTATAACTAAGAGTTTCATTCCCACAAATCAACTAATTATTGGTTGATATTTTTTTCACATAAGTTTTTCTTATAAAGTATGTTGCAGCCGTAAGATTATTTGTATCCAATATTGCTATGTATTTTGATGTTGCTTTAGGGTTATATTGGGTTTAATGCTATATTATAAATTGATACCGATTTTGATTTTACATTAACAACTTTTTAGAGACATGAACATAATTTTGAATAATTTTTGTTTTCTTTTTTCCACTCTCTTGTTGTTTCTTTTTTTTTTTTGTTTTTTTTTTTTTTTGTTTTGTAATGTATATAATCGGATTCGGTTTGTGTTATAACAGGAATCGTTGTGCTGATAAGCTGCTTACATTTTAAAGTTGTCATTATGCTTATAAAGTCTATGTAGTTGGTTGGACTTTAATAACGCTTCTTAAAAAGTATCAATTTACTAATGATCTCACACAAAAATAACAATATAAATAATCATAGCAGGCTTTGGCTTACAATTTAATTTACAAACAAAATTGTCTTAAACTTTAGGCGTCGCACAGCAACAATAAATCGGACAAACTTGCAGATAGAATTTTCGAATTCGGACTGAACTGTAAAAAATGTGTAAGTTTTAAAATGAATGTTGAGTCAAATTATTTCTTACAATAAGTTAAATATAAAAGTTTACTCACCAGTTTGGCTGCGTACATACATTGGGGTGGGATTACATTAACAACTAAAAGACCATTTTACTGGGCTATAACTTGACTGTTAATTCTCTTGATCTCCTTGGCCGCCCATGTACAGAGCATTTTGGTGCGTTGACCTTTGGAACGCTTTCCATCAGCCAGAAACTGTGTGATGACCACATCATCCAGCAACGGATACAGACGAGGCCCAAAAGAAGTGCATAAGTCTCCAATAAATCCAGCGACACTTGCCATCATCAAATCGGAAACGTCACCGTCTTGTGCAATGCGCTTGATGAAGGCAATGATATGCATTAGATGAGGTTCCAAGTGAAACACATCTGGATTGGCCGTTTGCTCGGCTCCCTTAAGACCTTGAACGATACCGGTATATGCCTCAAGAACACTCTCACGCAATTCTTTTATGTATTCAGTCATGTGGTGGTTGCTGGAATCCACCTGTTTAGAGCCAGAGTTACAACGTATAATGGGCATTCCAATCAGCAAGTGCACTGTGTTATTGATATTACCTGTAAATCGGAAGCTGCCCGCAACATTTCCAAAACTACATTTAAGTATTTGAGAAAGTCGCTTCCAATGCTTAGAGCCATATCGCCAAAAGCAGATAGGATATGTGGCTTTACACTCCGATCAAGATTGGGTTCGGACAAATCGTTCATTAATACGGACATTATTTCATCGCAGTAGGGTACCATTAGATGCTTCAGTGCGCGAAAAATATCACCAGTTAGTCCAACGCAAGCACAGCAAACTTGGTATTCTTGATGATTCTTGAGACCCATGATAAGGAAATCTTTAAAGGCTGGCATGTATTTGGCAAATTGAAAGCCAAGTAGCTCGACCAACGTGGAGAGAGCCAAGAAGGCATCTTCCTGAACGCCACCTGACTTTCCGGCACTTGAGCTAAACATCGTCAAGATTGCAGTCATAATGGCGTCTGAAATTTGTGGAGCATCCTCCTCGCGCACTTTACGCAACACACTCTGCAGAGTAGCACAGAGCAGGGACTGTAGGTCATTAAACTGATGGCGATCGCTGTGGTTGCTGATGCGACTCTCCATCTGCATAACTTGGTTAAGACGCTCTAAGATGACAATAGTAGTATGCTGAACGACCAGATAGCAATCCAAAGGCGAATTTTTAATCATATTCATCAAGGCCTCGTAGGCAGCACTGCGCAAATTAGCCTGAGCGCCGTCTGACCGATCGGTGGCTTCCAACAATTGGGTGATAATAAATTCAAAGTATGGCGATAATGCATACGTCTCCGGTGTGTCTCCCTCGGTGGTGATGGCAGCTTCGTAAGCGGCATCCGAAAGGCCTGTAAACGCCCAGCAAACATTAGCGGCCACACGTGGTTCCGATTTAAGACTTTTGACGAAGCACTCAAGCAACGTTTGCAAATATGTCTTGTTTATAGCTGCTTCCGGAATAATCTGATAAGTAAAGAAAGTTTTGCAATTTTAAATACGTTTTTATACTAATTTAAAAGCCAACATACTAATAATTTTATATGTTTATAATATAATGTCTATTAGCGTAGCACAATGAAACCTGCTTAAATAACGGCTTAATAATAACAATTCAACTTACGTCGCATATCCGTCCAAAGGTCCAGGCTGTTGTGTCGCGAACGATAACACTGGAATCGTACATAAGGCGTATCAGGGTGGGCATCGCCTGCTCAACAAGTGGTTTCAACGTGTTGGTTTCCAACCCACTGAGCACTGAGCCGAAAGTCATCACTGCAGCGTCTCGGTAGCGCCAATTGGGTGATTCAATATTTTCTTTAATGAACGGCAAGACATGCGGCACAATTTCGTCCTCGCAGCATGTGGCCAAAAGCATCAGGCATACTGAGGAAGCTTTAGCCGGACTCCAATTGTCTTCATCGTCACATTCGTCTTGGTCAGTAAGTTTCTCAACTAGAACCGGTGTTAAAAACTGAAGAGCCCCACGTGCATAATGTTTGGAGACACGTTGCGGCGCGCGACCCTGGTCGGTGGCCTCTTGACTCTCAATGGCAAGATCAATTTCCTCATCGCTTACATTTGACCAAAACTCGATTCCCTGAAGAGCTATTGCATCATTGTCAGACTTCATGGCTTCCAAGGTAATCGGGAACAATGCTTGCGCCATGTAGGGCTCCATGAATTGGTAGTACAGCGACATGATCTTAACTAAACATTGCAAAGCAGCAACACAAATCTGTGTGTCTGTGCACTGTGTTGCCTCACATACTACCTCCATGATAAAATTTCGCTCCATGTCCTTCTCAAAGTTTGCTTTGGTGAACTCTAATGAGTTGTATAGCGCCGTCGTGGCAGCCAATCTCACGTGATTACTGGGCTCCTGCTTTCGCATTCCATGTATAATGGCAGTAAGCACCTGATTGGATTGATTTTCGAGAACGCCATATTGGATATCTTGGCAAATGTAACCAATTGCCTCAAGCGCAGCTTCACGGTGCATTTCGCTGGAGCCCTCATGAACGACTTTGTTGACAAGCGTCTGTATTAGTATGCCCCAGCGGTTGATGGGCAACTCAATAACAGCTACATAGGCAACGCATTGGGCAGCACATGATGGCCGTGTATTTTCGGTGCCCAAAGCAGCAAGTATCTGCAAAGATATACAATTTAATTTCAAATAAAATTTGCGTCTGTTAATAAAAGCGTTTGCTATCGAGTACTAAATATTAAAAACATGGCTCTATCCTTATGTTTTAATAACAGACCATTTAATGGTAATGTTACCTAAGTTACACGATTACACGAAGAGATTTGGAAACATTTCGAACAATGAGCATTTTAACAAACAAACAAGAAATAAATGTATATTAATTGCAAGCCAGGCATTGTGCAGATGCAGAATAAGCTTGTTGAACTGATATAGAAATATATATATATATATATATATATATATATATATATATATATATATATATATATATATATATATATATATATATAAAAGAGTCGAGACGAGAATAGCCCTTCTTCTAGATGGACTCTCTTAATCGAGACTGCTGTAATACTTTCATATGTGTATTTGATATTGATTTGACAAATTCGTACTGCATATGGTATTCATGTTTCGAGTCTAGGACTTTTGTAGCTTACGAAATCTCTGCGTTCAAACGGACAGACGGATTTGGCTATATTGACTTAGCTCGTTGTCTTGATTAGGAATATATATACTATAGGGTCTGCCTGTTACATACATTTTAACAAAACCAATATACCCTGATTTCCCATTTTCAGCGGTTTCAGGGTATACACAATTCAAATATAACGAAGTACTCTATATAAATGAAAATATGGGTAACACGAAAACATTATTTCATACATTATTTTTGATAAGTTCACGGGTTTCCTCAGGAAACTGATGCCAGCGCTCCTGATACTGAAGGCTGATCTTTTCATCCTTGCTTGTTAAGTGATTTTTCAGTTGAAGACCAGCTGCCATGCGTGCCACAACACTATTTGTGGTATCAACTAGAATTTTGGATAGCGCCTTTAGAAATTCCGTCAGATTGCTGGCGGCAGCCTGCTCAAGGAAGTTCTTTGCAGAAAGCAATTCATTTTTGTCTGCGAGAAGAAATAAATTTGAGGTTAGGATAGTTAAATGACTTACAATTAAAATAATATACACATGTAATTAATTAAAAGTTATTTATTTATAAATAAAGACCAATTTTTATTATTAGTTTTTATAAATAAATAAAAATAAATATTTTAATGGTCTTTATGTGTATATATATATATATATATATATGTATATATTTATATATATATATATATATGTATATATTTATATATATATATATATATATATATATATATATATATGTATACATACATATACATATATATCATGCCCATATATATGTACGTATTTCAATATTGTATTGTATATAGCAACTAAATGTTCACTTATTGGACGTTGCAACCCTGCGCAACATACGCGTCACTGCCGTCGACGTTGCGTCGCAACAATGCTTATAACAAAATGGCTTTTTGGTTGGCCCTGAGCAAGCTTAAATGATTTTATATGTAGGTAATTGCTTTTAATGAATATCTATGTATGCTTAAAGGATATTTATCATTTACCTGGTGACACCGTCTTCTCCAAGATAACAATTAGTTGGCGTGTTATGTCCGAAGTCATTTTTGTGCTCTTACTTTCGATTTCGTGTAAATGCCGTAGCTGTTAGGGCGCGAATGTGTGGAAATTTTTTTCGTAATCGCTTAGCTTCCTATGGTGTGTATGTATATGTGAATATAGACAATACCGAGCAGCTGGCAAATAAGTAAACTAATATTAAAGTGTGCTTTGTAAAACGATGAGACGGGCACTTTGAGAATATAGTGTCGTCCTAAAATTGATTTTTTCGCTTAAATACTTACTCACTGTGCGTGTCTGTTTCCCCTTTGTCTGCGCGTTCCTGATGCTGTGTTGCTATTTCGATTTTGTCTATTCCAACTGTCAAAACACGCGGGACCAGAAAGACTGTCGCTCAAATTGTTTATATATGTAACTTAAATTTGTTTAGCTGTAGTTAACTTGGAACAAGAATTTTTATGTTCGACTAAACGTGAATTGTTAAAGAAAGAGAAGCAGGCCGGCTCATAATAATTCTCGACTACACATGGAAAACAGCTCCGCGTCGATTTTTTTCAAGGTGGCAACTCCTAGCTTGGTTATAGCTGTCAGTTACGTTTAAAGTTCGTGCGTATCTAAAAAAATATTAAAATAAAAAATGCAAATATAAAGCAAACATAATTTGAAGAAAATATGTCCACGCATTAGCTCGGAATTTAGCTTTAAATATACTTTTCCTCAAAAATAAAGTTTGTCTGTAAAAGTAACTCTGTTGCCTGTAAAACAGGTTGGCAGGCCTGGTGGCAGCGCCGTTTTTGCAATTTCACGTCAGCAGTCTGTTGTTAGACAGAAATAAGCTGAGAAAAAAAATTAATTTGTCAATTACTCTCCAAGATAGGCTCAAATAGGCATCATCGAGAATACTCCATAAACGCCTAACGTTGTGATCACATTCCGTTGACAGCTGTTACAACAAACTTAACTAGAACGTTTTGTAACTCCACATTTGTCTGACGGCAATCGTTTTTTGTTGTCAATACATCAAGAATGATACCGTCACGGAGCTGTCGCACCATGGCTCTGTCTTCTGTAATGGTGCTACTGATGTTACTGGTTAACACGTGGACGATTTGCGAAGGATTTTATTTGCCTGGCCTGGCACCAGTTAACTACTGCATAAAAACGGATGGGTCAAATACATGCAAGGTATGTGTATGTGTAATAAGAATATAGTCTAGGAGGTTCGTTTCCTCTCAACTCAACTCAACTTAGTGATAAGAGCAATATGAGTATTATATTGTTTCGTGGTATGTTGATTGTGGGTGGCGTGCTGACGTAGATCGTTTTGTTTGACATGTTCCAAACTATGTCTGCAAAGTGTTCATAGATATAATGTATACACAGTTGGTAAGATCACACATGACGAGACACTCATTTAGTTCTTCATTCAAATTTTTAAGAGCATGCATATTTTTATCTTTCGGTACATATGTAGGTATATCACTTGTATCAAATACTATATTATATCATTTAACTCCTTAAATGCCTCCACTGCAAAGCAATGTTTGCATTGGATAACATTATTGCGAAAGATAAGGAAAGTCTGTTTCAGACACAGTATCGTTCAAGTCTATGTAAATTAAACTATTTTTACTTAAACTTCTTGTGTGTCTACAAAACTACTATTTAAAAAATATTAATATATAAATTATATTTAGTTAGTATTCTTTGATAATAAAAACGATAAGTGATATGGAAAAATGTATTTTAATTTATTCGAGTAATACAAAATAGCATATATTTTTAAATATTCGTATATATCTGCTTATATCTATTTTTCATTCAGTCTGATGTCATTTTGTACGTTAATCGTTTAAATACTGAGGAATCAGTCATACCCTATGAGTACCATCACTTTGATTTCTGTCTGGGGAAAGAGGAAAACTCTCCGGTTGAGAACTTAGGTCAAGTTGTATTTGGCGAACGTATACGCCCTGGTCCTTACCATATACAGTTTTTGGATAATGTGGAATGCAATGTGGTAAGTGGGATAAGTTACATGTTCAACTATCGTGTCAATCCGTTAGCTCTTTATAATTGAAGGCATGTCGCAAAAACTATACCGGAGGTGATGCGGACAGCGATCGACGAATGATGGTCCTTAAGAAAGGTATAAGTCTTAACTATCAGCATCATTGGATAGTGGATAACATGCCTGTTACTTGGTGTTATCAACTTGAGACGGGTAAGCAGTACTGCAGCATTGGCTTCCCAATGGGTTGCTTAGTTCGTCCAAATGGTGAAGGCTGTCCCATCAACACGATGTACAATCGGCCATTGCATTACTATCCTTTCAACCACGTGGATCTGGAGATAACTTATCACAGTGGCGCTCGCGAGGATTGGGGTATAGGCTCCGGGATCAGTGGTCGTATTATATCAGTTAAAGTAACGCCAAAGTCATTGAGTCACGCTGATTCTAGCAAGCCAAACTGTTTGGGCTCAGAGCCGTTGGCCATACCCGAAAGCTCCCTTAAGAACGGTGTGTTTTTGGAAATCATTTACACATACACCGTAAAATTCGTGCAGAATAATGCAGTGAAATGGTCATCGCGCTGGGACTATATTCTGGAATCGATGCCGCATACAAATATTCAATGGTTTTCTATACTCAACTCCTTGGTTATTGTGCTCTTCCTGAGTGGTATGGTGGCGATGATTATGTTGCGCACTTTGCACAAGGACATCGCGCGATATAATCAAATGGACAGTGGTGAAGACGCTCAAGAGGAATTCGGATGGAAGCTAGTGCACGGGGATGTATTCAGGCCACCACGTAAAGGAATGCTTCTTTCCGTTTTCCTTGGCTCCGGTGTGCAGGTATTGGTTATGTCTATGGTCACGTTAGCGTTCGCTTGCCTTGGATTTTTGTCACCAGCAAATCGTGGTGCGTTGATGACCTGTTCCATGGTATTGTTTGTGTCATTGGGAACGCCCGCCGGATACGTGTCAGCGAGAATCTATAAGAGTTTTGGCGGCGTAAAATGGAAGAGTAATGTCATACTTACTTCACTTGTGTGTCCAGGGTAAATTGCAACAATTTTAAATTAAATAAGAATTAATAACTATTTATGATTTCCTGTACAGAGTCGTTTTTTCGCTTTTCTTTGTGATGAATCTTGTCCTTTGGGGAGAGAGCAGCTCTGGCGCTGTGCCATTTAGCACGCTGATTGCTCTACTGGCCTTGTGGTTTGGGGTCTCAGTGCCGTTAACCTTTGTGGGTGCCTATTTTGGTTTTCGCAAGCGCGTAAGATTTTAAGAACATAATTATTTTATTTTTGTGATAAAGATATAAGCTAACATTTTTATTATTATGTCTTTTGCAGTCTCTTGAGCATCCAGTGCGCACTAATCAAATTCCGCGCCAAATTCCCGATCAGTCAATCTACACGCAGCCTGTTCCTGGTATTGTTATGGGTGGAGTCTTGCCATTCGGCTGCATCTTTATTCAGCTATTCTTTATTTTAAGTTCGTTATGGTCAAATCAAATGTACTACATGTTTGGATTTCTCTTTCTCGTATTCCTGATACTTATTATCACATGCTCAGAAACAACAATCTTGCTTTGCTATTTTCATCTATGCGCAGAAGACTATCATTGGTGGTGGCGATCATTTCTTACCTCAGGCTTCACAGCCGTTTATTTATTCATATATTGTTGCCACTATTTTGTCACAAAGCTCTCGATTAAGGACAGCGCTTCAACGTTTCTCTACTTTGGCTATACAGCTATCATGGTATTCCTATTCTTTTTGCTAACCGGCACCATTGGCTTCTTTGCATGCTTCTGGTTTATACGAAAAATCTATAGTGTTGTCAAGGTCGATTAAGCGCATAAATCCAGTATTTATACATTATGCGTGCTCGTGTGTTTTGTATGTTTAGCCACAATTTACACTTAAGCCTAATGTGTGTGATTTCTGCGCTGTGGGTGAACAGCCAGTTTTCTGTTTATTAAAATGAACTTATTAAAATACAAGTACATATATAATACATAATGTATATGTTTATGTATATAAATATGTGAGTATGTTGTAGTACCGAAGCGCGCAATAATATTAAGTATAATTCAGAAAATACGAGAGAAAAAGAGGGTGCAAATCAATTGTGTAAGTTACATGTTTCAGAAACAATTTAAAAACAATTTAAAAACAATTTTTGGCATGAAATTTAATATTTACAACTAAACGTCCTATTCTCGATATAAACGTAAATCAAAAAAGTATAAATAAAAAAATTTTATTTAAAAATAAAGTTAAAAAATAATTAACACACATTTCTTAACCATTATTATAATTTATTCATTTGTAATTATAACTATTTTCCCTTTGTTTATTCCTTAAAAGAAGGCCAATATAATTTTATCGAAGGATAACCATATATGTAATATTTTGTTTAATATGTACTTTAGTTTAAAGTAATTGCAAACCAACTTGGAATTATAAAATAAATCATCATAAAAACAAAATCAAAAATTGTTGCATTCCGCCAATTGACTGTAGGCAAGGGTTGCAACCCTTCGAACTGCATCATATGACGAAAACTTTTGGGGCTTCTGCTAAACCGAAAAATTGTCTTTGAAAGTATTTCAAGAAAATATAACACGTTCAATCGACTATACTAATGACAAGTCAAATTGTGGAAAGTGAAGATGAGTTCGAAGAGTTTTCCGAGATGCAACAGCAGAACAAGCCCAGGGCGCAGCCATCAGTGGACGTAAGTAGTGACATTGTTTCGGAAATATATATTGCAACCACCTTACATCGGATACCGTTTTAGGAAGCTTTTGATTTGGATGATTTGTTGCCAATCATTGGCGAATTTGGAAAATATCAGAAGCTTCTCGTCTTCGGCATTTGCCTGCCAGCTTGTATACCATGCGGATTTTGTGCATTCAATCAGCTTTTCATGGCCGACACACCAGATGATTATTGGTGTCGGGTGCCGGAGCTACTTCAAATGGATCTTGAACAGCGCAAATATTTGGCTATACCCAAAGAATTGGTAAGCCAGTGTAGTATGTATTCTTTGTAATCCCATTGAATTTCTATTTAACTTTAGGAAAACGATAAGTTGGAATATAGCAAATGCTATACATATGGCGTCAACTGGACACAATTGCTTGACTCCATTGAATACAGTGATGAAAGTTCTTTAATACTTGAGCCTAATAGCAGCTGGCCATTGGTTAAGTGCAGTCAAGGGTGGGAGTACAACACGACCAATGTCTGGTCCTCGATTGTGATCGATGTGATTAATGAAACATATACTCAGATACAATAAATCATCTAGTCGCATTTAGAGCCGCTCTTTGCTACTCATTTCCTACTCATTCAGAAACCTTGATCGCAAGCACTTGCATAATAATATCGTTAAATATGTTGACAGTTCGATTTGGTATGCGATCGAGACATATATCCCACCATTGGACTGGCGGCTCTCAACAGTGGCGGTCCGGTGGGTGTATATCTTTTTGGGTTGCTTAATGATCGAGCAGGCCGGCGACTCTCCTACTTCGCTTGTCTGGCCACTCTTCTGGCGGGCAGTTTGATGACATCGCTAAGCACGGATTTTTGGACATGGGCTGGAAGCCGAGTGATCGTTGGACTGACTATACCTGCTGTATATCAGATACCCTTTATCATATGTTAGTAGATCTGTCCATATAAATTTATTATTTTTCATCCTTATACTTGAAAAGAGTATGTTGGTTTTGGACAATGTCCATTTGGCTGAACATTTAAACATATAATTTATAGTGTTCACATTTTTTTTTTGATTCGTCCACTATGATTCGTCCGTTGAAACTCGGCAAATAAGATATACACATAGAGAGAAAAAAGAGCTTTCCACTTAAGAATCTACACTGGAGCAGAAATCCCTTATTAGGAAATGTAGCAAATCTGGTAAAACTCTATCTTCTAGTTTTAGAGGAGATTTCTCTTCCCTTTCTCTATAGATCAATCAAAAATTGATACATTTAAATTTAGAACGGGTGTGAATATATAGTGCTGCATATAAATCCTGCAATGTATATCAGTATAAAAATGAATAGTATAAATATCAACACTCTGTATCTTCTATAGTTTCTCAGCTATTAATTCAAATCTATCAACTGACTATAGGACTATAGCATTTGCTAAAAATGATAAATCTACGCAAATTGAAGGCATGGAAAGTTTATAAAAAACGTTTCCTTAGTTTGGAAACTTCGAAATTATTTACAATTTTTGGACTGCATGACTGGTATGAATGAGATTATGTAACTCTCTTACATGTTTGTTTTGCAGCTCTGGAACTAGTGGGCGAGAAGTACCGTTCTTTTGTGACCGTAATGACCTGCACATTTTATACATCAGGTATAATGCTACTCTCGTTGGTTACCTATCTGGAGCGGGACTGGGTGCGCCTCTCATACTACACTTCTTTACCCTTTTACTTCTACTTCCTATACATATTCATCATGCCTGAATCTCCGCGTTGGCTTCTCATGCGTGGCCGTCTGGAGGAGGCGCTTCGAATACTGGAGCGCATGGCACGCGTTAATGGAAAACAATTCCCTGAGGTAGTGCACAGTAAATTAGAGGCGCAAATTCAGCGAGATAAACTTCGAAATCAGAAGAAGAAGGTGGCTAACGTAGGCCTTCTGGATCTATGCCGCACGCCCAACATGCGTCTAAAGACAATCTTGATTACACTTAGTTGGTTTGCAAACGAGACTGTCTACTTGGGACTCAGCTACTATGGACCTTCGCTTGGCACCAATCAGTATGTTAGCTTCTTTTTGTCTGCGGTGGTCGAGATACCGAGTTACTTGTGCTGCTGGTACTTTATGGACACTTGGGGTCGACGTTGGCCTCTCAGCTTATCAATGATATTGGGGTAAGTCTACTACACTGATGATTCCATCTATCAAGAATCTACGATAAGTTTCAGCAGTTATTTGTGTAACAGAAAACAGTTTCTGTTAGAGTAGACTCATCGATATTAAAAATGGGAAATATCAAGATATATCATGGGATATTATCATACTTTTTTGACAATTGTATTTAAATTATTATATCGTCTTTTTCTTGTTCTTGTTCAATTTTGTATAGCGGAGTGGCTTGTGTTATAACAGTTATGCTACCGGATGATGCCATAGATGAGACTTTAATACTATTTTTAATATCAAAGGCTCTGCTTTCGGCGTCGTTTTTGATCATTTATCCGTTTGCCGGCGAGCTATATCCGACGCAGGTGCGCGGCATTGGCATTGGAGCATCCAGCTATATCGGAGGCTTGGGTCTTATCGTGATACCCTTTGTTACGTACTTGGGCAAAGAAAATTTAAAACTGCCATTGGTTATAATGGGATTTGTCTCGATGCTGGGTGGCTTGACCGGCTTGCGTTTGCCGGAAACCTTGCATTACCGTTTGCCGCAGACTATCGAAGAGGGCGAAGAGTTTGGCAAGGATTGGCAGCTCAAGGATTGCTTCCAATGCAAACCACAACCGTAAATCTAATTCCGAATTTCCAAATATTCTGCCTAACCATTTTTATTGCCCTTGCAGGGATGTCCACTCACCACCGGCTTCCTATGAAAACCTGGATGTATTGGGGGGCTCTTCAACCAACGCTTCTGATGTGGAGCTAGAGCTTAAGGACAGTCGTCGCCAAGGCCAGCTGCCTCGTATTAATGAGCGAACACCACTCGATATTAGCGATTCGAACAGTGGCAGCGCGGGCAGGCAGCATCGGGCTTCAATGAAGCGATTGGTCCGCCAGATGAGTGTCATGGATACCCAACGAAGTCACGACGGGACCATGCAGCTTACACATTGGATTTGAGTGCTTAAACAGTATATAAATATAAATATAACAGTATATTAATATATATTTATATTAATACGTCTATTTTAACTACAAACATAGCAGACTAGCACTTGATTCTAACACAATTATTATACTTTTATTCTATGAAGCATATTAAAAAAATAGTTAAAAGCAAATAGATGTCGAAAATAGGATCTAAGATTTATGGCATTATGAATGGACTACGTATACTATTTAACTTTCGTTAAAAAACGTTAATTGGCCCCTGAAAGGTTAATAATTAAGTAAACAAACAAAAAGCACTTTCAAAGTTTATCCGGTAAAACATACAACTGTACACAAATACATATATGCTTGTGTGTAAAGATATAATATTTATATATATATATTTCGGTATATCAGTATAACATGTGTCATACAATAACTGAAAGCCTACACTCGTATCATTGTTTCAAACTGCTTTTATTTATGCATTTATGCAGCTAATTATGCATTTAATTGCTGCCAAACAAAAACACAAAATCAAAGACAATTACGACTGGTCTAGACGGAGCAGCTCCGCTAGGAGATACCCTGTATTCTGGTAAAATACACTATGTAGGGCAAATTCATGGCTGTTAAATTCTATAGTGTTAGCCTGAGTCCAAAAGTGAATCTTTTACTTTTAAGTTATATAACGTTAACATGACTATAATATCTGAGATGATTCCTTATTTTCCAAATGGTTATCGTCCTCTGGGATGAAAAGCATAAATATTGGTATTGGATATATATATATATAAATATATATATAATTGGCGAGATTGACTCGTGTGACTAGGTCGACGCTTAATCAGAAATATTCTCTGTGTGGTATAGTCTCTGTCTCTGTCGCTTTGATTCACCCACAGCTTTCATGCCGATTCGAATACTCCCGTTCTCACAGCGCACAGTTATAATGAAATCAAATATAAAACTGTTTATTGCTCGATTCAGATGAGGAATGAAAATTGCTTGCAGCTGTCAGTCGTTATGTTGTGATGGCTGCCATAGGAAGCTTTGAGACTGAAAACGTGTTCATAAGGTTACATACATACATTGAATATTTTCCGATATGTATTTGATTACAATTGTCGAGAGTTGTCAAGAACGTGGCAATGAAAATTTTATGTGTAAAGGGTCAATCGAGCCGACGACACTAAAGTATGTCTGAAATCTCTGGATTGCTAGCGCAGTCCCAAGATAAGGGTCCATCCAAGTGTCACATTCTGTGCCTGCACGAGGAAATCATTCGTCACCTGTTTACATACTTGCCCCGGCTGTCCGACAAGGTGCGACTGGCGTGTGTGGCTCCAAAGTTCCGACAGGCCTTTGAGTGTTGGGCTCGAACTCAGAAGCACACATTGAATGCGGAAGATGTGGAGCGAATGGCATTACCCGATATCATAGATTTCTTCAAGGTGGCCGGCCCCTTTGTGCAAGTACTGTTGGTCAATTGTGCCTCCTTCCAAAAGGAGTCGCTGATCGTCGAGTTCATTTCGGAGTATTGCAAGAACGTCGAAGAGATCCACTTCAAAAATGTGACAGATGAGTTCCGCTATCGGACAATAATGTCGCGTTTGACGAATCTGCGACGTGTGAGCATCGACTGCATGGATGCGGAGGATGTTCTTAATTTGGATTTGGACGGCAACGTCGATCTGGAGTCGTTTGAGCTGGTCAATGGCTGCTATACGGGTAAGCCAATATATATCAAATACCAGCTGATATGAATTGCTTGAAAATTTGTAGCTGTTAGGCAAACACCTGTGCGGCTTTGCCAAGCTCCAAAGGCTTGTGCTTCGGGACTGCCTCCTTTGGAATTCGGGCGAGTTTGGCATTCCACTGAGAAACCTGCGCACACTCGTCTTAGATGACTGTTGCTTTGAAGTGATGAACCAGTCGGTCTACCAAAAGATAGCCGAATGCTGTGAGGAACTGGAGGAGTTATCCTTTTCCGGCTGCGATGCCAACTTTGAGATTATTGCCCAACTGCCCAATTTGCAGCGCTGCACACTAAAAACCTGGATGACCTCTAATGAGCTGAATCTTGGATTTCTCTCAACTCTAGCCGAAAAGAAGGGCAACAAGCTATCGTATTTCAAACTTACAGGACAGTTCGAAATCAGTAATCAGCATGCCCGTTTCCTGGGACAGCTGAGTAGTCTAAAGGAGTTGCATTGGTGCGAAAACGACATACTCGAGGACGATCACTTCAAGTTCTTCAATGACTTGCCAGTGCTGAAGCAGTTTGGACTGACCCTCTGTGGCCGGGTCACCGATGTCGGTCTCATGCGTTTGATTCGCAAGTGCCCCCAACTAGATCGCATAGATATCAATAGCTGCGACGAGATCACCGACCAGTTTGTACTGAATGCCATCTATTGCTGTGGCAAGGCAACACATCGAGCTTTGGCCCTAAACGTGGAAGGCACTAAGATCGCAACTACTGTGCTCTTGGTAGGTACTTGAGAGTAATTAAAATGTTCCATAATACGCTTTAATGTTAGCTCTGTTCCACACAGCATCCCGACTACCTAAACCCGCAAAACAAGGTGAAACTTAACTTTACAAATGTGTGACCGTCTAGCCAACTGAACCATACTGGAGTGCGTTCGTTCGGAAGAATTCATAAGGAAGTACTTTTTTATATTTATGATCAAGCTCTCTCTCTTTCTGATCGGCATTAAGTGATCGAGAGCGTTTGCATCTACGGACTGGCCATTTAATAATTTAGCGAGAATACATTTTAGATACAGCTATGCCTGTAAGCATAAAATGATTCGTTTCAATTCGACTATTAGCTGCAATAAATTCGTTTTCAATTGTTGCTTAAGCTTTTCCGTACCGATAGGAATAATATCTGTGTTAGCAGCAGGAAGCCCATTTTCCAGTTAGCTTCTTACCTCTGGTCAGCTAATAGCCTGAGTCATCCACCAGTCTCGATCCCGAGGTCGTCGTTGCATGTTGCTCGTGTATAACAACATTCACAATGACTACAATGTCTGCAGCTAGCCTCGATTCGGTCTCCTTAAATAGAGAAAAACGAGATCGTTCTGACTTAGTTCTAGTACACGTAACCCATTGACATCGCGTCGCATCGCATCGCATTGGCTCGCTGGCTGCGTATATATATATATATTTATATATATATTGAAAAAAAAAACACCTTGACATGTTCAGGGGCCTGCTGCGATGGTGTCTGCGTTCTTCTGATCTAACTATTGACTAGTTACATATTGCTGCTAGCTAAGTAGCTTGACATTTTCTACGGATGCGCAATCTTATCTTTTTAAAACTTAAGAATTTCATATTTCATGATTTTTATAAGCTTTTCATGCTTCACATCTAACTGTAAGAGCCACAAATATGTTTATTATTCTTTTCGACAATACAGATTACAAAGAGTATACAAATTTTAAAATATTTCCGGATCGACTGATGAATTTTAATATAGTATCTATAAAAGTCTAGTTATTGATCACAACTGATCTTTTCTGGTTTTCATTCAGCTAAAACTTGATTAAATTTCAAGCCTAGTTCCAATAGCTAATAAAATGATAGGAACCACACTATACACTATATAGTAATTACCATTTTGTCACGTCGACATTTGGTATAATCAACAGTAACTATCTGGCCAAATTATCTTTTAAACTGGAAAAACAGCTTGTTTCAATATATAGTACACATCTCTAGCTTCGTAATGTTCACCTGGAAAAAGCTATAGAAATTTTCGATTTGTTTCACCCCTAGAATCTGTCTACCAAAAGTTGAAATACCTCCTTAATACGAGGGTATACTCGTACACCAATATATTTATGTTCCAAATTTAATATGGTCTGGACAGAAAGACGAATGTTGTAAGAAATCAATATACTCCACTTTACTGTATGACGCTTAAAAATAATAAAGGCTTGTAAGAATGTTGCACTCAGTTCACGGTCTGAATGCTGACATGCTTTTAGCCCAAAGGGCGTAATCCATGGAAGAAGCCTACTGTGAGGTAAATGTAATTTATTCGTCAGTTTGTAGAGGATCTTAGCAGCGACTCACATTCCAGCTGTAAAATTGTGAAAGAATTTTAAGTCTCTAACTTGAATAGTGGTAAAATGAAATACAAACATGGACAGACAGACGGACAACAAGGATACAGAGATATTTATATTTAGTTCTTTCCCAATTAATATACTGTTTTATAGCTTCAATTATTATACCCATTGCAAATGAGACATCAGTGTATAATGGCTTTACGCAAAGGTATGTAACAGGCAGGAGGAGGCGTGGCAGACCTCATAAAGTATATGTATTTTTGACCAGGACGACAAGTCGAGACGATTGAGCCCTGTCTGTCTGTTTATCTGTGCGTCTGTCCGGCAGAACACATTAATTCAAATGCGTACATTCTTTCGATTAAATTGTACTTGAATTGTCTGCTACTACTTCAGTTAAGATTGTCAACTCATGCAAAAGCAGTACGGCGGTGCTGGTAGAGGCGGCACTTGGTGCTGGGCAGCTAAGCAAACTATTGATATTAGTAATAAATTAGTAATAAAATAAATTAATTAGTAATAATAATGATAGTGATACTAAAAGACGCAGATGGGACTGGGATCAGGGTATTTCCTAGTCGGGCACCCCGACTAGAGATTTCTTACATGTTCTGAGTACGTTTATTGTGGAAAGATGAATGCGAAGCATTAAGCCCCTCTCATGGAGGGAGCTTCACATCCAGTTATAGCTGACTTTAGAACTATAACCATGATCATCTTTGTTGCCAATTGCCATTTTAAGATATTTGCAGGCTTGTCAAGGTGCCAGACCGACTCAAACCAAAGCTGATTCCAAACGAATCGAAGCCATGTATCTGTCTGCAGTTTGACAAACCCGTTGACTTAACAATCGCATGCTGAAGCTACCTCCAATTGTTGACCAAGATGCATGGCCTAGCAATCGACGGAGTCTGTGAATTTACACGCAGCTATCAGTCGATACAAATCTATACCGTTCAGAATATAAAGATGTAGTCGTGCTAAGCCATGGAAGTCGCGTAGTTCGCTGCCCCTGTCAGTGGCTGCATATTAGAGATGGGACAACCTTTTGAACAATTTCAATCGTTCGATATCGTGAACTTATCGATCAGTTTACAACGCAGATATAAATATGGTTAGTTCAGTTGTTCGCCCTTTTTATCTCTAATAGCCCACAGCATGCATTTTTCATTAAATCTATGCTGTAGTTAATTGAAACGTTTAATATTCGACTTCATTCTGAGCAATGTAGCTCAGCACTGTTGCCTAGATCTTAGCTTCTAGTTGTTGGTGCTTAGTGCTGAATATACATAAATAATATAGCGAGAGCATCTAACAGAGCGTGTATTACGTAGTTGAGCGTATTGCCCTGAGCATGAGAAGACGGGACAGGTCGAGGTCAAGTCTCTAGACTCTAGCAGCGTTCGTCCGCACGCCAAGGGTGCGAAAATCGCCACAAACAGATGCTTCTCACATGAAAAACAGCTTCGCTAAGACTAGTTGGAAGCCACTTGGAGTCTGCTTAGCTGTAGCCGGCAAGGTTTTTGTCTGTTTAGCAACTTGGAGCTGTCCGGCATATTGTTTTGTTCCTTATAAACGACAGGTCTCTTGATTTGTGCAAATCTCTATGGTCAGGTAGTTAAATATTTCAAAGATACCATAATGGATAGAGATTTGAATTTTACTTAAACAAATTCTAGTTGGTTGTCAAGTGGAAAACTTGTTCCATATCAGAGCCGCCACAACTCCTGTTTTATTATTATTATTTAATATTCTGAATGGCAATTAGTGAATTTGGTGTATTAAAAGGAAATCAGTCTAATCAGTACATTGAGCATTGATTTTGAAATTTAAAATACTTATTGGCACATATTATTATTATTAGCGCAGATTTGTTGAGAGCAAATTAGCAAAAAATTAAATATGAAAAGTTTAAGAGATGCAAACCGCTTAAACCATTTAGTTAATAAACCAATACAATTAATTAGTTGTTCATCAGATCTAACTAAATGATGTTTGCCTTGCCATTAAGAACACCTATGGGATGTTCGACATTATTTGGATTAAGTGAGCAAGGGACACTTGAGCTGAACTTGCAGCTTGAAGTATTTGTCTAGTTGCATTCATCCATTATATATTTTCTTAACCCACCTTCTGCTTGGAGTATTCAGTTCCACCAAACCCCTTATACCTCGAATTACGCTTTAATGGGTTAAGGGTATAAATGTTACACACTGCAAAAGTAAGCAGCCTTTTACCATTTTTATTTTGGACCCTTTATAAAACCTTCCGCATTTTAGCACTGTGAACATAAACTATAAAACGGTCACAAATGAAAATTCGTGGCTCGGGTCGATTTGTGAAGGTGCTTACTATGAAATGGTAGTCCGTATACCTATTTAAAGCCGTACACACTTACCCTTGTTCAAGCCCACTTGAAATTTATTGGAAACCTACTTTTAGATATGCAAGTTGGAAACTATTTTTGCTCGCAAAAACGGCCCGCAGAAGAGTGCAAGTGGAAGTGCAGCACGTGTGTTTATCCTTTGGCTATTTATACATGTTTACGCAGCAGTCAGGTACAAGTGGGCTGTGACATCACCGGTAACAGCAATGGCTGTGCCGTGTGTTAATTGGAAATACTCTTGTATGCATAGCATACTTAACAAGTGTTCAGAACTTGCTTATTTGCGCTTTGGTCGTTGCCCTGATCCATAATATTTAAACATACCAAGTTCGCTGATAATTAAATCATAATAACGGCAAGTGGCAGAAAGACAGGCGTATATCAGGTTGGCTCGTTGACGTCACAGTAGGCGAGAGAGCAGTACATACGCTGGCAATTGGAGCAGTCTAGCAAGTGGCATCTAACTCTGACGTCACAAAAAGAGAGATGGCCATAGTGAAAGTACACAGAGTAAGCGCGTCGCGACGTCACTGATGCACGTGTTTCCTGCTGGCCGGAGCGAGAGCACAACTATAGCCGACGCAGCGGTGTCGACCCTCCGTTGCCGGCCGGCGTTTTGTCTCTGTCTTCGCAATGGGCTTTGCCTCAGCCTCTGCGTATGCCACTGTCGCTGCTGCTGGCTCTGCCTCGGCCTCTGCCTCTGCCTCGGCCACTGCTTCTGCTTCTGCCAGCGCTGTCACTACATGCTCCAAGGCTTTCATTCATGGCGCGAGCGCAATTAACAGCGCATGTCCATGTAGCCCGTCACAGACACGCGTCGCCACCCAAATTGATGACGTCTTTGTTTATTGATCGCTCGTACACTGTGTTGTGACGTCACGGCGCGTGTGACCAACCAGCCACAAACCATTGCGCTATAAATAATGGCACGCTAATTATCACAGGAACTTGATAAACGCCGGAAGGCGGTAGTTGCTTGTTGGATACTTTCTCCCACAGGTCAGCCTGCCATCGGTGATTGATTTTAATAAAATAATATCAATAAGAAATTCTAAGGATTATCCATCCGTCATTTACCGTTTCAGATTGCGTGCAATAATAATTCATTTAATTAATTTTGTTTTCTGAAAGGTCCAGCAGTCTGTACGCACAGCCGATATTGAAACTAGATATATATATATATATATAATTATTTATACATATATATGAAGCATGGCTAGATTAATTTCTTAAGTATCCGAGCTGCATGCTGGAAGATATACTGCAATGCTTCCTCTACAAAATGTAATTTGGCCAACAGCAAAATTGAAAATATCCCCAAAAATTGCATAAAATACTTGCAGCAGAGTGTATAAAAGACGTTTGCAGATATGGCTAGGTACATATATACATATATATGTATATATAGTGAAATAATATGAATATATATAATGACAATAATTCGGCACAAAAAGCACCTGCAGGCAACGGAGTCGACTCAGAAAATTTGCATGGGATGTTATGGGTATAGTTATGCTCGGTAATAGATAGGTGGGTCATCGGTAAAATGGGCATGTCTGCAGCTCCGGGACGGCATTAAGCCAAGCAAAGTAAACTAAAGCACACCGAAGTTAAGGAGAGGTAAGGAGTTGGCTCAACCAAAAGCAATTTATGCAAATGATTCAAAAGGCGCCGTCCCAAATGTGCTGTCTAACAACAACAACAACAGCAACAGCAACTGCAACAGCAACAACAGTAAAGGAAAAACAATTGAAATAGCAAACGCAAAGTGCCGCTTGCTAATTGAAATTTGGTAAAGACACAAAAATCAAAGACTAAACAGCAATCAAAAAGAGCTAAAATTCCTTAAATTAAACTCACGAACTGCGCGCAACGATGCGAAAACGATACATAGATTAGGCCAGCAGCAACAACAGATTCAACATGCGAAGTAAATTTGGCGCAGCACATTTAGAATATCATCGCAGAAAAGACAAAAGCTAAAGAGACTTTAAGGCAGCAGCAAAGCAAGGTGTGCCAACTATTGGCATGGCTTCGAAGTCGCGTCGCGTCGCGTCGCGTCGCCTCGCGTTGTTGGTTTGGCAAGCAATGCTTAATACAGCCAATGAAACCAACAACAATATAACATCTTGGAAGCGACTCCAACGCTTGTCCAACGCTATGCTGGCGGTGTATGCATGCACTTCTTGGGGCCACGAGCAGGTCAGCAGCAGCAGCGCCAACAACGCAGAAGCAGCTATGAACAAATGAACAAAACAAAAACAAAAACAAAAAACAATAACAACAAACACATCACCAGACCAGTTCCACTTGCGTCGCTCCCAAAAATTCAACTTGTCCGTATCTCCATATATACGTATGTATGTATGTGAGCCTCGCCAAGCTAGGGTGAATTGAACTGCAACACTAAGACAGCCGCTGCCGGGGTTGCCTGTTGTGTCTTGTGTGGCAAGTGGGCTGGATGTGGGGTGTGGGGCTTGGGGTATTGAGTTAAAGGCAATGCCTATGCCAAAGCGCCGAAAAAGCATTATGGGAAAAAAATCTAGCGAAATCGAAAGGAAGAGCCCACTGCGCCCAAGTCTGCTGACCGACGATCTCACGTTTGTCTCAAGCTCTGCTGATGTGATTCAGGCTCAGGCATACACTAAAAACAGTTAGAAAACGTGGCTTGGAATCTGTCTAAAAATAGCCACAACGAATGCATTACACAGCACGAACTCGCAAAACGAACGAAAACGAAACGTTAGCGGCCTCACCTACATATACTTCTACTCCGCCTCAAACTGGAAACCAGACGCCGCTAGACCGACTCTCACTCTCAGTCTCCCACTCAGTCTCTCTCTCTCTCTCTCTCTCGGTCCACGTTCAATTTTCTGCTGCTCTCGCTTAAGAGGATTGTGATCCGAGCTTTGGCGTTACTGTTTTATACAAGTATTTGCTTGTGTGTGTATGTGTGTGTGTGTGTATGGGTGTCACTTGTTGCTTTCAGTTTGTTATTAGTATCGAGGGGAGGAGCTACTTTTATGTACATATATTACTAACGGTTGTTTGCCGCTCAGGCTTTTAAATCTGCACTAATGTGCTTGACACTCGCGATGGTAAAGTGGATTAAGATTTTTAATAAGCACTGAAAACTTTGGGAATTAAACAAGAATGTACACATCATGTGAGTCCCAACACTTATATATCTCATATCTGAAGAATAAGTAAAAGCATTTTATATTGTATAGGCTATAAAGACGAATCAATTGCTAAAGATGGACACATATGTGTATACATACACACAAGTGCCTTAAAGAAAAAATAAATACACATAAATAGAAAGCTCTTCTAGGGATAAATTTTAATTGAACTAATATATCGTGCTGCTGGCAGGTAAAAATAGAGAGCATACTTATGCATATGTGTAACACGCACACAGGAACACACATACATACATGCATACATACATGCATACATGCAAACATACATGCATACATACATACATACACTCAGGTAGAACTACGTGTAGGCTCAAGGGGTTTACCGGTATATGAGACCGCACGCCGGCTCTGTTTCTGTTTGCTAAGGACGATTTAGATGTGGGCGTGTGTGAAGCATTGTCAAGAGGCAGGGCGATGGACAAAGAGAAAGGAATGGAGGCGTTTAAATAGAGCAGCTAAGGTAAGCAGCAGAAAATCAATTTCTCATTGCCGTTTAAAGAACAGAGCAGTGCAGAGCTTTTTATGACGCAAATTAGTTCCATCTTCGCTTTCATGCGACGTCGACAGAGCTGTGCACCTACATTACTGTGCGCTCGTATATAGCATTTACACGCTGCTATTTCGGCTGCAGCGCAGGCGCATTAACAACGACGTCATCGATTTTTGCTCGCACGAGCTGTACATTGTTGTTGCCGCAGCTGGCATCGCTGCTGCGGCGGCTACCCCTGCTCTTGCTGATGATGATGGCTCGGGAAATGACGTAATAGCGCTTACGATTTATATTACCAAGAAACCGAGTGCGCAAGGTAGGTCGTGTGTTGCACCCGAGCACGGTCTATTCTCTCTGTCTCCCTCTCTCTCGCTCTCTCTCGCGCACATGCATACACAAGCAGCTGGCAACGGGCAGACGGCGAAACCGATTGCGACGCCGACTGAAGCAGATTGTTCGTTTGGTGCGCTGCTCCTCCGTTTGGATATAGTCGCGTATAACTGTAAAGATAAGTTCAGTCGCGTCACAGACGCCGCATTGTTAACAACTTTTCGCAAACATTAAACAACAAGCCAAACACAACCAGCCCAAATCGCTAAATAATCGAATAAAACTAAATAAAAAGCGAAACTTACTTGTAATCGGATGTATAAATGCATTATATATAATTCTAATACTAATATAACAAACAATACACAAAACAAAAAAATATTTAATTGGAGCTTAAGGAATAGTTCAATTCTATTGCAACAAGTTGTCATCTAGTCCAACACGGAAACGGAAACCGATACAGAACACATCGTGTGCGTAAAATCGTATAACTCTCCGTTGCAGCTGTAACGCGGGTCTGTGTTACGCTGCGTATGTGTAACGTGATTGTATATTGTATGAACCGAATAAATTAAATATATATATAAACATATATTATATATATAAATAAGTTGGCTAACTTCACTGCAGCTGCAAATATAAGCAATTATAACAACAATAACAGAAGCAACGGCAAAAATTGTTGATGTCTTTGCTCGTTTAACATTGGGCAAAGTCCTTGTACTACGAGTATATATAACACCGCCTACATACACACATTCACACACACATACATTGATAAATAAACGTGAGTAAGCCATTGCGTCGCCAGTTGCTTATGTCGCGACGTCAGTGGGTACTGCGCAAACGCCTGTGAGCAGAATAAGGAAAGCGCCGGAGAAATCGGAGAAATCGGAGAATTCGCAAGTTCAAGTTTAAGGACATAGCAAAAAGTGAGCCGCGAGTGTGCATTAAATAATGTCGAGCAAGGCAACAATAGCCACGCTCGATTACAACTATGTATAATCAAAGTAACTACATTGGGCAACTCGCCAAGTTTTTGTGCTAGACACAAAATTGGCTTCCAGTTTGGACGTCGTGCTGGATCTCCATCTTGTTGCTGTGCGCCATACAGGTGTTTAATAACATTCATGTGTCCTTTAACTCTTGATGTTCTTTCTTTTATGTTTGTTTCTTGTGTCTTGTGTTGCCTGCTTACAAATCGCCATCATTCACATTATTAACACACACTCTAGCCAATACATATCATGCGCGATCGTCTTGCCTCTTTGATTGTGGTGAAGCAAGAGGCGACGGCGTCGCTAAGCCACAGCTGCAACAAAAACAACAATAATAACAATAGCAATACCAATAACAATAACAATAATAATAACAACAATAATAATAATAATAATAATAATAATAGGCTCATTGAGAAGGAACAAATGCTACCACAGCAGCCACATCAAACAGTGAAACTTTTGCTGCCATCGCCGGTCATTAAATGTCCAGACTCCTTGTATACACTACCCTACGAAAGCAATATCTACTACGAGATAAATAACAATTCCTACTACAGACAGAACTTAAATACTGCTACGAAGCCCGTAACTTTTCCGGCTGCGATCTATCCCTGTCGCAATCTTTTTCCTGGCGGCTGCGATATCGGACATTTGGGCTGCTCCGCCGGCTCCTCCGGCTACTCGAATAACAGTAGTTGCTGGCACAGTAACGGAGTACAGACGTGTATGTATGAGTGACTCCCTTCGATTATGGTGATGGTGGTGGTAGTCTTGGCTTCTAATTACCAGGTGCACGTTGCGTATGAGCAATGTTACGCATATTTTCAAAAGTGCTGTGTAACAGTGAAGAAAAAAGATTTGTTGAATGCAGCTGCTGCATTAACTAAAATTATAAACACGCCTCGAGCACAATGACGACTTCAATTTTTGCCAGATAAGATAAGAGGGGAGGGGCTCATAATAGGAAAATAGTAGAATATAAATATATATAAAAGGTAGAAAGATGAGCTTTGCCCATCCACATGTTTGCCAGCGTCAGCAGAGCATCGCAGAGGCAGCAGACAGCGAAGAGCAGCAGCCACTGTGGCAGACGGCCACAAATAGAGGCAGAGCGACATAAAGTCTGACGCAAAATAATTTACAATATGCATGACAAGCGCACACACACGCACACGCACACGCATACACACACATGCTCATTTACACACATGTAAACTTGAGAGAACGATTCATATGCGCAGTTTCTGGATATCCAATATGTGTGTATATAAAATTGCATTATAATATTATCTATATTTTGTGTGTTGCTCTTTAAGTCTTTACATTAATTATCTCATCATTTTTGGGAAAATTTAAAAATTAAGAAATTTTGTCAGTTCTGAATAGCCATACGAATTGGCCTAATATGCATGTTTTGATTAATATATATGAATAAAAAATAAATTGACCGAAATCAGCATAGGCTGTGCAGATTAACTTCAGTAACTGACTTTGTGTAGTATTAAGCGTTTTTTAATTTTAATTTAATTAATTTTAAGTAATACAAATTTTCAATTATATAACATTTAAAAAAAAAATGTTTTCTTTTAATTCACCTTTAAAGGAACACGTTAAAATCAATCAACCAATTAATTGTATGATTGATTGATGTGCCTTGATTTTAATTGGGAACATATTTTTTTTTTTTTTTAATTTTCGTTTGGATATGTGTTGATGATTTTAATTAAAGTAGTTTAAATCCAAGTTCTATAATGGGGGCTTGAATGCTAATCTGTCTAAGAGCAAAAGCTGACCTGCAAGAGGGAAGTGAATCTGAACTTAATGTGCTCATTTTACCTTTGGGGTATGAAGAGCTCGTATTTATCGTATAAAGGTACAAATAATACAAATTGCACTGTTTGCTTGCTATTACGTATTATTTGTTTTTGTATTTTTATTCTCTAGAAGAAAGTGAACGGCAGCTGATGAGAAACCATGACGCCAGCTACGCCATTAGGGCAAATGCAAATTGTTACAGCAGTTTTCACGGATTACACGGGATAGGTGGGCGACGTGGGCGTGGAAGCATCGTCAACTAGGGCCATAGAGCAAATCTTTTACACATCAGCTATCATATCGATATGAGTAGTAGTCCACTGCGTCAGACCTGTGCATAGGTATTATGTGGCTATGTGTAGATTCTGTGTCTTAATATATATATAAATATATATATATATTTGTTTACCTGAACAACGCGTACTGATGACGTTGACAGTATTGCTTATAAGACTACATTTTGCATGCAAAATAATCACGAGTCATTTTTGGTCCACAGCTTTTGTATCTTTTATTGTGTCAGACAATTTCTTTTTGGTTTTATTTTGATTTTTTTGTTTTTCTTTTCTTCTTTGGCGTGTGAAATTTGTTGTGTCTTTTCAAAGCAGCAACAAATTTTAATTTCTCTGACACCCAGCTTATGTTAGCTGCTGCGCATTGCCTGAACGCCCCTTTTAATGCATCGCATCATCAATTGCCAATTGCATTTCTATTGCAAATAAAGAATGAATCTGTTAGTTAAATTTTTGTCGTCTACTTCAGATTAAGGCATTGTTTGATGTCCAGTGTGTTGGATTAGTGGCTTGGACAAGTATATCGCAGAGCAAATAAATATGTAATTATGTGTAACATATATATTGGAAATATTGGAAAAGAAAGCATAAAAACCAATTGATATCCACATATAATATATATATTTTGCATCGATAAAGGATATGATGGAAGCCAAGTTTCAACAGAACGTTAGTTCAAGTTGTTCAATCGGCCAACGAGATGTCTTCCGAAATATAAATTCAAGTAGAGGAATAAAGGGACTCATAGAGAAATAGATTGAATAGCGATAGATAGAGAGAAATACTTATCGGTTCGGTAGCTGCTGCTAATCGATTGGAGTTGATGTTGTATGTTGTATGTTGTTGTAACAAGCTAATGCTGAAAATAAAAGAACTATGTTTCTAGGTTTTCAGTCTGATATAAATGATATGTTATAAGAAATTGCTCTCTGTCTATATTTATTATATTTTGAGCAATCAGTTGTTGTTGGCTGTGGAAGTGATCAAGTTTTGGTCGTTATTTTCACACCTTGTGTGAAACCACAAATCTGAATACAAATTTCGGAAAGCAATATATCAAAAAAAATTAAGAAGAAGAAGAGAGAGAAAAAGTCATATTGCGGCTTTGCTAATGATTATTATTGACTCTGGCGTCTACCTAATTATCTCTGTTGATTTATGCGAATTTTATAAGCAATGCAGAGACAGCAAATTTGGATTGATCGTAGGTACACTATTGTCTATGGGATCGACCAAGCAAGGCTTTACACAAAATGAGGGATCAGCTCAAATGACATAACAGTTATGTATATCAATTTACTAGTATTTATCATTTTCTTTTTTATATAAATTGACGTTTCCTTATTAATTTGAAACTGTTCACACGCTATTGAGATACAAAACTTAAGTTCATTTGTGCCGAGTGCCTCTGAGTTCTTAAATTTATAACAAATCTGTTGCAGCATAATTAGCCAACGTGAATCTGTGTGTCTGTCTGGCTACTAAGTGCCTGATCTATCTCTATCTTTATAATAGCCCCAGCTCCTATACACTTTTCAAGTCCCAGAATAGATTGGACGCAATCGATTCCGCATAGTTTGTACTTTGATTTCGTTTTCTATTTAATTGCAGTGTATTTGCGATTTGCCAATAATGCGGCGAGTGCAATGTCCTCGCAGCTCGCGGCGATGTCACACTTTGGCACGCCAAGAACTTGTTGTCAGATAGATGGATAGATGGATGATTGGATGGGTAATCCGACTGTGAGCTAGTGCTTAGAGCCAGTCGAGGCCAAATAGCATCATGGGAATGCATTTTGAGGCGTCGTCTCGCCAGGGCTCCTCCAGCAGGTTTTCCTCAAAATTTTACTATTTTGTCTGCTGTTTTTTGTTTACAATTTTTTACAATCTGACGATTTTTGGTCACTTTATTGGCTGTTGGTCAATTTGGCTGCCGGTTGCTGCCAGTTGCTGCCGGCGCATGTGTAAACCTTAATTTGAAACTGATTGGATTGCTTAGCCGTTGGCCTCTTGTTGCTCTTACCTTGTTTCGTCCATAATTTTGCTTATTTCTTCATTGAGCAGTGTTCATAAAAGAGAGTATGCATCGACAGTAGACAACGTTTCAAGACTAGAAATAAATAATAATTTAAAAGCAAAAAGAGTCGAAAATATTGGATCAGCAATAGATCTAAAAAGTTTGTGCAGTAACCAGAGTGTGGCACAGCTAAGCAGCACAGCACCTTGTTTCTCATCATTGCATTTGATTAGCCAATGATCACGATAATGTTTGAAATGAAGTTCAAGCGCAAAATATATAATTATTAAAATCAATAAGAACCAAATAAAATACAATTGCAGACAAACAACATTAAAATTTGCATTTTGCATAGAGAAAACATCTTTGTATTCTACATATGAAACAAAATTGAAAAAAAAAAACTTTTCTAGTCCGAATTTCCTGATTCTAAACCGGCTTGAGCCTGAGCTCAATAATTTCCTATTTTAAAAAAATAATTATAATGAGATTAACGATTATAAAGTTATGAAGATTATGAGCGTACTTAATGTCCATTAAATTTATCTAAAATTCAGATTCCAAAATTAAAATAATAAAAAATATATATATTTAATAAAAATGCTTTGTTTCTGTACTACAATTGTAGTCTAATTGGAGTGTTTAAAATAAAGTTCACACCGTAAATTGGATATTTATTCTCTAGATTTGAAATCAAATAATATATCTTACAATCCAGTCAAGTATTCAAAAAAGTATTCAGAAAATATTTTACTAAACTGCGAGCATATCTAGTAAATAATACTCGCTAATTCGGATTCGATGACATCTGCAAAGTTTCTCAAGAGTTCCAATCAACATAAATAGAAACGAGTTAAAATTAAAACTAAAAAAAAATTTAAAAAAAAAAACAGTATTAGCAAAAACGATGCGTGGCTACAAAAATTTGTGTTCGTCTTTTTTTCTTCTTTAATTTTTTATTTTAATCATTTTTTGTTGTTTTACTTTTT